GCTCACAATCCCTGGAAGAGTTGTAAACCATGAAATAAATGGGGGCTACTAGCTGTAAATCTTCATAAACCAATGAAATGATCTTTAAATCACTATAATGCGTTAAAATGTTTGCATTGTTCTTGCTTATTAGTTTAGGATGATGTTTGATAAATGGAAAAGATGGAAAGAACCTAATTACATTTACTTACATCACTGTGATTGGGTTGCTTTTGTACTTTAATAAAAGTATTTTCTGTACTATTGTGCTCATCTACATTTTACACATATCAATTACTAGGTAAAAAAAATGCTGAGCACTCAAGCTTTTCCAACCTCTGCACGGCAGACAGCTGATTGGATGATGTCTTGTCTACACTGCCAAGACTCAAATCTTACAAAGTGTAACTGTCTCAGTTGTAGTCCTCATTATACCTATTTTAAGATACATTGACATGAGAGGCCAAAAAGATATTTGAAGCCAAAACGTTAACAATAACTTCCTTGAGAAAAGTGGCACATATTGTTTCAAGACACTTATCAAGTTAAAATTGCAGGCTGTATTTTGGAGCCATTTATACTGATTACAATCAGCTAAGTCCTTATTTTTGGCTTGCTTTCACAATCCTCTCTGCACAGCCAGTCAGGATTTAAGTGTGCAGGGACCTTCTGCAAAGTGCAATACTGACAAAAGACACAGCAACATTATTTCACAACTTCACTCCAGATGGTTCCAGAGTCAAAATCACCCTGTAGATTAATTCTGTTATCTATATTACAAGAATTAGACTGGGAAATTATGCTTTTGCATAATTTGGGGGGTCAAATTGCTTCCAACCCTACTGCCATGAGTTAGAATCTCAGGACGCAGTATCTTTAAGTACATTTCAAACAAACCTTTCACGATACACATTTCTAACATGAGATATAACACAGCAGATAAATTCAACATTACACTGTATTATGCATGTATTATAGACAACAGAATTATTTAAAGTCTGAGCTTTTCAATGGCAGAGCAGATCACAGCAGGACTCTGCAGATCAGATTCTGATCTTGTTTTGGGTTCATTTTATGACTACAGCCTCTTGTTTGACTGCAGACAAATGAGAGCGAAAATCCAGAGACAGCAACACAGGGAGTTCAAAGGGCCAGTGGGCAGCAGCAATGGCTAATGATGCCTGGTGAAGGTTACTGCCTCAGATAAAACCTCAAGCTCTGGCTTTCAGTGATCAAAACTACATTACAGTACAGGAAATATATCTTAATGCAATCAGGTTTGAGTGCTTGTAATCATTTTTCTCTCTGTGCAGGATTTGCTGTTAATATAATGGTAATGATGGGGTATGATATATAAAATGAATTGCAATTTGTATTATTGTTCCATATGGATTACATGAATTAATCACTCTGCAACTAGTGCAAGCTGAATCCTGTTTGAATCTAAATAAAAAGGAACACTCTGCAAAACAGTCTTAACATTTCAAATGCTAACTCTAACCTTGTGCTATTTCTGCAAACAATTCAGCAAAAATCCCCCTTGGGACTCACTGCACCTGAATTTGCTTGTGAGATTGCTCAGAGATGTCACAACTCTCTGTTTTACTATTTTGCAACATGTTTCACCATTTATCTTCCAGCTGTGTCCATTCATCTGAAAATTTCCTTTCCTTTCCAATGTCATGTTGTGATTACTGAGACCATGTTATCCTACAATTCTGAGAACAAAAGCACTATCTGGTTTGCACTTTCACTTTCTCTTCAAACACATTACCAACCATGTGCTGTACTACCCATTGGGCTCCACCTGCACCCTCAGCTGCCTCTCTGACCTTTGCTTCAGTCAGGCGGTAACACGACGACTCTGACACAAAAATACTCATAATTGATCTGTGCTAGACTCCCAGAGGTCGCACCAATTATTTTTTGTGTGAAAGGACAGCAAAGTAAGAGCAACTACCCGCGAGTGGATTATGAACAAAGAGCCAAACTGCTGCTTTGTTTCTTCCTCTTTTCATTCTCCTTTTTTTTTCTCTTTCATTCAGACCAGAAATATCACCAGAAGAAATGTCAGTAAAATCTGTCTCAGGTAAGACTGGCCTGCTTTATTTATCTCTCTGTGGTGTCTGAGTTATGTATCTCTCTGTCTGTTCTGATCAGCATGCAGAGCACGTTGCATGATCTATGACTAAAGCCCAGCAGATACACATCCGGCACAAATTTACAGTCCCCTTGCTTTTTCACTGTACAGGTGAACAAAAGATTAGAAAGTGATAATTGACACCCTTCATGAACAAAAATTACACATGGATTTCTTTGTTATAGGTCAGACAGGACCTGTGGAGGATGTATGAAAAACATGAGTCATGTCAAGAGCATGCTATATGGGACTGAGTTAAGTTATTTCTTGTTTTTACTGAGTTTTACTTCTTCATTTTCTCTGTCCTTGACGCCCCCCCCCCCACACACACACTCACACACACACACACACACACACACACACAATATCCTCCATGCTCTTCAGCTCTCTCTCTTTCTCTCCCATACACACACACACACACACACACACACACACACACATAAACACACTGTTTCTTTTCTCACATACCATGGTTTACATCTGCTGTTTAGAACAAGTGAAGAAAAAAGGAAAGACAAGGAAATAAAGTCAGAAGCCAAGAACTGCAAGTAAATTTGAAGACCAGGCTGTAAAAGACAAAAATACAGGCATGCATAAATGAGATGTTTAAGGCATTGAAGGACATTATTAACATAGTTGAAACGTAATTGTGCAACGAAGACAAGATTTGTAACTCTGGATAGTTTCAGGATGGCGATTTTATCCACAATTAAAAACATGCATGTCCTTTATTCACCGGAGTAGCGTTTTTCTCCTGCATTAAATAGTATGGGCTATCAATTATGTTGTCTGAGTATACTGATCGGATTGTGCTATAGCTGTAGCTTTTCAGGGTGTGTGTGCAGACAGTAAAGCTATTTTGTTTTGCATCACATCCTAAAAAGGCTTTTCCCCTAAAACATGCAAATACCCATGCTTACGCAGACACACATAAATAATTCCAAAGCCTGATCATGCTCCATTTGAGGCTAACTCTTCTATTGCCTCTATTTAAAAACCAGAGCCTGGAGCCAGCGGCCACTGAAACACAGCCACAGATGGTTCCTTAATGCTAGCATGGACATTTAGAAATGAGGGGGGAAAAAAAGAATGAAATCAGCCAAATGGGAGCAAGCAGCTTTGCATAGAAGGTAGAGACTAAGGGATTAGCATGGCTGCTAAAGTGCAGAGCTAACAAAGCTGGGATGCTTTTTGACCCTTTTAAAGGAGAGCAACAAGAAATTTATCTTCTGAAACATTCTAGGATTATCTGTAGGACAGAGAAGCTTTTTAAATGTAAAAACACAAACACATTTCCCAGATTTAGACATGAAATAACTACAACTAAACATAAGTGAAAAGCAATAGCACTGTCATAGTGGGGATTTTTGGAGTTATGCATTTGTATTCTATAATAGAAATACTGCAGGGATTGACCTTTACTAAATATTGGTCAAAAAAAAATTTTTTTACAGTCAATTTAAAAACATTACCTAGTTAGAGGGTCTGATTTTAAGGTTAAACATACAAGATAATACAGAAAATGGTACTTTCTTTGAACATAAAGTGGAGAAAATCCACATGAATGTGGGATTGCCAGTCATGACTCTGCTGGGAAAACCAGCACCAGCTGCCACTTCATCCTCTGAGCAGTCTGTTATGTATTATAAATACATAGACTACTGTGTGTCTGTTCTGCACTAGTGCCTGTTTCCATTATTCAGCTCTACAAGGAATAAAAACACTTGCAACATTCATGCAAAATGGTTCTGCTTCTTTATATGAAGCATAGCTGCAGCCACAACATGATACATGTTTAACTTACAAGAATACTGAAAATAGAGAGGTTACACAAACTGTAATTAACTGTCTTTACTCATTGTAATGTTACAGCACATGGTGTTGTAGGATACAGTATGATAAAACACTATGTCACGTAATACAATCAAATAGTATAGGGTAAAGTGCCAAATGATATGATGTGAAATGAAACAATACACTCAGTAGACCGTAGATTTTCTTAATACTCATGTGCTGCACACATATATCTGTCATCCACAGCAGTACTAATACATATAACAACAATAAATACTTGTACTTGTGTACATACTTGTGACATCCTTAATTGACATACAGTATACAGCACAATACCCATTTAGCACATCTTATCTACAATAAGACCCCCAAATAACAAATCTATGAGTATCTTATGAAGTAAACATCTTTTTTTTTACAGTGTTGGAAATGTTACTGATCATATATCATTGGTATTATGCATGCCTGCATATGTTTATATGCTTGTACTAACACCATGTTTAATCAGAATCAGTCATTTGGTTGTTACAGCATTACACTTGCTCTTAAATATACAAAAATTAGTAGAAGGGGAATATAAATAAGAATCAGAAAATAAATAAGAAATTGCAAAAGTTTTTGAAAAATGTAGATTAGAAATAAAGCCACAAAGCGCAGTGTTTAAGAAATAAGCTTCGTACAAGCATGAGGGCGTATACAAGAGCAGTTTGTAGTGTAGGACATTGCACAGAGGATCAGAGAGTTTTACAAAGTATTTAAACTGAATATTGCACAGTTTTGCTTAATAAATAATGCCATTATCAGTATTGCACTCTCAGATTATTTAAGTTTTGACTAGGTTACAAAAAGATTGCACAATTGAACGCAATTATATTTAGTGGGGACACTTATAGGTTGAGAGTAAGTCCAGGGACAGTCAGAGAGAGTTACACTGAGAGCGAGGAGCTATAAAGTTTGATGGCCACAGGTAAGAATGACTTCTTGTGATGCTCCTGTGAGGAGTCTAGCACTGAACATGCTCCTGCGTTTAACCAGCACATTATGGAGTGGGTGGTAAATGCTGTCCAAGATTACATGCGGCTTTGACAACATCCTCCTCTCTATCACAACCATCAGAAAGTCCAGCTCTACCTCCACAATGTCTCTGGTTTTGGGGGTGAGTTTTTTCAGTCTGTTGGCATCTGCCACCCTCAGTCTGCTGCCCCAGCACACAACAGCAAACAGGGTTGCACTGGCCACCACAGACTTATTAAACATCCTCAGCAAAGTCCTGCAGATGTTAAAGGACCTCAGCCTCCTGAGGAAGTAGAGACGGCTCTTGTAGACTACTTTAGAGTTCTTAGACCAGTTCAGTTTGTTATCCAAGTACACCCCCAGGTACTCATAGTCCTCCACCATGTCCACACTGACCCCCTGGATGGAAACAGGGGTCATTGGTTCTTTTGTCCTTCTCAGATCCACAATCAGTTCCTTGGTCTTTGTCATGTTGAGCTGGAGATGGTTCTGCTCACATGCATCCAACTACAGCAGGGTCATCAGAGAACTCCTAAAGGTGAAAGGACTCTGTTGTGGTTGAAGTCCGTAGTGTAGAGGGTGAAGAGGAAAGGAGACTGGACTGTCCCACAAATTGCAGTCTTCAGGTAGTCAATAATGGTAGTTTTGATGGGATCAAAAACACTGGCGAACTATAAAAACAGACTCTGTTCTCTGGTGTGTCCAGGTGAGTACAGATGTGTTTGAGCAGGAAGGTGATGGCATCCTCTACTCCAAGTAAACTGGAGTGGACCTAGGAGGATCTGACTGTTGCCTCAGCTGTTCCAGGATGAGTCTCTACAGGGTCTTCATGATGTGTGACATCAATGCCACCTGTCTATAGAGCTGGGACCAGGCAGGGCGTCTTTCACAGCACAGGGACCCCTTGAAGACTGAAGCTCATGGTAAAGAAAAAATGAAGCACTCCACAGAGCTGGGGGGCACAAGCTTTGAGGACTTCAGGGCTGACACCATGAGGGCCCGCAGCGTTGATTGTGGAGTCTGCTCAGCTGTCTGCTAGCCTGGTCAGCTGTGAAAGACACTGTAGGGATGACTGGAGAGGGGGCAGGGTCATCATCTGGGGGAGGGCTGTCAGTGAGGGAGCCAGAGGAGTGGGGGTGGGTGGGTGAGACCCTCGCCTAAAGAGGAAAGTAGACTGTGAGAAGAGGGAGGTGGGAAGGGCAGAGGGGTGGCTGGTGGCTGGGGGTTGTTTCAAATCTATTAAAGAGTAGATTGAGTGTGCTGGCCTGATGTAGACTGCCACCAACTCCTCCTCTGGCAAGTGTCCTGAAGCCTGTGACGGTCTTCATGCAACTCTAGACCTCCCTGATATTCACTTTAAGGCCCCTTTGGATAGTCCTCACCTCATCCAGATTACCATCTCTGTTGGCTCTCCCTTTGGCGCTCAGAATGGCCTCAATGTTACCTATAGCTTGTTATTTCAATAACAAAAGTCAGTCCTTGTTGTGACCTTGCAGTCCACACAGAAGTTGATGTAGGTCTTGTCCACACAGAGACAAAAATGATATATTGCTGTTTCACTTTGAATAGATTTTTAGTTAAGATATTTCAGGAATTATTCCTAAAACACATGCATGCATATACTGTATATCCTTTATGGTTGTTTATCTCCTCTGCATCCTCTATGTGTCCTTTCAAAAATAAGTTACTGCAGACTGTCAATAATGTGTTGATTGGTCAATTTTTATCGTCTAGAAACATGTTAAATGGTTTTGACATGATGGAGATTCTCAAAAAAGTGCCACTGTATAATAACATTTGTAGAATAGTAATGACATTGTTTTGAGTTGGGTAATGTTTAGTCAGATTACATACATGATGTGACTCAGGTACTCAGATTGTATGTAAATTACTTGTGGAGCTCCTCATGAATACCTCAACAGTCTCCTGGGTATAAGACTTGTGTTTGTTTGACCACAAACATCCTCCCACACCGAGAGACTACTTGCACTTTGTTGCTTTTTATATTCTTTTACTCTCATTATACTGACCAAGCTCACCGGGGTTTTGCTCCTATTAAGCTGCAATCACAAATTCCCAATAAGGCTGTATATTTGTTTGGTTTTTCAGATCAATACAAGCTATATGATGGCAGTTGTACATAACAATGAGTCTGTGTGATTGCCTCACAGAGGTTTGAAACATGTTTTAAAAACATGTCTTCTTTGGATTTGCCATAGGGATTTGAGCTGCTAGTGTTTATGTGAAGAGGAGTTGAGTCTTCCATAAGTGCTTGTGAGTTTATACAATGTGTTTGTGTGTGTATGTGGACCTGTGTTTTGTATGCTTATGAAGCTTATTTTTCCATCTCTCCTTGGGCATCTTTGCCTCTTTATGGTGTAAACCGCTCTGTCTCTTGGGATTTCCAACCATGCATTGAATGCAAATGAGCCAAACACCATAAAAGGATATAAGGGTAAAAATCTGATCTCCAAAGGCACAATTACTTCTGCTGTGTCCTCTAACAGCTTGTGGATCATTTAAATGAACGTTTTCTTCTGCTATAAAATACCATTTTACCTTGTGGTGCTGCAACCTGACAACAATGAAAATGGAAAATAATGTAGATTTTACTGTTACAGTTTTGAACATATTACAAGCATCTGATGTATGATATATGATTTCTGATAGGACTTGTCTTTTGTAAAATGATAAAAATAACCTTATTTACACCATTTCCCACAACAGGCAGGACTGATTCTGTCAGTTCCAAAAACCTACAATAGCCAGCCTACATGCCAGTGGGAAAAACCTCAATATAACAAACACATGACTGTGTCTCCACCTAGGACAGAAACATAATTGTGAAGCCTGCGGATGACACCACCATCCTGGGACTCATTAAAGGCAGGGATGAGTCTTCATACAGGGACCTTGTCAGCCAGATAACAGTCTACGAAGAGGGAAAAAAAACTCTCTTTTTTAATATAGACAAAACAAGAGAACTAAAGGAATCTCCTCCTCTGCAGACCCTCACCAGCAAAGGGACTGAGGGGGAGCAGCTTGACAGTTACTTGTATCGTGGTCTTCACATCGTTGAAAATCTCAACTGGGCTAAAACAATGACACCACAGCGAAAAAGGGCCCACCAGCTGCCCAAGAGGGCTGGACCTAAATGTCAGCTCCTTATGCAGGCTTACAGAGGACTTGTGGAAAGTATTGTCACCAGTGGAATCATTGTGTGGCTTGGGAACACCACTCAGGCTGAGGGGCAATCTTTTTAACGAGTCGTCAAGACTGCTGAGAAAATTACTGGCTCTGACCTCCCCTTCACGGACACACTGTATACGCAATGCTGCAGGAGGAGAGCACAGAGATTTCTCACAGACAAACACCACCCAGCTCGTGCTCTGTTCAGGTGGAAGGATTCAGACAAAAAACACTGCAAAAACACCAGAGAGCATCTGAGCCCACAAGGTCCAGCCCACAAGATTCTTTCCAACTGCAACAAGAATTAAAGTACATAAGGAGAGGAAGGAAATACTTAATCTTAACAGTTTACTTTTCTTGAACCAGTTGTACTTGAGATAACTTAAAAAAAAAATGATGCAACCAATACAGTATGTTGAAGCTACATAGTTAGCCTAGGATTAGCTATTGAGTAGCTTCCTCTTTCTATAATCTCTTTTACCACAAAGTATTGGGTTGATAAAAATCATTATGGCACACTCACATCCATCATATTATGAGTAAGCAAAGTCAAGACTGAGAAAGCCAAAAACTTTTCTGATCATCCAGAGTGTTACAGAAACGCATGTTACTCACTAAATTTTCAGGACCCTTTTCTTTTCTTTTGATGCAGATCAAAAGAATTGATTGATTTAGGTGTTAATTAAAATATCACATGATAATCTTAGTGATGTGCATAGGTTTGTGTCTGCTTTTGCATGTTAGGAATCTGGCCTTTAGCAGCAGATAAGAACAGTATGCTGTCTTTTTTTGTGTGATACATTGGGGAGATGATGACAATGCTAAAGGAATTCTCTGTAAACATTCACATGAGTCTCTGTAAGTACTGAGGAATCATCCTCTAAGATGACTTAGGAAGTTTGGATATTGAAAGGCAATATGACAGATCCTATTTGCATAATGGGTACAAACAGTGCTTTCAGCTGCAGGTGGGTGTCACAGTCTGTGAAGATGATTTTCTGGTAATTAACTTGTGATCATCCCTGGAAGTTTCTCATTAAGACACCAAGATATTGATGACTTAGTGTCTGTATTGAACCTCCTGCCCTCAGTGATTCAATTATTCATGTAATTCAGTCTGGTTTTCTATTAAAATGTCTTTCTCTGGTCTTCATGTTGAAATTAAATACAGTGATTATGAGTCCTAATAAAAGTGAGATGGTATCATGAAGCTGCTTGATCATGTGATTTGATTGGGCAGAAATAACACTGGTCTACGCCTGCAGTAGGGTTGGCAAACAAACCAGGCAGGCATTTATAATACTTGTACTTAAAATGTTGTTGCCGCAGTAGATTTCGCCAATTGATCCTGCAACAACTTTTAAGTAATGTACACGTGTACGTCAGCATGATGAGCATATGGCATATGCAACAGTAATTTTTAGCCTAACTTTTCCTTTTCATCATCAATGATAATGTTTGTCAGTCTGTGTCAGTGGATAAAACGAGGCTTGCTACTTGCGATCTGAATTAAATTTTTTAACCTCAGATTGGCACCTGCCCCCCTAGGATCATAATTACTCTCAGTTGTTTCATTTGGAGGAGTTTTAAAAGTCTAAAAACTGAAAATGTATCCTCTTTTTCAGGTGCTGCAGAAGTACTGCTCTATAGCTTTTCACACATACACAAAGGTCCTCCAAAATTTTACCTGATTAAGCTGCATGTGTGAACGTCTGAGTTCCCACCCACCCCAAAATTCACCTGGTTTACTTCCTACTATAGCCCTCTCGCATCATATTGGGGTAAATGTGAGCTTATATGAGAACACAGCAGCAGTAGGGGTGGGGGGAGTGGGTGGTCTGGTTTTCTGCATAATTTGGTTGGAAAATGTCTTTGTCATGTAAACTGATAGCAAAGGTGGTCAGTTTGCACAATTTACACATAAGGATATAGTTTTTATTTTGTAAGAACAGGCAGCATATTTTTTTTTCACTAATATGAAACTTTTATCTACGATTTTAGGAGAGGTGTTTGTCAGTAGACCAGTATCCCATGTAATGTTATATATCACACCACTACTGTCTCCAGATTTACTGGGGTTTTTTTATCCTCTATCACACAATTTGTTGTTAAGATTTTACAGAGAGACTTACCTTGATGTCCTCTATTAAATAATACTCCAACAGGTAACAGACTTGAAGCTTGCAGTCACAGAGCAGAACATTTTTAGTCAACACTTACAGCCTGCTTCATCTTCCTTTGGGCCTTTAATCTACATTTAAAAAGATTTCAAGAGTTCAGCTCTTCAAGACATAGATTTTCTTGGTGCAGATTTCAGTCTGCAGGAGCAGCATATCTGAAACTTCTTTTACCCATTTCAAGACAAACTTTGGGGACAGATAGCAAAAGTAGATTTTGTGTCTGAGTCGCAGAACGAAGGCTATAGCTTCAAGAACTTTTAATATGAATACAATTACACAAGTATGGTGGAAGCAGGCCAAGAATACTCTTGTAAATCAGGATGTGCCAGTGGTTCAGTCTACGCATGGTCAGAGAAGGCCACCCAACTTGCCCATACAGGGTACAATACGATAAAAGAAAGAAAAATGTGTAAAAATCCACTAATTGTAAAATCATCAGGAGTAACTATGACTCCCTTGCCAAATGCCTTGTCATCTAATCAGTGACACACATGAATAGATGAAGAAGATTCCCACTGTCTATCTTGCAAAACCACAGCCAAGTTAGTGGGGGTAGAAGACCCTGTTGAGCTTGACTCACTAGATGGCAGTATCTGCCAATAGATAGAACGGCATAAACTGTAAATAAGGATTAGGAGAAGCAGATCCTAGGGGCCCCCAGCCTCCACCGGCACTATAGATCAGTCCCTCCAGGATTTTGCGGGCTTTTTTGTGATCGTTGCGGCCTAAAATGCCTGATTTTGCGGCAGCTCTTCTAAAAAAATGCGGTAAAAGTTGCGATCATTCGAGGCTTATTTTATTAAAATCACAGGAACAAAGGCAGCTGCAAGTTAGCTACAACCGTCTTTCGTGAGTTTTTAGCCATAAACCACAAGATAAATGCATGATATATTCCACACAGAGTGCTCTGAGTCATACCTGAAACACAGACAGCCACACAGAGAGACAGACGGGCTCACAGAGCAGCTAAATGTAGTTACACTCTGTCTTTCAATTTAGAGAAAACATTAATATAAGCAACAAGTTTTTTGTTTTTTTCACTTTTTCACACACACATACTCGCGCGCACACACACACACACACACACACACACACACACACACACACACACACACACACACACACACACACACACAGTAAGGAATATAAGCGCTTACCTTGACCCTGTCAGCCGCTGCTCTTGTTCTGGATGCAACAGCCTCTGCCATTGTGACTTGTCTCGTCTGTCCTCCTTGAGTTTCGGCTGTCGTTCTCCTTCATGTTTTGTGGTTAAAAAGTGTCCCACCACAATACTGCCAGCAGTGCAGACGAGGTTACCTCCACTTTCATGTAAAACATCAGGAAACTGACTTGCACGAACTTTAGCGGTGATGTTTGTTGGTAAATGTGCGCGTTTAGTGTCCCGCATGTCTTCTTCTTCTCAATGTAAACACGGAAGTGAAAATGATGGCGCGTAGAGGCGCGGGCGAAAGAACGCTAATGTTGCGTTCGAGTTACCTCGGAAGTCAGATGTCGGAGCTGAAAATGACGTCACACCCGAGTTATCAGCGTTTTGCTACCAAGTCGGAAAAAGCTAAATCAGACGCAGAAACATGATGGCCTTGTCTGAATATAACAAGGACGGGTCAAGCGCTAAAATAACTTTCGTAGGTGTAGCCATCTTGTTTCAGACCTCCGATTTTGTTTTTTTTCCGACTTGGTAACTGATATGCTGGTAACTCGGGTGTGACGTCATTTTTAGCTCGGGCTTCTGACTTCCTTGGTTACTCGAACGCAGCACAAGTTTATTGGTCAAATTTGCGGGAAATTCGCGGTGATTGGACAAAATTGCAGCGCCTCCGATTTCGCGGTGATTGGTTGAATCTGCATTAATAGTTGCGATCGCAACATAGTGAATTCGTGGAGGGACTGATAAATAGTAAATAGAAAACTGTAAATAGTAGATAGCCGTTAGAGACATATTGTGTGAGACAACAGACAATTGAATTTTTCTTCAGGGATTAATAAAGTTACTCTTATTGTTATTGTTATTCTTATTCTTAGATGAGGATAGGTATTTAACTATATATTACGATAATATTCACAATAATCATACTAATAATGATAATAGTGTAATATCAATTAAATTCATCATGTTGCTTGTAATAATATGAAAAAAAGATTAAAAGATGTTTTAGTTTGGGGAGCTGAACACCTAAATAAAAAGGACATACACTTATACTGCAGGATAACAAAGTGATGTCTTTAATCGCACAATAGTTTTTTTTATTTCATTTGGTCTTTTGCATTCTGACTTTATCCATTGTTGAAGGTGTTAATTGAGTGAGTCAAAGGAAATCTCAAGGGAAGCATATTTTCATGATATGCTTGTTCTCACTCTGATAATTTGTATTTGGCATTGAAAACAAATCGCTGAGTTTACTATTCCGATTGATTCCACAGCTCTCCATAGTGCATCAAATATTACCCTCAGTGGCACAGCTCAGCAGGGTAGTCTTCATTGATTTGGCCTGTGGTGAGGCTTTTATTAACATCTAAGACAGGGATGAGGTCAAACCCCATGAATATACAAATACGTCTCAGGAGACGCTGTTAAAAGGTTAAACTGAGAGTTTGCAGACAGATCCAGACATTTTGAGTTTAATTAAAAAACAACAGTGTTGTATGGAACTGTTTTGTAAATTTAGAAACATAGCAAAGCAGGAACAAACGTATGATCTTGCAGCATTTAAAACAAATTGCTGCCAAAAGCAAACAGCAAACTTTCTTTATCAATTATCAATCAACAATGCAAAGTTAGACACACTTCAAAACTGCTGATGGACAACAAAAGGGAAAGGGCAGCAGCTTAGTCTGTAGGGGCTTGGCTTGGGAACCAGAGGGTGGTACTTTCCAGCTCTGGTCAGAACCAAAGGCATGGAGAGTGAACTGCGAGCTGGAGGGTGCCAGTTCACCACCTGCAGCCTTAAGTGAAACACCAAGCCTCCAACTACTGAGGGTAGTCGCCTGTGTGCAGGCCCCTCACTCTGACATCTCTCTGTTAATGCATGTTTTTCTATTTGCACATGTGTGCATATATCTTAGCCTATATTTGTGTAGCATTATCAAAAACAGAATAAAAAGTGAGATTTCCCTTTGAGAGGTGCTCCAGGGATGTAGTAGTAAGTAGCTGTGCTGTTAACTGAGGTGATCAGCCAACAGCAACTGAAAATAGCAGCAGCTGCGACTTTAGCAAAACTGTCTGTCCACCAAAAGCTTGTGTTAAAAATGAAGCTGTTTTGCTGAGATAAAATGAACAGTTAAAGGACATACTCTTTTTATTGTGCACGTGAGCTTATTTGATACAAATTTCATTCTGCTCTGTGCTGGAAGAGAAATTTCTCTCCTATTGCTCTGTGAGAAGTCATCCAAACTGAGGGTGTTCTGTAACATCTAGTGATGCAAACTGTTTGTGTAAGGTTTATAAAATCAAAAGCAGTTGCAATTTCCAGTGATATTTCAGTCCTCTCAAAGTACCACATTGCACTGCATTTTAGATGACCTAGTTTATGAGAAGTTACAGTACCAGTGATCACCATTAATACATAAAAATTAGAAAACAAAGTCATTTTTAGATCATTTGACTATATTTCAGAGCAACTATTTGAAACCTGAATGGGGATCTCAAGGCTTTCAGTTAACTGATGGCTCAGTTTTTTGGTGACATACTCACACTCTCAGGAGGTGGCTGTTATAAGAGACTAAAACAAGATTTTCTTTGGCTATTAGCATTTTAAAGAGTCTTTTAGACCTTGCAATCTTGTGTTTCACTATGTGACACCATATCCAGTTTCAGTGACAGTTGTAAATGTCTCTGCTGCATAACTAACTGTCTTAAAATCAGCATCACAAGGGTTCATGGTAAGTGGTGCAATCAACTTTTATGACTGAGCACTGACTTTTAAAAGTCTAGACCCTGAATACAATACAGTCTTGATTTTAAGGTATTTCAAGAGACAAAAACATCTTTTTTCAGTAAATATGGTACTTCGCTACCCCTGCATCACCAATGTCATTGCAAATCCTGCTGGGTAAAAAGGACATCTGGTCGGTGGCCTGTCTGTGAACCATCATCAATAATAAAACACTTAAAAACTGAAGGGTAGTACTGGGACTTACACTGGCCTACATCTCCACATCTCAGTCACAGCAGGCAGCTGGTGATCAGAGCCTCTCTACAGGAAGACAAATATCTGGTCTTTGAAGTCTAAGACACAGTACAGTATACTGCATGGCATTTGTGGAGTTAACACATATAACAAATATAAAAACATGTTCTGTGTCTCTTTGCATAAGTATTACATGCAGGGCAAATCATTTTGATAAGAAACAACTATAAATAAGTTGAGGGTGATGTATACTTTGTTTTGCATGACTATAAGGAACTTTCCGTTTGTGTTGATGATGCGATAAATCCTCCCCAGGCAAGTGCCAGCCAGGTCAACCAAAGGGCCTCTCTGTAGTTGGCAGATGCCTGAAAACCCCCAAGACGGCATCCTTCACAGATCGCAAAACCATCTCATCTGGCTTTTTTTTGATGTAAAGGACGAATGGTTTCACCCTAAGCTCCCTCTGGATGTCTGAGCGCTAGACCCTATTTTCCCAGGCTGAGCCCAGCTACTCATTTCAGCCACTTGTACCAGTGACCTAATTCTTTTGGTCACTCCTCAAGGCTGAAACGACATGTCTGTCAGTTTCAGAATCCATTTTACCCAGAGTGGTGTACAAGACCTGAAGGTACTCAAACACCTTTGCCAGGGGGTAAAGACTCACTTCAATCCACTGCGATCTTGGACTTGGAGGTGACGACCCTCATCTCAACAACCACTTCATGCTTGGCTGCAAACTGTCCTGCTGGAGTTCCAAACCTGAAGAGGCTAATAGAATAAAACCATCAGCAAAAACCACAGATGATACTCTGGGGTTGAGATGATACTCTGGGGTTTAAATCAATCTGGGGCCTTAAAAAAACAGACACCCTCCACCTCCTGGTTGTGCATTCAGATACTTAAAAGCTTTTAATTTCATTGATTTGATTTGACTTGTTGTCTGCTCCTGTACTGTAGATCTTGAGTGTTTCCCTTCTCACTTGCTTTTGTTGTCGACTCATTCATTGTAAAATCCCATTAAGGACCTAATTCACATGAATAAAGAAATAATTTCTTATTTGTTCTTTTAACACTCTTAAACATTTGCTTGAACAAAATAATAAGTAGATCTCAGGTTCAAGAAACATCATAATGCATATTAGTATTGCGAATGCTTACATCTTTTCTAACAGTTGTTAATTCCTGTATTCTTAGAAAATACTCCTAGAAAATGGATAAACCTTGGTGTCATATAGAAATTTACTATTGCATGTTATTAAAGCCTAAAGTGAAAACCTGTCTCGTGTCTTTGAGTGAATTCACTTTCTTTAATTCAGAAGCAGGTCATGCTTGTATCTACTTGCACTGACCTGCTACCTGGAGTGTATAGGAGTAGAGAGGAAGCCAGTGATTATTAGAAATGTCTGAGAACACGTACTATAATCCATGAAAAAAATGCCTCTGCAGCCTGAACAAGACAGCCTGCAAACTCCTGGGGCTTCTTGACCCAAATTCAGAGCTCCACTTTGTGCGATGGGTGGAAGGCAGGCACAGTAGGTTCAGTGAGAACAGGGTCATCCTGTACATGAGATAGTACACAGCTATATTTATTCAAAGAGGTTACCTCCAACAACCTCTAGCACCAGCTGAGTTCCCCTATGAAAGCCAGTGTGTTCTTAGAAGAGTCCAAAACCAGGGCAGAGCTACTTCTGTTGGAGTTCTGCACCTACTGAAGTGATTTTTTTCTCAATCCCTTCTCCGAGACGAGTTGAAAGTATCTGGTGGAGAAAACAGTTATGATGATGTTTGTTGGCAAGCCAAAATCAAATGCTGTCCATTTTTTTTAGAAACTGCATCTGGTGGATAAAACGAGACATGCTGTAGCATGAACACAGGTTCTCGCCATAACAAGCTCATGTGTAGTTTCCGCCCCAAATAAACTCCAGCCCGCCTCCTTCTCATTTCCTCCACCCTTCCTCCAACACTACACCTGTTGCAGGGGGTGCTGCATGTGGTTACAGCCTGCCCTTCAATGTTGGGCCTGAAAATGAGCTGATTGAACAGCACAAGGTTGAGTCTTGTTTGCTCATGTGATGGTGGAAATCTTACTGAGTGACTCCAGGTACGTTGACCTCTTTATGAAGTTATCCTCATTGTTGTTAATTTTCTATGAACCTAAAACGGACAGGAATGTGATGGTTCCTCAAACTTCAACTAAACTGTGAAAAGTGTTTTTGGCCTAAAGGCATGTAAGGGAACAAGGAGAGAGCATATAAAACACTCTCTGCCTCAGGACTCCTCTGAACCGAGAAGCTTACACTTTCCTGCGGTTTAGGTTTAAAAGGGGAGCTTTAATAATTGATAGATGTCTCAGTAGTGGGGTGCTCTTCGGGTCACAATAAATCTGATACTTCTTACAGTCAGAAACCCCGAACTGAAACATTTTATAGCAACATGATAAACTGCTACTCCTTGAAAAGTGGTAAATGTGATGGATTATGTTGTAAAATATTTCTCAAGGTGTGTATCAAGATTGGGACTTTTCTATTTTAGGTCTCCAATCTTTTGTTAATTCCAACACAACTGTTAATCTTCCATGATCAGGACCACAAAACCAGCTTTGGTCATTTTTAAATTAGACTTAACCTGCCTTCATTTCAGTGTTAGGAGGGTTCCTTTTACAAGAGGTTTCCATGTGTGAATTTTGTGTCAGGTGCCTGTTTTTGTTTTGATCTCGAGTGTGATGAACATGAAAATACATTTTATATTCAGGGAATTAAGTGCAACAGCAATTTGTCTTACAATAATTGTTTGTCTAACATTAGAGGTCAAAATATATAATTTTTTTTGACAGTTTCAGTTTGTTTCTATGACAGTAAGCAGTGGCTGCTAAAAAAAACAAAAACTGTCACTTCCACCAAACAGTACAGCATCTATTTAAAACTGGTCTTTTGGCTCCAGTTGTTGTGTACTCTATAAGAGAAATGCTCTTTTAAGTACTTTTCTTTGAAGCTCATCTCTGATCAGCTGTCTGCATGCAGCTTTCAGATGTTCCCAGAATCTCATGAAGGAAGTGGAGCAAGCTTTACATTTGATTTAATTCTTTTTTTTCTGCAGATAAGTTTCCCATCGTATATGTTTTTAAAGCTTCAGGATACTGTATTAGAAATAGAGGCATTGATAGATTGTATAAGCTTTCATTTTAAAGGGCTGTGTCTGTTTTTGTGCTCAGACTAAGGGCAGCTAAAAAAACGAAGTCGACTTGTTTTTCAGAGTGGCAAAAGTTATTCATTTGCTCCCTGGGGCTGACATTTCCTTCCTCTAGGCTTGTCAATCTTCACAAAAATTAGAGTTTGGTTGAGTTTCCTGTCCAAGATTCTTGAAGGACTGAGAGTTGTGTGTGAAATAGAGTTTGTGTGTCACTGTTTTCTTTCTAGGCTCTGGGGGATATGTTGAGTCGTGGAGGCTAAAGGTCATGACCTCTTAATGGTGTCCTGCAGCCTGTCTCAGGGTCAGCTGCCACTCTGGAGTGTGAAGATGCCTAGGTCTTTATTTTAGTACTCTGTGATGAGCTTAGCTGTCAATAAGCATTTACAACTTCACCAATATGGTCAACCTAGTCAGCACTCACAGATCATAAACAGCCACTTTTGTAAGCAGCCATTTCTTCATGTCTCTGAGATAATATCTTTAAAAAAAGACAGAAAGATGATACCTCTTACAGGTTGCACTTACGAGTAAAATTATCAAGCGCTAACAGTAAATAAACTGCAAGATATTCAAAAGTACCATGACAGAGAAGAAAAGCCTATAAACATGAAAATCAGTTTTCAATAACCTGACAAAAATCCTCTCTGCCAGTCCCCCAGATGAATGTTTGTGACCGTGTTGTGTCTTATCCCTTGAGGCAGTGTCTATATTAATCCTTCCTTTTCTATTATTAGTTGTTTCTCTTTCTTGTTGTCATTGATGCAATCTCGCATTTCCTATCTTAAAGCTTTCAATGTTTCCCGGAACGGAAAGCCTCACAATCCTGAGCAAACACAGGCACAGACACACAGACAGGTGTGTCAGTAAAACCCTCACAAAGCGGTGACACACAAAGACAAACGCACACCTACACAGTTTTGTGTGTTGCTTTTATACTTGGCTTGTCATCGTTTCACATTTGAATAAAAGTGGGAAAAAAGTGTCTGAGTGTGTGATGAAAAATCAGCTTTGATCCTTACTCGGTTTCAGCCGTAACAGAGTATATAAAGATAAACCTTAGCTTTTTTCACACATACACTTTTGTTCTGGACTTCTTGACGTTTTAAGACCTGAACTTTTGATCAGTGTTTTAAAAGGTTATATCCATACAGCATAATGTGTTGTGGACTGAATATTCATTAAGCTATTTTGTATGTAAAGCTGGAATCCTGTGTATCATTCAGTGTGTTTGTATAAGTGTACGTGTGTGTAGGAGTGTGTGATTGTCTATGTGTGTATGAGCTGCTGTAGGTAAACATGCTTTTTAAAGACTATGCTCTTTGCTACTAATGCCCCTGTCAGGGTGATTGCTTAAACAGCTGCACACTTGAGAATCAGCAAACAAGCACACTCTCTCCCTCATGCACACAGGTGGTAGATTTGCCCACAATACTGCAAACACACTTGAAATCCCATAATGTGAGCGTGTGTGTGTAAGAGAGAGAAAGGAGAGAAAATCTTACAGTGTTTAAATTCAAACACTTGCTCTGCATACCGCTTGTCTTCTCTATATATAAACAAAAATGATCAAGCATTTAGGAACAGCACGACCTTAGATTAAATCCAGATATACAGCTCGCTCCATGTTGGGTATCAGGAAAATCCTTGCGAGAGTCAGATGAGAAAACTTTAAGGTATATGCCTGTGAGTGTGTGTTCTTGACTAAAAGAGGCTCTGGTTTTATTAGGATTTCAGGACTTTCAAGCCCACTCTGGTTAGGTTCCCCCAGCTGTCTTGCTTCAAAACATCCTAAATTCATGTCCAAACTTCTCAGATGAATTTTTGTAACCTTTGCCAAGTTGAGGACCTGCTTGTGCACGAGTGCTTGTGAGAGGGCACCCTGTGTCATGCCGCTCTGCCTGCCAGATGTTTTGGAGTGATGTGATAATAATACCTTTCATAGAAGCAGGTGAAAAGAGGGTCATAACACTGGTTTTGCTCCACGTGGCATCTGGATCAATTTATCCTTCCAGGGGAAACGACCGGTTTCTCTTGACAGCAGGGGGGGAACACTTATCAGCAGTCGTTGTTAGGCTGGGGCCTGTTTAAGTAGATGATCTTGTCCTTTTTAGGAGAGGCGGCTCCTCGCTTGAACTACAAGTTCAAACCTCTTTTTCATTCAGATACTTTGAAGTCAAGAGATGATATGTGGATGCAAAAACAGAGAGCAGTCTCTGCAGCCTTGTTGAGAGGAAAGCTGCAGTGCTTCTCAAATTACAGTCACAACTGTGACAGTTGATGAAAGGTGACACCTAGTGGTCAGACTAATTCACTACATGTTCAGAAAGGGAAGCCCAAAGAAGGTAAAAGTCACAGGCTCATTTTTATCTACACAAATACTGCACACTACAGAATGATTGTTTAGAGGTTATGAGAAGCAATACAGAGAGAAAAAGTTAAAATTATTATAAAGGGATAGCTCTGATGTTGCTGTATGTGTATATTTCATTTGGAAATGTCTTAAATGTTATCGTGCTTCACTTTGCTGTTGAAAGGCCTAGTCATTTTTATAATGTACATGGATGCAACACATGCATGGTCCTTGTTGAGAGCCTTACTCTCATGCCTGGTCTTTGGACAGATTCTTAGAGTTACAAGAACTTCATACAACTCTACTTGAAAAATTCTTTCCCTTGAGCTCTTTTTTTTTTAAAATTAAATAAATTTATTTTTTTGACTCCAGGATAGTACACAAAAATATTAACACAAGGGAAAGGTTAGGTATATAGTTTATGCCCCCCTCTTTTCCAGTCAGGATTTTAATATATTTTTTTCTGACACTTTTTAAACCTTAACTTAATTATGAAACACAATGAAACATTTCATTAAGTACAAATTGTTTTATACACCAAATTTAAACATGTTGAAATGTAACAGTTGACGTGCATCACCATGAGGTCATTAATAAAACCCTGGTGGAGGCAGATTTCCTTTTAAATTTCTCAGTCTCTGTGCTGTTTCATACTTTCATTGAGAGGATAGGGTCATTGTCAGAGAGAGTGGGGATTGATATGCTGCTGTAGGTTGGAATCAAACCCAGGCCACCCATTTGAGGACTAAGGCCTCTGCACATTGGACACACAATTCAACCCAAAGGTCAAACTGGTGCCTTGAGGCAGATCTGTTCTGATCTTAAGTTGGCCGCAAATGTGAATTTAGCATGTTGAAGTGCTCAAGAAGCTGTCTCTTTAGTTGGATTACTGTGACTACAAAAGCCATACTATGAGAGGTAACTCATTCACTTTTTAATTTCAACACCTCCCTCCAAACCATATTTGGTTCAACCCCATCCTGTTAGTTTCAGCTCTCTGATCTCTTTCTCACAGTAGCTGTAAATCTTCTTCATGCTAGGCTTTGGCTTTGTCTTTAAGTGTATCAACCCAGTCCAAGTGGTGTGGTTTTATGGTGAGCCAAAATATTGACTGCACCCAAAACCTCAGCCCAAACAAAGCAAGTCAAGTTGGAGCATTACAACAATAAAAACTGAAAATATAGCTTATGTTAAAAAGTTGTGCTTAAACAAACAAATCTGAGGCTTATCAAAGAGGACAACAGGAGGCAAGGTTCAAGCAAATGCACATAAATTTTATGCAAAGTTTGTTGTTGTGGGATTTGCAGTTTGCATAGTCCAAATTCAAATTGCCAAGTGATACATAAGAAAGATTAGCTCCTCTCAGATACACCCCCCCTCCTAATCTCTCTCAGGCCTGAACACTACAAAGAAGAAAAGTAGGTAAGAGGAGCAGAGCAGCCAAAAACAGAGAATTCATTTAGGATGAAAAATAACCTGAGTGTGAGAATAAAAAAGGTAGGAGGGGGAGTGGAAGGTGGAGTGGAACTAAGAAGACAAGAGGGGATATTGGAGAAGAAAAGGAAAACCTTGGCACAAAGGAGCACTGGGAGATCAGTGTCAGGGATGGTAAAGCAGTCAGAGGCGGTCAGAGAGAAATGATCCCGTGAGGAGACTGAAGGGCAGACAGATGATGAAACAGATAGTTGGAGAGATGGTGGAGAAAGAGGGTGGGGGTAGCTGACATATCAGATTTATTCAGACTTGTGATGACTCACTGGTATTTCAATAAGGCTCACACATTATTGTCTTGTTGCCCGGGGCATTCCCAACAAAATTAACACTCTTGTTTCCTCACATGTCGAGTTGTATGAAAACATCATAAATCAGCTCATGAGTTAGACTTCACTGTGCTTCACTTTATCTGAAGAAATCCCTTTTAAACATATCTTTTGTCTGGTTCTTCTGTCTATTAATGTATCTTTTCAGAACTAACAGTACAATCCCAGCGCCCTCTGGACTGGTCATGTGTTAAGAATAGGATAAGAGAAGAATGAAGACATCTCCTCCAAGCTGCTCTTTGCTTGCTCTCACACTCACACACACCTGTTGCCCTCTGTTTCACCTGAAACAACACTGTGTGTGCAGCAGACTATCTCTGACTCAGCGGCATGTTTAGGTCTCCCTGTTTCCCATGGCCCGACAGCAGGCCTTGTTTTCATATACAGCTTTCCCAAAACACCACTGTGTCGACAGCTTTACTTACACAAGCAAACAGAGTGGAGAGTTATAACCATTAGATGCTGTATTGGTGTTGTCTGGATGACTACTTCATGCTTCCATAAAAGGTTTCACTCTCTTCTGGTGAGAAAGACTTCAAAGATTAAAGGATTATAACAGCAGGATGAATTGTTGCTTGGCAGCACAGGTTCAATGTGACTTTTACACCCTAGTACTCTTAAACTTTATGTTCAGCTCAATGGTGAGATCAGTAGAATCCCTCAGTCTGACAGAAATTTGGAACAAAAGTGAGTGTGTTTTTTTAAAAGAAGTTAGAGTCTTGTCCAGTACATAAATAAATTGTGTTATTTTATTAAAAATCCCCTCCTGCTGTCTTTGAACAGTCAAGCATGTTTCTCATTGTAAATCTTTACCTTGAGAAAAGTCAAAAGAAAAAAAAAAGAGTCTCTGATGTTTGCAAAATCTGACAACCACCTAGAAGCAGTGACTACACTGACATAAAAGTCATTTTAAAGATATTAAATCCTTAAAAGTGACCTCTTTCACTGAGGTCTCAAAAAGAGAACACTATATATATTACAGTCCATTTTATAACCTGCTAAAAACTTTGCAGGAGCTTTGAATTTGAATAGTTTTGGAGATATCGTAACTGGGAATGTGCATGTTTGGTCCACTGAATGCTGGAAAGTCCTTGCTGAATGGCACTGGGATTACTAGTAAGTTAAATACATCATGAGAATGGGAATCTTTTACTACAGTGGTGGAGCCTACATTGGTTGCCTCATAGTAAGAAGAGTCCTCAGTCAGATCCCTGGCCCAGCAAGGATTTTTGGTGTAGAGTTTGCATGCCCTCCCCATGCATGGGTGGGTTTTCTGCGGGTGCTCTGGCTTCCTCCCATGGTCCAAGACCATGTCCATAGGTGTGAGTGTCAGAGAGAATGGTTGTCTGTCTCTGTAATGTTAGCCCTGTGATAGACTGGCAATCTGTACAGTGTGTACTCTGCCTCTTGCCCAGTGACGGCTGAGATAGGCTCCGGCCCACCTGCGACCCTGAATAAAAAAAGTGAAAAAGATCATGAATGGATGGATGTAGACCACCACCCCTGCACTCAAAGACTTTCTATCTTTGGACCCTTTTCTGCAAATAACAAAGACCTAAGTTTTCTAACACTGCCAGCAAATTGTACTAGAGTCCAAAACTTGTACACATTAACATACCATCTGTAAGCATTCAAAATGTGCACCTATTTTAGCATTGTTAGCAATCAATTTATTGTACCTATAGCACCATGATATCCATTGCATTGTTATGAAACTGAGAATAGTATGAGCTTAAAAAACTGTTAACATGTGAAGGTAATGTAGATGTGTTAGCATGGAGTTTGGTAGTTCAGATCAATCAATACTCAAACACAGCTGTGGCTAAAGGAGTTAAACATATGCTACGTTCATGTTCAGCCAGTAATTATGTTTTTTTCCTTTTGCACACTTGTTATAATTGCTATTTGGAGACATCACTGTCACTCTTTTTAACGAGCCACTTCAAACACTTGACACAGCACAGGTTGATGCTGGAATCAAAGCAAAGCTAACACGAGCTTGAGGGATCGGATAATTTGAATCCACTGTTTAAATGAATCAAATGATCCGATCATGACATTCATATACACGCACCAAGATTTATTCTGATTAGAACCATTTGGACGTGCGCAGAGTTGTCTAATTTCGCCAAAACATCTACAGAAGAAGAGTTGTATTTACGTCTGTACTGTCAACAAACCAACAACCGGGGTAGTGGCTCACTCCATCCAATTCAGTAGTTTTTCCCCCGGTAAATGTTGTCACCAGATGGCGCCCTTGCGTACTTATTTGACTGTTCTGGCAAAGGTTGCTCTGTGCGTGCAGATGTGACATCATTACGCTGTATGTACGCCTTGTTATGTTACCGGAAAAGCAAAAAAAAAAAAGATAAATTAAAAAAAAAATGTTACCGGAAGAGCAGACATGGCACCTGCGGCTGTGTTTTATGCCAGAGTGTTAATGATGAAACTTCCTGTACTGACCTCAATAAATAAGCGAAAGGCTAAAAAGAGTGAAGATTGAGTCAGGTAAGAGAGTCACGATTGGAATAAGTGTTCATATGGACATGTTTTGGATAACGATCGGCATAAACCACCCCTCTCGATCGGAATACAATTTCTTAATGATCGAGCCGAATTGGATCAGAATCTTCCGATCGACATGTTTATGAAATAATTTATTTGTGCGATTATTTGTGCCCATGTTAACACAGCTACTGAGGCTAGCCGTCTTTTTTTCTATTTTATCAATACTCTGTCACAGCAGTGAGAGGTTGAGGAATTTATGTAAAGTATGACAGTTTAGAGTCCGTGTCTGAGAGGAATTTTGTTTGTGCTTCCTTCTGGTAACATTTTGTCCTGCTGGTGGTTAGAGTTTGTTTTCAATCTGCAAACTGAATAAACTCTCCTTGAGTGTAATTGGCATTTCATGCGCAAGAAACCTCTAGTGTGGCTCAAGACTTCTACTTGACTTGACTCACCAAAGACTCGATTTCCCACATTCTTTGGCCTCTGTTCACTGCCTTTTTTTCTCTCACTCTCTTGAGGCTTCTGAGAATCTAACACCTGCTTCCTACACTAGACCAGCACCCAGTCCTTGGCTGGCTGAGGTTAAATACTCTCACCACTGTGGCTTTTGTGAAAACACGTCAGTGCAGACAGAAACCTAGCAAAATAAGTGGAACTGCTTTGTGGCTTTACTGTACCATACAGCAGGAGGGATTCACATATGATGATGAGTATAAAAACTGCCTCTAAATATACAGTTTTTTCTGTCACCCAGAGGCTTGCACATATACCAAAGAAAGAAAAAGTCTTTGATATGATTTTACAAATGACAGAAAAATACTCTTTAGAAGTTTAGTAACCATACTCTAATTCGATGTGATATCACTAAACCGCTACAATCTATTTACAGTTACCCACTGGACCACAGAGAGAAGAGGGAACAAACAGGCTTTGTTCCTCTCGTTGATGGTAAAGATGTTTCTAGTTTAGGAGGTCTGTGATGTCTCATTCCAGCCATTATTCTCAGCATTTGATCCTCTAATCTCTCACAGGGACAGTCAGGCTTTAGCTCAGATTGCAGTTGAATGGGAATCATTGGAAAGGCCACTGTTTTCAAAAGGGACTGCAGTTCATCTTTGGGGTGTACCATAATAGAGTTGTTGTGATGTAACAACACTGATCTGTTACCCTCATCGTAGGATTATTATCAATCCCAAATTACTGATCTGCTATGTAACAGCCGGTTGGAAAGATGTTTTTACTTGGTTTGTTGTCTTAAGTGTCATTTCAAAGTTATTTTTACATATCACAAACTTTTTCTGGACACTCAAGTCCTCTGAAGTCTGTTGTCTCTTTTCGTATTTTGTTAAAAGCTTGGCAAAAGTGGCAGCATTGTCAAAAGGATTTGTATCCTGTTGAGACCTCCTCGTTTTAACAAAATGTGATGTCTCATTGTGAAATCTCAGTGGGAGTTAAAGCTGTTAAAGTGGGACAGATGGAAAGCAATTTAAAATGCTGGAGGCGCCTCTGTCCTGTCTTTTATTAGCCATAAAAATGGAGTGTGATATGTAGAACTGGATAGACCAATGGATTTACAATTATAGGGGCAGAGAACATTTGGGAACATTTAATGTCAAGATGTATCTTTCAACTAAACCTTAGAGAAAAATTAAAAACACACATGCACACACATGTCCCACTGACCCCATAGGAATGTCCTTGAATGTAGAGGTTTTCTACACAAGACCCTCATTTTCTCTTCAGTACAACACAGACTGACATGTTACTCAAAACAAATCTTAAATCCTCTCTGAACACACACATGCACACAGAAAAAAACATCTGTGGTGTGGACAGATATGAACAGGGAAGATGTCTGGACTTCTATCCCTTCTCTTTGTTGAAAGTCAAAATTACATATCAGGGCGCCCCTAATCTTGACAAGCAAGGGTCAGGCAGGAAATGATGTCACGTTCACATTAGCAGATCTTCAGACGCTGATAAGGCCGCTCTGGGAGAGTGCAACAAGGGAGGGACAGCTAACCTCTTTGTCTTCCTCTTTCATCTCGTCCTATCAGGACCAGAGCGATCACAGACATTCGTCATTGAGACAGTACACTTCATAATAATGTCATAGAGACGTACTTTAAGAGTTTGGGTCTGAGCCAAGAAAAGGATACCCTTGATGAGTTATTAGTGCTGAGATTGCTGTTCTCCCCTTGTGTTGAATGGAAACGACGTGTAAAGTTAATGAATATAGACTCTGAGAACAAATGGAGTCTGGTAATTGATCCAAGAAGTGATGCAGGGGGTAAATTGCCCGGAGGAGAGCTGGCGTTCTCCCATCCTTTTAATGATGATATTAGTGTGTACACTCACTGTGAGTCATGCTTTATAAACTGTCAAGACTGTGGGCTGCTGTGGCTGACTGTACGTTGGAGGTTATGTGGGCGAGCACTGGTTTGAAGTAAATCTCTGAAGGGGTCCAGCTCAGTTGCTTTAGGTGTCTCCAACTCACCAAAAAGGAATTAGATGCAGAGGGGGGATATGGGGACCGAGCATTCAGGGTCCTATCCTGCTGTGTTTGTACGACTGTTTGTGTTTATGTCTGCTGTTAAGAAATAAAGTGTGTGTTTTTTTTATGTTTACTCTGTTGCTTAATGAACCCATGTGGGTGTGTCTTGCAAACTTCCTGACTTCAGCCGTATCGCTGGGACTCTCGCTCTCTATCTCTGTGTACATTTCTCTGTCTGGTTTTGTCTGGTTCGGGCTGTGTATACCTACAGTATGAGTGTTTATGTCTGCATTTTCTACAAGCACCCTATCAAATCTCCACGTCCACTGACTCACAGAGCACAGAGCAGCCCCCTCCACCTCCTCCAACCCTGCTCTCTGTTGATCTAGATGGACAGCCCATCTGGTTTTCATGAAGCAGGGATCAGATCTGAGTGTTAGCCCGCTGTGGCCCGCTTTCATCCTCCCTGCCCTTGGTTTCACTGTCACGTTTCTGCTGAGGAGACGGCCTGGACTTGTCTAGACTCTGACAATGAGTGAAAGAGAAATAAAGCCTGACTGCCTCGGTTTCTCATAAATCAGCTGGAGTCACAGATGGAGCTCATGTTATGGAAACATAACCAGAAACCAAATTGAAGTCACAATGATCCCCTCTTTAAGTTTGCTCTTCATAGTAAAATGTCACACTCAGTTTGTAACTTCAACAACAACAACAAAAAAAATTAAGTATTTGTATCAAAATTGGATATTTAAATGAAACGCATATATTGATGAGGATATAGCTTCAGGGATTGACGGGTAACTTTTCAAGGCTTCTGATGCAGCCAGTCTCAAAGGACCTCTCCTCTTACCATATGTTGCCATTGCTTACAGTTCAGCTCGTGATTAAAGATATGGGAAAGAGAGAGTCTTAGGAATGATATGTGCACTGGCCTAAAGGGATAACCTGGCGTAAAGTTAAGTTAGGGTCAAACACACCATAACACAGAGTAAGACACCCCCTCAAGAGATAAATGTTGCTGACCGCTTGCTTCTCTAGTTATACCAACTTAAGTAATGACTGCACAATAGCAATACACAGCGGTCTCAGTTGCCACACGCTCAACCAAAAAGCCACTTTATAGCCACAAATAATGCTCAGAACAGCACCTAACTTCATCAACAGTACATAGAGGGTCCCAGCCATAGCACTAGCCACCAAACATCTTTTTAGCTTTGCTGAATTTCTTTAGTAAAGAGACTAAACACAACTCACCCACTCTCCTCGAGTAGCCGCTTGTTTGTAGGGAAACCCTCGGACGAGTCCATCACTGAGTGCAGCGGGGTTACGCAGCTCAAGGAAGAACATTTATGATCATCTTCATGGAAATGCAAATATTCCAAGACCCCAAGGCAGAAGAACTACAGCGTCTGCAGTACAAAATGATTAATATGATGATTATTACTTCAAGGAAATGATAAAGCAATGGTCATAAATGTTCTTCCTTAAACTCTGCTGTACTCAGTTATGGACTCGTCCGAGGTTTCCCTACAAACAAGCGGCTACTGGAGGAGAGTGGGTGAGTTGGGTTAGTCTCTTTGCTAAAGAAATCAGGCAAAGCTAAAAAGATGTTTGGTGGCTAGTTCTATGGCTGGGACCCTATATGCACTGTTGATGAAGTTAGGTGCTGTTCTGAGCATTATTTGTGGCTATAGAGTGGCTTTTTGGTTGAGCTTGTGGCTACTGAGACTGCTGTGTATTGCTATTGTGCAGTCGTTACTAAAGTTGGTATACCTAGAGAAGCAAGCAGCTGGCAACATTCATCTCTCGACAGGGTGTCTTACTCAGTGTTATGGTGTTTGACCCTAAATTAATTTTACGCCGGAATATCCCTTTAATTACTCTTGAATGACTATGATAATAGATTACAGATGAAAGTATTGAAGATTTCAAAAACAAAGTCATTATATTACAAGGATAAAGTTGCGAAGGCGCCTCTTTTTTTTTTTTTTACAGTGGGAAACCACTGTGTCTCATATTTCCAGTGGCAGCCTCACCTGCTGAATCAAGAAATATTTTGGAAATGTACTCTGCTCTTTCTTTCCCTGATGAAAATATTCATACCCTTTCATAATTTCTGGAATTTGAATGAACAAACAGATGGAGGTTAAGGCCAGCTGTGAGCGGTATGTTTAAATCACCTCACCTACGTTCTTTTTCCTCGCCTTCAGCTGCCAGAAATAAACTATTGCCTGTCAATCATGTCTCTCAAAGACTGCCTCAGTGAAGCAGCAGGTCTTGGGTTTCATACTCTCTGCATTTTTGCCAGATGTAAAATGCAGTCTCGAGGTTGTAACCCTTCATTCCTCGGGCCTAATGTGGAGGTACAGCTCTCTCTTCACAGGCCTGCTGTTTGGCTTGGACCTCTTGCAGGGAAGCCCCTCTGCTGCCTCTCCCTTTGATATGACTCAAAAACTGGGCAGTCTGCCGGAAGACAATTGCTGAAGAGAGGAAATGAGAAAGCCTGAAGCAGACAGTGGAGGTCTACGTGGGACAGAGAGGAAGAAAAAGACTGACTTAGCCTTTAAAAGCCTGCGCTGATTAAAAATAGAAAGAAAAGGGGCCTCAAACAAGGGGCTCGATTTCTGCAGCTCTCTGATGCTTGGCCAAAGGAGTCTGTATGCATCTTTATGCATGTATGAGTTTACATGCGTTACAAGTAGGCTGTGGGAATGTCGAGAGTCCTGCATTACCTACTGTAACAAACATATTCAGTGTTCCTGCACAGACTGGCATGCTTTGGTACATCCATATTGTGTCTGTGGGTGTACGTGGGTTTGAGATAAAGCCTGAATGTGTTTCAGAGAGAGTGAAGAAATGCTCAAAAGCCTCGAGGGGGATTTCCCCTGAAAAGGGAAAGCTTTTTTTCTCCTCCCCCTCTCAGATACTCTCTCCCTCCCTCTCATTCTCCCTCTCTCTCTTCTCTCTCCCTCCTAAACACTCCAAACAGCCAGAGCCGCAAGAAGAGAAGTGAAAGAGGAGTTTGAGAATCAACAGGCAGTCTGACCAATTCGTTTCTTTCTGTGCTGTACACTCAAACTTTTGGAAAGTCTACCAAGAATGGAAGCATCTGCAGTGACTTTACAATCACGACAACTCACTGTCATGTGGAAGTACTTCAGTCGACTCTTGTTGTTGATGCACTGAACATGGCAAGTCTCTTAGCACGAAGCCCAGGGAGACTGTCGAGAGAGGATTATGCGGACCAAATATGAAAAAAACTTTTTGAGTGACTGAGGAGAAACTCCTGCAAAGATGGTAAAGTGAAATCTAAGTTTTACTCCTGTTCTGTTTTTGTCTGTTGTTACCTTTTGGTTTAGGTGTATTGTTGCTCCACTGACCCAGTAACTGAGAGCTCAGTCTCAGCCTTGAGGGTTGAGGGTTGGACAAGTGACTTTGTTTTGTCTCTGTAGCTTTGCCAGGCATGTGTGACTGAAGTTTTATGAGCCTCAAACGATGAAAAACAAAGAGTATTCCAGTGCTTTTAGCTGCATTTTTCTCATGCAAGTTGCTTTATCTTCTTTTTATGAAACTTTATTTTTGAGACAAAGGCAACACAGAGTTAATGTTACTGCACTCAAACCCTTTGTGTTATCCTGAGCACAGTTGGTGGGACTGTTCTACATCAACAGCCTTAAAAGCATCCCAAGCCTCTTGAAGTGTTTGTATTAACAAAGAAGGACAGACATCGCAGGTCATGTTGTCTTTTGTTTTGCATTTCAGTTCTTATATTAGGGCTTGATTGATGCAGAAAGAGCAGGAACATTATTGAGAGGAGAGTGTTTTGTTGTTTATATTAATTGAGTACTTTGCATGTATGCATAATGGAATTCCGCTGTTCAGGCTTTGGCAGTTTTAAAGACTCCAACAAGAGGGCTTTTTACGATGACAGAGGACCAGACTAATTCTGGTTACAGCCGGAGCTAATTAATGACATTGAATGTGTCATAAAATGCGAAGATGTCAAACTTTTACAAGTGCTGGAAGCAAGGGTGTCTTTCTCTGAACTTTTACTCCACTTACAATATACTTGTAAAATGCATGGTAAATACCCTGCCTGTACTCTCGAGCATTTGATAAAGTGCTCATTTGATGACAGCCGGAATTCACACAGTTGTCATGGTATTCAGTATTTTGTTTACCAAGTGTATCTTTTGTCTTTTTATGGAAAGCAGGTAGACCCTTAACATCTTCCCAGGCGTGCCAGAATAATTTACAGACAGCGGGAAGGATGTTTAAAGAAGTCCAGACATGGCCACCAGTGGACTTTGTCCTCCCTCGCAGCACTTGTTTGACCAGCTTTTACAGCCCCAGATGTTTGTTTAACTTATTACAAGACTGATGTTGTTTTCCCTGACCACCCTCCAACTTCCAGTCAGGAGCCTACAGAGCCTGAATTATTAGATTACTGCGCCATGTGTGACCAAATGTGTCTATCTTAAGTAAACACTCAGCATTATACAAAACCCAGAGCCTTTAGTTACTGGTGTTCAATCTGTTTGCATTTAGTTACTGTGTGACAAGTACAGCACAGAGTCATTCATTCACAGGGAAGGTCAAGAGCTTTCATCTTGAGGCCTTTGTGAAGCAGCTGCCTTGGTTTGTTGTACTGTAAGCATGGCAGTCTGGTGCAGTGCTGGTATGTTTTTCCAGTTTGTGCTTGTTGCAGTTTTCAAAGTGCATTTGCATAAACTTTTACTGAGTACAAGATAATGCAAATCATCAAAGTATGATTGAGACTTGCTGTCGGGTTTTGGGTGCAGTCCCCCATGTCTTTCCTCTGCGATCCATCACAAACTATAAAGACAGTAATAAGCAGGTTTGTTCAAGAGGGACAGGCAAACAGCAGTAAATTTAGCCTTTACAAGGCAAAACATGCTTTTAGACTTTTTTCGATTCGTCACAAGGAGAATTTATTGCTTTTTAGGGGGCAGAGCAGCAAAATAATTTTCAACATGAAGCATAAAAACAAGCAATATAAGCATTTTATTACTGTGCTGTTAGATGCTGTTAAATGTTCAAAATTGACTCTTTGCTCTGAATTAAAGGCTGGTAGAAATATCGAGCTCCTTAGCTGCTGACTTAATGGTACTAAAGTGGAGGCAGTAGAGCAAGTGCAGCTCTTGAGACCAAGACAAATGGCCCCAAGAGCAAGGGATCAAGTTTATGTGTCATGTGGTATGGTATGGTATCTTAATGACTTAATTATTAAAGACCCTAAAAACTGCAGACAGTTCTTAACAAAGAGCTGTCTGTCACAGGAAGCATCATGTATGGTGAACAGGTGGTGGCGTAAATGAGGATTCTGACAGGGTGAACAGAATACCATTTTATCCCACTTATATTCAGGCTACCCATGGCAGACATCTAGAAGTTTATACAAAATACTGATTTGAATAAATTTATTGATGTAAAGATTTTTTATCTATTCAGCCAAAAAAGTAGTCCCTCCTCCAACTCTGTGGTGCTTTGACCGCAGCTGATACTCATCAGCCTCTTTGCCCTGCTCTGTTGTCATTCAGTTCTTCTTCTTCCAGGAGTTTTGCAGTTGACACATCTGTCTTTTCATCAACGGTAACATTTAAGGTTTAAGTTACTGTATCTGTTGGACACACTATTTTAAAGCCTCTGAAATTTCAACTGACTGACTTTGCAGGTCCTGGCTTTAAGGGGTCACATCTGTGTCTCCCTCTCTTTAACAGCCATGGGAGCGTCATCAGCAGCTCCTTCCTTTGCCTGCAGCAAGTCAACACATTTTTACAATACCAGTGCCTGTGCTCTCTTTTCACAGACAAAAAATGACTTCCTTCCCACTACTCCAATTGCTGTGATTTTGCCAAATTTCTACGCAGAGAGGCTGGGAAAATCCATACAATAATCCAAAGTGATTTACAGAGAAAATATGGATAATCACAAACATCTGCATTGTGGATCTTTATTAACTTACATCCTTTTTTTTTGCAACAGTCAGCAAGTCAAAGTTCTTAAAACTGTCATGAAGCTGTGAGACATATTTTCAGTGTGTTTATTATCTCTGTTTCACAAAAGTGGGTCAAATTCAACAGAGCCTGTCCAGTGTATTTTCAAAACAGAGTCACTGCCAAAAGTTGGAGGGGAAACGTCTGTGCAGCTATAGGCAGTCTGGGAGTCCTTTTTTCAGCAACCATTGTTTCCAGGAACATAGCTACTGTAATGTTGTCGTTTCCTACCCAGACTGTGTTGGAAAGATACTGGTCTCCAGACTCAAGATAAGTCTTTACATGCTTGAAATCAGACTTGTTGAATAACTTTAATCAAACTGGTTTGGCAGAGCATGATGTGACAACTATGTCACATCATGTGACTCTATTTTCAAACTTAGTTTGCTGTGCAACTGGTTTGAAAAACTCAAGGCTCTATTTTCCATCCTTGACTTGTGTTTTTCCTAATGTGGAGGATATCCTGAATGGATTTTGAGAAAACTTTGCACAGCTCTAGGTTGAGAGCAGCACATGTCATTGTTTAAAACACACCTCAGGAAAGTATTCACTGCTAATCCCATGTGCTGGGGCTAAATGGATCAAACTTTTATGTATGTTAGTGATCTGTTGTATTTTTGGGCGGTTTTGTTCTTAGGGTGAACTTTAAGGGAGATATTACATATTGAAAAACTCCTCAAGAAGTGAACTTTTTGAAACTTATTCCTGCCATAAGTCGAAATGTCAGCTTAGATCTATTTGGTTTTGTTCAGTCATGTTAAATGGGAGCAGCTTTTGAACCAAGTCCCAGGAAAGAGTTAACTCAGGTCTTTGAAATTTCTGTAAAAGCCACAGTAGTGCCTTTTTAACTCCACACCTATCCTGAGGTAGTGTTTACAAAATACATCAAACCGGCATGATAAGAAGCGAGACAATCAGTCTTTTTATTGAACGCATCTACGGTTGAGAGATCCATGGCACCCAGGCATCAATTCAGAGAACAGGTTTTGAGAGTAACACTTCAGGACATGTAATCTGTGGGGCTGTGAGTCAGGGTTTCTGTTTTCAAAAAAAAGATGACAGCAGAGATTCATACCTGTTCACACACTTGGTCGATTGTTCTCCACAATCCTAAAAGATGAGTGTTGCAGAATAACCATCCGCTCTTGATAATTGACCGTATCTCTCTTTTCCTCTCTTTGTATCTTTCTTTCTCATATATGCTTTGAGTAATTGTGCTCTGCAGAGAAAAGAGAAAGAAAGAAGATAACAGGCATTGTTACGGAAGCGTAAGAGCTTTATTCCTCTTTAGGGGATAAATTCATAGAGCAGACTTTGCTGACGATTATTCTGTTAAGCAGTTTTTGTTTATTCCTGTTTCAACTGACCAGAAGTGCCATTTGCTTCTTTTCATTGTAAAAGCAAGTTTGTTATTGAGTAAGGAAGACACAAGGCTGTAAAAAAGGTGAAATAAAAGCATCCAAACTCATGTTTTTTGTGCAATCTCTCCACTAAAGCTTGATCACAGACAAAAAAATCACTCCCTTAACCCAGAATAATTCATCCTAAATTATCACGGGTTGGGTGTATTGTTACATCCCTATTGTATCTTGCAGGATATGAGAACAATGGCCAAATGAGACACCTAAAACATGACGTATTCACTTTAAGCAGACATCTTAGCTTTAAGCTGCAAAACGGATGTGTGAATAAGTGAATGAATAAGGAAATTCTGCCAGATTGAAGCTTTGCAAACACACACCCTGTTTACTCCTGGCAGTAGTGACTCTTTGAATGATGTAGCAGTTGGGTCTTTTCATCGAATATAAGGATTGGAAATGGCTTAACTGAATGGAGAGCCCTTCTGCTGAGTTTAACAAGAGTGGATCAAACACAAAGGAAGCACTGTCTTGCTGCCAAACAGGAGACACTGAATGATAAAAGAGGAAATAAAAGTGCCATGGGATGAGTATTAACCGAGATACTGGTGTCTTTTTCATGAGCATGTCATTACTTTGAGACCCTCTTGTTTTCATGTTTGTGTGAAACCCATTTTGTTGTTCTGAATGAATTAAAAAAGGGAAAATTCTTTAACTACATAGCTCACTTGATGTTTGGGGGGGGGGGGGGGGTATTTTCTCCTTAGGGGGGCATTTCCCATCAGCCCTCTGTGTCAGCACTGAGACTGTTGATGTGTCATCTTTGAACATTGCACATTTTTGCATTTCTGCAGGCCTGTACATGCAGCAGTCAGGTTTTCATCAGCATTTACTGGCAGCTCTTGACTGAACTGTCACTTCTGCTCAGGTTCTGGCTTTAGAGGTATACAGACAAATGTTAGTTTCTTTGAGAAAATGTCATGACCCGTAGAAAAACACACCAACGAATCCATTCAGCATGTCCCGTCACGAGCTCTGTCCATCTAGTTAATCTCTTCATGATGACATCCTGGTCAGCTTTACTGGCCTTAATCTTTTTAGGCCTTTGTGGCTGATGACACACACACACACTGTGCTTTACACACCTTGACAAGTTGTTTATACTTTGGCCAAAATCTCGGTCCTGCCTTCTTTGGCCAAAGCTCGAGGCAATACAGAGAAACCTGCAATTATCTGCTTAAAACTCCAAACTCAAAAGTCTCCCGGGGGGCCAAGACAAGACAAAAAGAGAGTCAGCCTTCATAACAAATGTCTGTTGTCCGGCCTAGCATGCCAGTTCAGGTCAAACAATGATCTTTGTCACAGATTTGAGATATTTCTAGGGTTAAACCGCAGGCAGAGGGCAGAGAGGGAATCCCCTTGTGTTGAATGTTTGGAGGAGGCGGCAGAGGAATGTGGTCGTCAGCTGGACGTCTCTGCATGCCAAGACAAAGATTCAGGGTTTAACTTTGATTGAATTCTCCTCAGTGGTTTCATTTATAGTTAAAAAGAAGTGGCAGCTCTGTTTCTGTCATCATGAGTAAAACGTAGTAAACTACTGCACACTGATATTTGGTAAGAAACACCAAATATCAGTCTTCAGAACAATGATGGTGAGTTAAAGTGTCTGGATGCTCATATATAACAACAAATATTGGATCATCAGTAGTTTGTGCAATGGGAGGCTTTTACAAACACAAAGACTGTGTGCTTTTGAAGGGGGTTTCTGCTGTTTGACCACAAACATGGAGGATCTCTTTGGATGTGGGCATATACATTTATAAAGGCCAACAACCAATCAGATTTACGTAGCATGTGACGTAGTGCATAGCCACAGAAATGTAAACAGAGAGCAGCATACAGGAGGAAATTACACATCTCTCTTACTAATAAATAATGAATTTGCAGTTATTTGACCTTGTTCCAGAAAAAATACATCATGCAGTTTATATAAAAATGGCAAACAAACAAATTCAGCAGACCTTTCAGTGGCAGAAGTGGGCATCATATGAATACACTGAAGTATCATTCCTGCCATGTCATTGTAAGTAAAGGACTGTGAGTGGTTCAGTTTCTCTGCACAGAGGGGAAATCGTGTGGAAAGACAGGGGTTCAAGACTCATACCAGCAGAAATGAATATAAGTTGGCTGATGGGTCAGGTGATCATTTTCACCTGTAAGCTTGAAACATTGGTGAAGTAATAATCCGCAAAAACTTGTGTGAAATAGGTGTGGGTTTTTACCATAGACTGTATATAGATTGGACGCCGTCTGCCTCCTCAATGGGTGAAACCATCCTGAGAACAGCACCCTCTGGTGACGGGCTGCAGTATAGGTCATAAATCCCGCCTCCACCAGCCATCCTTATGGAGCTGCAGACAAACTTTAGAAATTTATTACACAGAATTTAAACTTTTCCCCCCCTTGCTTGCGATGTTGACATGTAGTTGTAAGACTGGTTTGTGCTCACAGTGACTCGGCAACTCTCCCGCCGAATTCGTACAACGCTACTGCGCAATGTTGGTTTCAGTACGTGGAGAAAAAAACGTGAAAATACAGAGAGCTATTTGGTTTCAAATCCGTACACTGGCAGAAGGTAGAACCAAGTTGTCCATAGTATACACAGTCTATGATTTCTACATGTTTGCAGACTAATTAGTTTAAACTAAACAGGTTTAACGTCCTCTAGATACTCTAACACAGTGGTTCTTAACCTTGTTTGAGGTACCGAACCCAGCAGTTTCATATGCACTTTCACCGAACCCTTCTCGAATTTACATAATGAGTCAGGTGTGTCTTGACCTCCGTGGCAGAGGCTCCGCCGAACCCCTGAGACTGACTCACCAAACCCCTAGGGTTCGATAGAACCCTGGTTAAGAACCACTGCTCTAACAACAACCGGCTGAAGTACGCTGCAGTTCTAGAAAATAAGCTCTTTGCACTGAACGTTTCAAGCAATTTAGTTGGACAAAAAGTGTAAAAACATCCACAATGAGACATTTTTGTTCGTGTTATTAATGCACCAACTTCAGGAACTAAATCTTGATATGTCCGCTTGTGAGGATATCACACCCTCTTTTAAAGCAATAGGATGTGAGTTGAGCTTATTTATTTTTCGATTTGCACTCTACCAGATCCAAAACTGCTTCCTTGCTAAACTGTGCAGCTTGGCAGTATTTTGCAGGTTTCTAACTGTATATAGGTAAAGGGGTTATCATACTATTATTATGAGTATGATTATGAAGCAGATACCGCTCAAAACACAATCTCTTTTCTCAGAAGACTGGACACTGAGGCTTTAACAGTTCGGCCCTGTTTGGCATGTTATCTGGCGGTTTGTCAGAGCTAATGAAACCCAGAGGAACTCACAACATCAACAGCTACCCTCCTTACCCTCTGTTCATTTGGCTGACTGATCTGTTTGAGCCAGGTCCAGCTGAGCTGTGCTTAGTAAAATCTCAAGAGGCTCCCACTCACATGAATATCACCGAACAAACCTCCCACAGAGACAGGTTAAAGTCAGGGCAGAGGGAAACGTCTCACACTTCTTTGTTTTGAGAGGTTTATTCAGGAATGACGATTTAATATATTAGCCAAAGTGTTAACAATAAGAGGTCTAGATTTCCTATTAAGTTCCTATTGGATTGACTTGAAGATTTACTAAAGCACCGATGCTTAACAACACTCACTCGAACAACACTATCACTGTTTACTGAATGTTTCATGCCAGTACTGTAACCACAGAGTTGTTTTTGTACCAAATAGGACCTCTGGATTGTCGCTAGCTCTAAGAGATACAGTAGAAGTCAGAGTTGAATAGCTGCAGTCAGCCTAAAACAGCTGTGATGCATTACCACACAAGATCCTGCCTCTGAGGTATTCTGCTCTCCATTTCCTAATCTGTTGAGACAGATGTGCACAATCAGAGAAAGAAAGAATTCTTTTCCAGTGAAGACATTCAGTGTCTACATGAGATATAAAGACTGTGAATATCTGTTCAAATATTGATCCTGATTAACATCCAACATTCCACGTTTACTGTCGTGATGAATGTTAGCTTCATGCTAAGACATTTCAGATACTTTATTTGAACTAAATCATTTGTATCCAAAAGAACAATGCCAGGTTCAAACTAGACTCAATTGTTTGAATCATAGTTAAATGGTAAAAGCTGCAGACAATGATTCATGAAGAAACTTTTCAACCTCTGCTCCTGATCTTTCCAACATTTGTTGCTAGTGCCAACACAAGCATCCTTTTAGCTCAACAGGCAGCGCAGTCCCAGAGCTAACCAGAGTGAGGTCTTTGAAGCTGCTGGACTTGTGTTTATCCAGGGCACGTCCTTGGTCCTTGTTAGGCCATCAAGCTAAATGAGGAGGGGGCTAAAAACAGAGTCTTTTGTGGGGAAAGGGAGATTAACACAGCAGGCCACTGTGAACTAGTTTTATGAATAGCACGCCTGCTGTGGTTAGTGGCTAAGACCTGCTCCGGTCCAAAATAGATTTCAAGTCACTTTCTTTTGCAAATCATTTTTTTGTTTACAAGTACAGAAATAAATTCATTTAACAGGAGGTGTACTGTGTGTGTCTGAAAGAACAAAATTGTATTTTTCAATCTGCTCTGTAGGTGCTTAATGACAAATATTATTGCTGATCATTAAATAAATTACTCTGCACTTCTGCCTGACACACACTGTAATTTGGTCTCCACAGAAAGCAACTTTGTTTTTATCTATAAGGGATTAACCCTTTAACAAAGATACACACTTTCTCTTGATGTTCAATTTTAAATTTAAATACTGTGAATTAAAATAACAGGAAAACATGGCAAACAGGCATGTGTTTCATCTTTTATTAAACCATTTTAATGTACTTACATGTTGATTTTTAGTTGGTTTGGAAATTTTCTTTGACACCAAACAGGCAGGCAAACACAGAAAAAAAAAACAGTTTTATGTTTGATAGTTGATTTATTCATATCTTACCAAACCCATGCCCTTTGTTCATCTAAATAAACATTTGTGTCCTGGTGAGCGTCACTCAAAGCTTATATGTTCTAAGGATACCCAGTGCAGACATCTTTTTGTGCACGACCCTGAGTGTTGCTCTTGACAGAACATCATGTTGTTTGATACAGACGCATCACAATTGACACTTTTGATCAATCCGCTCATGTTTCTTTCTTTCTTTGCTTCATCGTCTCACTTTGAATGAGATCAGACACTGACCCTGGCTTGCTACAAGTGCACTATTTCAATGAAGCATTCCCTGGCCAGACATGAAAGAGGTTGCAGGACGGACTTAATCATCTCAAGATAAAGTAAAAGAAAACTCTGAAGGAACCCCAACAACAATCCTCTCTTGATCCCCTAAACATGACAGGTTTAGATTTACCTCAAAGCCCAGTATCAAAAGCACAGATTTGTACATCATGCAAAGATTTTGATGCTTTCAATTTTATTTTCTTGCAGGTTTTATGTCTTACAGATGTTTCTTCCTGTTATATAAAGCATTCGCTACCTTTTCTTTGTTCTCCTTCTTGACACCAAAACCTCTCTGATGGTTCCAAACAAACACAGCCAGAGCGGAGAGGCCAAAAATTCTCTTGTGTTGTGGTTTTGCAGTTGTGGAGTATTTGTTCTAAAAAATTCTCTTCTATACAGATCACGTTCAAGTAAATCAGTGTGAGAGGTAGTCAAGTTGCAAATGGTTCACATTTCACACTCAGGTCAGGGCACTGTTTACCCACACAGCTGTGAGCCAAAATTTGCACAGGCCAGGTCACCAAAAGCAGGTTGACTGTAGCTAGAGCATAGTAAGATGAATAAAAAGTTTAGCTATCAGGGGTAAAAAATTAAAAAGTAAACTTTACAGAAACATTCTGAGGGCAAGTGGTTTGAAATCTTTGGTACATTTATAATGAAGTTTGGGTCCACTTGTTTGAGTGATATTTAATTTAGTCTTTTTTCCCCTCCTCTAACTGTGGCCAACTTTCCCCACTCACTTCAGATTGCTGGCAGGTTGTCTTACCTTGCTGCGGCATATTCATATTTCCTGTTAAATAAAATTAATGTTGCTAGAAATTACAGAAGCCATTAAAAATCCATCCAATGAAGTTTTGGACTGTATCCAACGCTATGAAAAAGCGGCAATACTAGGACTTTATTTTAAAGGCTGCTGCTTCATTTAAACAGTCTGGTATAGAAGATTTATTTTGCTTTTATTACGTATTTTACTGTTCACAAATGCCTTTGTTTAAAGGTCAGAACATTTTTTATTCAAACAGACGGTGATTATACCACTCCTGTATTCATGCTGCCACAGTGGTGCTCTGTTAACTTCCTATTACACACAGAGTAGCTGGATGCGTAGTGGTTTTTGATTTAGTAATCCTAATCAGAATTTAAATTTAAATGTCAGTTTGGGGTTTTTAACGAGATTATGTGGCTGTAAAACACAAGAATGTGAAAAAGTAGGTCAAAATTACAGAAGTCATTAAAAAAGTGACTGGACATGCAGTATTTTCCCTTTTAGGAGAATATTTTCCATTATTCTGTTAGAAAGCACAATGCTTTGTACTTGATATATTCTTATTTTATACATTTTGCTATAACTGGTACTCCATCGCTTCTTGCTCTCCTCAGAATCCAGAATCTCTGGACTCGTCCATCCAGAGCGCCCTCTCGGCCCTCTTCCCACCTTTTGATGCCACAGCGCCTATTGTCCTCAGCCAGCTGTTTCGCACCATTGATGAACGTTTCCACGGTGATGCTTTACAGTGCCTGCTGGACTTCCTCATCCCCTCCAAACACTTGCTGGAAAGTGTCCAACAGGCAGCATGTGTGAGTACCTGTTCTTTAAAAGCTTACATCTGCATTATCCGTCTTACTCACCTGTGAACTCATCTTTGGAGACTCCAGTAGTTGGTGGTAATACTGGGGACTGTCAGATATACAGCATAAAGTCCACTCTGTACACTCTAATAAAGAAAAAATTGGTTTAAATCACTCTTTGCATGAGCTTATCTGCGATAGTTCATCTTAGGAATCATATTTTCTCTCTGAGTCATATCTCTGAGTGTTATATCATACACAGACTTTTCAAATTAAGTGAGAAATATTACCATTGCTGAAGACCACGGAGGATACATCTTCACGCTTACTGAGGAGAAAATGATCAAAACCGCACCCTCTCATCATCATCCTTGAAGCTATGGTCTCTTGTTTCCTCTAAGTTCCAAACTAAACCCCACCCAATTCCCCCAAGAGACCCCTTCCTTACTTCACTGACAAGCACAACAGCACTCACCCTGCATATAAAAGCAGATAAACCACGTTTGATTCAAACCCTCATATCCTCAAAGACCATCAAATTGAAATTCTTTTTTGTTTAGTTTTTTGCCTTTCTTCTTTTTTTCAGCAAATATAATGTCATTGTTGTGTTATAAATCTCTTTTTGACTTCCAGCAGCACACTAATTATGTTCTTCACTTGCATTATTATCACATTTTTGCACGGTAAAAAAATAATCATGGGAAAGACAAAAAGTAGGAAATCTCTATTATCATATTTAGCCTTTTTCTTTCTTTTAACCTTTATCACTTTTTAGATTTTTCTTATTTATCAAAGTAACAAAGATATATTTTAAAGGACATCCATGAGTGTACCTCAGCTTTGTACTGCAGTACTTACACTAATTTGGCACGCAATGAAAGGACAGAACTGCCAAATGTTCCAAAATAAAGTGAATATTTGTTAAATTTGCCACTCACAATGTGACTCCCTGACTCCATGGCAACAATTATTTCCTCTGTACATAATCCAAGACAATAATTCACATGGAAACACAGAAACTATACATTAAAAAATGGCGGCATAAAAAGCTTCACTTTGTCTAAATGGACAGAACTTCCCATTAAACTAATTATCTTCAGGACAGTCGGGCTGGGAAGCTCAAATTCTGTTCGTTTGTGGTATTCCCTCGTAATATAAGTCATAGACACCTGTACAATTTCTTATAATTTCTAGGATTAATTAACAACTGAAATGAATTTAGGTAGTGAAAACCTGAGGGTAAATCAAGCCATACCCATCGTTGAAAATAAAGAATCCAAAAAGAAATAACAGCAACTGCTCATGTTGGCATTGTACTGTACTGCTTTAAGGCTCATAATACCATAAACTGACTCTTTTCTCATACTGCTGTTTATTGATATCAAGATGTATTCGCCAAAAGTGGATTTAGCACTAGTTAACTAACGGGAACTAATGTATTCCAGATCCAAACCCAACATGTTTATTGTTGTTTTAAATATAAGAAAAATTCAATATGTCCTAATTGGTTGGTAGCCGTGTATTGTCTTTTCAGTTACCAAAAAATCAAGAGGAAGTGAAGGTGTTTGTATTTTTCACCCCTCTTAACCAAAAGTTTATCATAATGATAACATTTTAGCTTCAGACCCTGAGATTGACATGAGAGTAGGATATTTTTGACTGTGACTGTCTGTGACACAAACAAAGATAATGTCATGAATCTGAAACTGAGCTCTTGTTGTTCCAGGCTGGATACTCAGACGTAGTTTTCCGTTGTGAAGGCTGGCCTCTGTGTCTCCGTGACAAAACCGTCGTTCAGCTGGCACCTGTGAACCCTTTGCTGCTACGCCCTGGAGACTTCTATCTACAGGTGGAGCCTTTCGGGGACCAAGCAGCTCGCATTGTCCTCAAAAGCCTTCTGGAGGAGGGCTGTCGAGAAGTGGAGGAGACCCCCATCCCTGAGACTTCTTATCCATGTATCTTCACAGAGGAGTGGCTACAGGATATCAATGAAGGACGGCATGGGACTCCTCTGTCACGCTGCTTACTTTGCACAGATCAAGGAGTCATCAAGCTACCCTGGGCTCAAATTGCCATCCCGGAGTTTTTAGATAAGCCAAAAGTAATGCACTCGTACAGGGAAGCCCCTCCAGAACCAAAACAGACTTCAGGCCCCTCTCACTTTAACTCCTCCACTCTCCCAGTGGAGGCAATATTTCTTCCTTCAAAGGACAGGATGGCCGCCTCTTTGAGACCTCCAGACTCTTCCAAGCTTGTCAAAATGGTCCACGCGAGACGACTCCCAAAGTCATGCGCCAAGCCTTTAATCAAACCGGTGGGTTGGGTTTCTCCAAACACCTGGGACAGACCCAGCTATCAAGAGATTGAGGGTGACTACGTAGACCTGGTGGATGTTGCAAAAGAAAAGGACCAACCAAATCCACCCAATTCAGTTTCATTCAAACCCGTCAGATCTCCTCCACCCGTACCTCTTGGGAATTCTTGTGGACGTACATTGCAGTTTGCAGAGGAGCCTTGCACACCATGCAGCCAGAGAAAGCTGGGGCATGAGGACTCTGATGAAGAGCTGAAGTGTCGGTACAGAGACTCGTATGTAGCAGCACTGAGAAACCCCGTCCCTTTTGAGAGAGGGAGCGCAGAACTCCTGGCTGCCCTGGAGGAAGCCAGCATTTGTGAAGAGGTAGAGTTAAGATCCAAGGGTGCATTTGATGCACAAAAACCTGGAATCCTTTGTAACCACTGTAATAAACCTAGGATGAGTAATGAGCCCTGCCAGTATAGACACAGCGGAGAACCTGTAGCACCCAAAGACCCTCCAAGTTTTGAACCAGAAAACCTTATGAAGGAACCGCCCCTGGTCTTAAAATCAACCCCTGGTTTGAGCTACAGTCAAAAAGTTCAGATGAAACTTATTTCCCAGCATCCTGGACACAATGCTCCTGTTCTTCCAGGATCTGAGGGGGGCCTTAGAAACTGTCATGGTGACATCAAACCACATCAAAGCGCAGAGATGGCAAAGCCTTCAGGGAAGCACAAAGTTAAGGTCAGGTCACTGTCCACTGTCTCTGAAACCTCCAAAGGGAGTCCACCTCTCTACAAGCTCAACAACAGGAGCCACAGTGATATCTGCCCTGAAACAATCAGCAGCATTATACACTGTAAGAAAGGGGAGCTATTGGATCAGGTGACTCAGAAGCTGGAGAGGAGGAAGTCACCTAAAAAAGGTAAGCAAGCAGACAAGTTAAGGCTGATCTTATTTGATAAAACTCTTGCTTCGTCCTTTTGTTCTCTTTGAATCCCACCCACACACAAAGTATTGTTTTTACTGCACACACAGCCATCTATCATGATCCGTTGCTCAACGCTTCAAGGGCCACTAAACTTTCATGTCAGACAGACTGATTGAAACTCGACCGTGACCTCGCGTGCTTGAGGGAATGTGCTCCACAGAGGGTCACAGTTCATAAAGGCTCCTTAGAAAGAGGGTTCAAAGTTCACAGTCCAGGCTTGGGTATGATCTTCCTCAAGGGATTCTCCCACTGCTGTCCAAGTCTCCTTGCAAGTTATCCCCTTAACCTAGGGAGTGAACGGAAATAGCAGGCTGCGCCCAAAAGAAAGGAAGAGCCTGAACCACATTGGGTTATAAGGAAGGGCAACATTTTTGTAATATTAAGAATCAGAATAACATGCAAGAAGGAAGTTTCTGCGTCCTCTGCAGTCACTGGCATGCACCCTCATGCCCTCAGAGGGGCATGTGGAGATTTCAACTGGAGACATGCTTGTCATGGACTATTAGAGGAGGAACGAGAGAGAGCACAGACAAGGCTTTGTTAGCTCTAAGGAGAGGCCAATTAGGATATCTGGAATCAAAGCCAGACCTAGAAGCTAGGCCACCACAGTGTTTTGTTCACAGTGTTTAGAGGCTGTCTACACACAGATGTGCAGCTGCATCCATGCTGATGGAGAACTACAGAGAATAAAAGACAAAGAAGTGCTTAATTCCTGTTGTTATAAGATGACAAAAGTAACTGTACAGAAAACAAATTTGGTGTAACCTGTTGGTTTGATGGAAAAGTTCATAATAATTGGAGTCCTCAAGATTTACTTTTGTAGCAATGCTCCAAATGACTGTGTAAAAGATAGAGTATCCGTCTCTACCTCCTTACCCTGTACAAAAGTGAAGCCAAAATACCCTCTGCATGGATCCCTCAGCAGTTCATTATGTTCATGGTATATTCATTCACTTGGGGAGCTGTTATGTCGTCCATACCTCATATGTTTGATGCATTTTCCTTTAAGGCAATTGTGTTTGTGTTTCCTGACACACAGACTCCCAGATAATGGATGGACTGGACTCACATCTCCATCACTCAAAGGCAGGCCGGCCAGCTTCTCAACCATATCCACATCTGTCAGCATGTTCAGACATGCCACACTCCCCACAAACAGAGAAGTTGAGTTTCAGCCACATCAGTGGACTGCTTGAACTGGGCATTATTTGTTTACCAGGTATATGATATAAAATTACCCCAACACTTTATCAAAAGGTCTCTGCAGGCTGTTTTATTTCTGTACTTTAGTGAGTATTTTTCTATCAAAATCTTCGGTTTAAGACATCTGTGGCCACCGTTGAAAAGTGTCCAAAAGGGTTGAAAATCTTTTACACAGAGTGAGACTGTATTGGGTTGTTGATTTATCTTCACAGTAAAATCTGTATCTGTCACAAGATTGATCACACACTCACACATAAATTAACAATATTTCTGCACTCAAATCTGTTACATATTCTGGCTAAAATGATCCTCTCACAGTGGGTCAAAGTCTCCACCTAACATGAAAAGACAAAAGTGTTTGATCACAAGACTGTCTGTATGGCAGTCTGCTTCTCACCACCATTATGCTCGGAGCTCTTGTGATATTCAATCAACTGCAGCAATCCATTTCTGCAATCAGAGCAGTGCAGATGTAACTACTCATGGGTAATCGTTTTTACTTCAACTTCCTAACTTCACACAGTTCCATTAATCACTATATTCATGATTAAGCATTTTAAAAAAGAAAAACATTGAAATTACATCTTTGCTCGGATGGGTTTTGGACAAGTGCTGCAAGATTGCATTGAGGAAACAACATTACAACAATCATTTCCACCCTCAAAACAACCCATTTATTAAAGTTGTGGGCGAAAAACGCTTTTTCCAACATGTCATCATGATTGAATATTAACCTCAACAAAACTACTATTATATCCAATCCATTTTATTTTAAATAGCACAATTTAAGCAAACACAAGGTTTCCAAAGTGCTGCACAGTAAGATAAAAATACAATAAATAACACAATGGGAGCACAATAGATAAGGTAAAAATAAAATGAGATGAAACACAGCAAAATCAAATAAAAACAAATACAATAAAATAAGTGAAGTCAACCTCCTTTGACCTTTGACAACCCAAAACCTCATGCAACATTGTCCCTTTTTTTGTCAATTATGAACCACTAACATTTCCTCTGTCATGTAACCCTTCAGGCAGCAGGGACAAGACTGGCAGGGCAGTGGTGGAGGTCCACGCTGGCAAACAGGAGTGGAATTCCCCTCTCGTGTCTGCCCAGAGTCTCTGTGAATTACTGCTCTACTTACACTCCATACCAAGGTACTGAAAGCAACAATAAAAACATAAGAGGAAGAATAAGAAGAACTTTATTTATCCCCAGAAGGGAAATTCAACATGGTATCTCTGTTTTAAATATCTGTAACCAAGATAACGTGATAGATCAGAGTCATAAAAGGAGGAAAGAATGGTGTCCATATCCCATGAACAGCCTGACTTATACTGCTAACTTACTGTGTACCTCCCATGCGTACCGGTTTGCAATATGTGATTTGACCACAAGAGGGCAGCAGAGCACTTTTCAAAAGTTTTTCTAGACCACAGGAATGTACTCTATGTATCATGCACTTCTACCTTAGACAAATAGATTTTAAGGGAAATTTCAATGTACAGATACACACTAATGAGGAAAATATAGTTCAAACAGACTCAAAGTGTTATAAGCTGATCAATTATTCGCTGGTTCTTACATTTTAAGATCGGCTGGCTGTAACATTGACCCATGCTGACCCTTCTCCAGATAAGTTTCAACACTTAGCCCTCAGAGGTCTACTTTAAACACTCAAACAGTTGTTATTTGTTTATACTGGGTTTAGTGAGGTCTTTGAAGTTAAAAAAAGGACATTTCACCAGATACTCTGGCCTCCTCTTGTCCCCACTAAAGAGCCATACCACAACAGACTGTAGCCGGGCTGGCTGCCAGCTGTCTGGTATGTAGCGTCTCACTAGAATTAGCAGTAACCCAAGAAAAGCCCATTAAGAGGAGTGTGTGAAGGCATAAAAGCATGAGATAGGATGTGTGAAGAAAGGTGTGTGGGTGTAAGAGAGAGTGAAAGAAAAGATAAACACAGATTTGAGAGGTGGAATAAGTTCATAAGCCCAAGGTTTTGGGCTTGAAAGATGAGAGTGATGAAGTGTACGTGTTGAAACAAGACTACAATCGTTGTTTTCATAGGAAAGAAGTTGGAGAATTGGGAATGACATTGGTCATTAATGCCAGGAAGAAGCCTCCCCCACTTCACTTCTACAAAGCTCTGCTGATGGCCCAGGTTAGACCAATAAACCTGCATGCATCCAAACAGATGAACACACCATGAGAGAAAAAACATGACAAAAAAGAAAGATCAATTTAAGTCAGTATCAGATTTTAGAAAAACACAGCCACACACTGTACCGACGATTCATTCTACTAGAGGTTTTACACTTTATCTGAGAGGTGCAGTTTTTGATTGTGAACACATTGATTCTTCACATTCTTTGTCTAGAAATGAATTAAACATATTTTCAGTTTGACATGTAAGACTTTCCTTATTTGGACCTTCATCTCTCACAACCTGCTTCAGGAGCAAGCTCTCCATACTGTCCACAGTATTGTGATGCTGGTGGATAAAGACACTTGTCCTCGTCCTGAAAAACAGCCAGGGTTACAGGTAAGATCAAAAATGTCAGTTTTTACCTCAACATCTTTCCTTTTACTTTAACTCAACACGTCAAAACGTTGATGTTTTCTTGATGCTTAAAATGTGCCTTTTCTCTGAAGATGGACACGGTGACATCCATGAAAGCCCTCAACAAGACAGTAGAAACCTGCCAGCTGACCACTGACTTAGGCGGGACCTTCACTTACAGTCATAGCGACTGGCTGCAGTTTTATCAGGTAATAAAGTTGATTCTGTGTTTACGTCACTGCTGCAGCTGTAGTATCACAGCACACCCCTACTTTGCTTTACTGCGGAGTTTCCCCAGAACTGCCGTTTAACACGCCCTGATCAAACATCCATCGCCTTTAAGTGAGTCAAGGGAGGATGTGGTCATCCCAACAAAGGGGTTTGTTGTAGTGTTCACTGAAATGGAAATCACTTGTGGTTGAAAGGGGACTAATATTTCACAAGTGGTGATACAACACTTATGTCTGATCATACAGCCTCAGGAAACCTAAAAAAAAATTGTGTAGAAGTCATTCAGAGGTGGTGTTAAATCAGGCAACGTACCAGGTTTTGTGCACGGTTCGTATTTGTTTAAAGCTGATTGATGTAATGCCCAAAGAACATACAGCATACGGTTAAAAAAACTTAGTCATCTTTCAGGGCTTTAACCAGTCAGACAAAGGAGGGGAGCTGAAGTCTGCCATATGCAGCATTAGCCATGTTTACATGTGCAAAATTTCTTCATCCAATAAAAAATTTGAGGGATCAGATAACCAGAATCCACTGTTTATATGGGCGCAAAGTCAAATAATCTGATCATGATGTGCATATACGTGCATCAAGTTTAATCAGATTAGAAGCATTTGGACATGTGCAGAGTTGTCTGAGTTTGCTAAAACAACAGCAGTAGAAGAATTGTATTTACGTCTGTGCTGTCAACAAATCAACATCCAATTCAGGAGTTTCCCCCTGTTAAATGGTGTCACTAGATGGCACCCTTGCGTACTTATTTTACTGTTCTGTCAAAGGTTGCACTGTGCGTGCAGATGTGACATCATTACGCTGCATGCACACCTTGTTATGTTACCGGAGGAGCAGACATGAGACCTGAGGATGTGTTTAATGCCAGAGTGTTAATAATGAAACATCCTGTACTGGCCTCAATAAATAAGCCAAAGGCTAAAGAGCAAAACCCGAGTCAGGTTCGACGGTCACGGTCAGAATACGTGTTTACATGGACACGTTTTGGAATATCGATCGGCATAAACCACCTCTCCTGATTGAGATACAATTTCTTTCCGATTGAGCCGAATTGGATCAGAATCTTCCGATCGACATGTTTACATTAGCTTTTTTATTCTGATTGGACATTTATTCTGATTATTTGTGCCCATGTAAACGCAGCTAGTGATTGTAATGTTGAAGCCTAGACCAAATACACTGGTTGCAGAATGACTCTGATGTGTTGTTATTAATAATAAACCAAAAACTAAACTTTTATTTTTCTGTATTTGGAACCCTTAGAATAAAGCAAACTGTAAGAAATGTAATCTGTGGTTTAAGAGGGAATTATGCAACCTGTAACAAATAAATCACATGGATTAAATTTGCACAACCACAGTAAAGACAAAGGGAGGCACTGATGTACATCCCAAGAACTCCTGAAGATTGCTTCAATCATCTGTGCTTGTAGTTATTCTCAGATAACAATCATATCTCAGTATAAATGCTCTCAGGCTGTGAGAAACACCGTCTGTGATGATCTCTGTGGTTTACAAACAGCAGACTTTAGGCATCTCCTCACCTCAAGAGTTCTGGCATCATTTCATTGCATCATATTTTTGTTCACCTCTAAATCATACATTGGCTCATTTCAGAGGCTGGTTTCTTTCATGACTGACCTGCGGGGAGCAGACTGCTTGTTGCAGAAGGCCATCAAAAAAGTGGATGGCAGCAAAAAGATTGACTCTGCAGAGGTAACACTTAAACATTCAGCGTTTGATGTTGTGTCCTTAGACTAAACCAGGAGAGGTATGTTGACTTAACTTCGGTTGTATCGATTGTAGGAGGTGCAGCAATGCATCCGGGAACAGAGGGCCTCAATGAAAGAGGTGCTAGAGGACGTTCGATTGGTCACCCTGCAGAGAGAGGGAGGGGCTTTGCTGGCCAGAATGAAGAAAGAGGAGTTCAGGTTCCCACAGTCTGAAGACTACAGGTATCACATCTGATCTGAGTCTTCAAATCCTCTGCTTGTTGAGTGAAAACTGCATTATAAATGAGTGTGCAGATAAAAAAATCTTAAATATGTGATCACATTATGAAGTGTGGATGCAGTTTTAAGTGATTGAACTGTAAAACTAGACTGTTAAGTGGAAAAAAACAACATTGTTGGTGCTTCCAGTATTCAAGTACATTTTTAACTCTGTGAATTCATTCTTTTCATGAAGTGTCATAACTTATTTCACTAAAAAAGGTAAAGATAACTTTTTTATCCCAACACAAAACATTTATGGGGTTCAAATAAATGCTTAAAATCATTTATCTCAGACCAATAATGTATCTGGGAATAGACAGACATAGAAACATAAACATGTTATTTCATGTTAGACTGAGTTATGCCCGCATTTACATCAAATCATCACATATTCACATTATTTACACTTGATTGTTTTGCAATCAGAGCGTTGTGGCAATACACATTTATCAAGGCAACAAGCAGCTGAAAGCAGTGTATATCATGCACTTCATTTCACAGCTTTAATTAACCTATTAGTTCCTCCACATATTAAGTTTTTGAGAAAGAATAGTGTCTCCCCTCCATTTTGCTACCTGACATTAAATAAAATGAAAGTGTCCTGCAGTCATGTCTTGTGTTATTTGTCTAAGTCTCTGTTAATGTTTGCCACAGAGATGCTCTGGAGTCAGTGACGAGTCTGTATAACCAGGTGGAGGAGAATCTCCACATGCTGGTGATGAGATCAAATGAGTCTCTGCAGCAGCTGGAGTCCCTCTTCAGACTCAGAGAGACGGAGGCCAGAATAAGCACGGTAATATTAGCCACCACCACTATATCTCAAAATCTATTAATGTTATTGACACTCAGAGCTCGCTATGCTATATTGTATAACTTCATATCACACCTTCTGCAGGCTGGGATGTGGTTCAGTACTGAGGGTGAACAGAACCTGGAGGACTCTTATGCAACATCTGATACCCTGGCATGCAGTGAAGAAACCTTCCAGCACTTTGATCTGTTACTGAAAGACTTCAAGGTATTAGAGCAGCATAATTAAGCATTTCTACAAACAACAAGTTACTCTTACTGGGAAGTCAGTGTTTATCTGGTACACCAAAAGTTTCCATCTGTTTCCGTAAGTTGAAGCTGTGATAACACAGAATTTTTTTCCCTTTTTCGTAGGAAAGGCAGCAGCAAGCTTTGACCCTTGTGACGGAGGCAGATGGAATTGTTTCCATGAGTGATTCCAGTCCTGCAATAGATATTTTTCGCACCCTGATAAGCACTTTCAAATCCAATGTGGATGATTTTATACTGCGAGCAGAGCAGAGATACAAGGAATTAGAAAAAGTGGTGCATGTGCATCGCTTCTGTGCACAGGTTTGTGCTTGCCACATGTTTTCACTTATCAGACGTTCCTTATTTAAAGGGATATTCTGGCATAAAATTAATTTAGGGTCAAACACACCGTAACACCAAGTTAGACACCCCGTCGAGAGATGAATGTTGCCGACCGCTTGCTTCTCTAGTTATACCAACTTTAGTAATGACCGCAGATAGCAATACAGAGAGCCACGCGCTCAACCAAAACGCCACTCTATAGCCACAAATAATGCTCAGAACAGCACCTAACTTTATAGACAGTACATATAGGGTCCCACCCACAGTACTAGCCACCAAACATCTTTTTAGCTTTGCCTGGTTTCTTTAGCAAATAGACTCACCCATCTCTCTCCCAGCAGCCGCTTGTTTGTACTTGTTTGTCCATCACCAACTGCAGCGGGGTGACGCAGCTCAAGGAAAAACATTTATGATCATATCTTCATGGAAATCTAATCAGACCGAGACGCTAAAGCAGAAGAACTACCACGTCTGCAGTGCAAAATGCTTGATATGATGATTATTACTTAAAGGAAATGATAAAGTAATGATCATAAATGTTCTTCCTTGAGCTGCGTCACCCCGCTGCAGTTGGTGATGGACTTGTCCGAGCTCTGCCTACGAACAAACGGCTGCTGGAAGAGAGTAGGTGATTTGTGTTTAGTCTCTTTGCCAAAGAAATCAGACAAAGCTAAAAAGATTTTTGGTGGTTAGTGCTATGGCTGGGGCCCTATATGTACTGTTGATGAAGTTAGGTGCTGTTCTGAGCATTATTTGTGGCTATAGAGTGGCTTTTTGGTTGAGCATGTGGCTCTCAGTATTGCTATCATGCGGTCGTTACTAAAGTTGGTATAACTAGAGAAGAAAGCGGTCAGCAACATTCATCTCTCGAGGGGGTGTCTAACTCAATGTTACGCTGTGTTTGACCCTAACTTAATTTTACACCGGAATGTCCCTTTAAGTGTTTGGTAAAATGCTATTTGTGCACATATTTCTGACTGATTTCTGTAAACGTTAAAACTCAATACGGTCTTATCCCATTATTTCTTTCTGTCTTTGTCTGAAGGCCTCTGCCCTGGCCAAAGAATGCAGTCATTTCCTGGAGAAGGTAGAGCAGGGGTGTTACTCTGCTCAGACCCAGAGCACACTCCAGATGTATGCGGAGAGATTAGGTGGTGAATTCTCCACCCAGCACTTCCAGGCTGTGAAAGCTAAGGCCTGCTCAGTGGGATCGAGGGCCTCAGGGGTGATGAGAGTTTGGAATGTAACCTGGGTCGAGTGCCAAGAAGTCAGGCAGCATCTAGAGGAGATGCAGAAGAAAAAGAAGAAGGAAGGCGTAGATAAGAACCAGATCCAACAGACCACAGCTGCTAACCTTCAGGAGGAGGATGGGGGAGCAGGGAAGCCTGAGAGAAGAAGTGAGGTGGGGGAAGATAAATGCTCCATGACCCAACAGCTGGCCCCTCAGAAAGACACAGTCAGTATCTCAGACAGGGAAGGACTAACTACTACTGCTGAACCCATCAACCACTGTCTTAAAAATGACTTAACTGAGAGTGAAAAGGGGGAATCCACAGGGCTTAATCCACCTGAATCACCTGTTAAAAAAGAAGAAATGTCTCCTGTGTCTTCAATAAACAGTGACTGTCTCCAAAAAAACAAACACCACAGCGAGGCGGATCTGAAGAGCACAGACTCGGCTCACTTTCAACCGCACCAGCCTCTGGGTCGGTCCCTGAGTGAGGGTGCATGTGTGAGCCCACACTTCACGATTCTCTCTGGCTTTTCACCTTTGAATGTAAGACACAAACACTGTCAGATCAGGACTCCACCACTGGAACAGAATCTGCTGCCACTCCAAAATCTGCCCAGTTCCCAGAACGAGAGTGTGCAGTCAGGAAACCTGAGCTGGGAGTCAAAAAGAGACAGCAGTGAGGAGGTGGGTGCGGGATGCACAGACCCTCAGAAAGGCCTGACAAATGTAAGGACTTCAGAGACATTATTCACACCAACAGAGAACAATGGCGACAGTGTTTTGTGAGTACTTCCCTCTTCTTCTGTCTGCTGTAATCAAAAGTTAGATGTGACTGAAAATCACATAGGTTAGAGTCATAATGGCACCAGCTGAACAATAATCCAAACTAACACATGTATGATGTAAAGTTGAGTTTCATCCCCTTTCACTTTCAATAAAACCACTGATTTTATATTTTTTATCTCCACCCTGGGGAACAGGAGACTTGGAAGGATAATGGAGGAGCTGCTGTCCACAGAGAGAGAGTATGTAAAGGCTCTGGGTTATGTTCGAGAGCACTACTTCCCTGAGCTGGAGAGAGCTGATGTTCCTCAGGATCTCAGGGGTCAGAGAGGGAGCATCTTTGGTAACTTAGAAAAACTCCATGACTTCCACCGACATAATTTTCTTGACGAGTTGGAGAGCTGCATCAATGAACCCCTCCGAGTGGGACGCTGCTTTCTGAGACATGTAGGTGACAGGGTTTGGTTTTAAGATGTTGGTGGGTCCCTCAAGAGCAAAATCACATACCTGTTTTAGAGATAAGGCATAGATGGATGCTTCACTGAGTAGTTGTTGTTTCCATGATAAAACCAGGTTTGGGCTGAAGTCAGCATATGCAATGTGGTTAGTGATGCACGTTTCCTGTTGCGCTGAGATAATATGGTTAACAAAAGCCCTTCCAGATGTTTCCCCACTGCAGACTGATGCTATGTCTATGGTTCCCAAAAAATCAGGGAACAGATTCAGTAGAAATAAGTAAAAAGCTAATCTGATACAGCTGTGGTGTCTGTGCGACAAATGTTTTGATTTAGTAATAATCATGTTGTCTTAATCTCTATTTTTGTTCTTTCTAATCCAGAGGGAGAGCTTTGCTCTGTATGCCCTTTACAGCAAGAACAAACCACAGTCTGACAGTCTTCTCATTAATCACGGACAAGCTTTCTTCAAGGTGGGAACCATTACCAGACTCTTATTGTTCCACTTTTTCTTTCTCTTTTACAACTTTACTCTTCTTAAAACCACATCATGAATTTTTCTCAAACATGGGTGTTTTTTTTTTTTTTTTTTAAATTCAGACAGGATCAGAGTCTAATCTTTAAAAGCAGTATTTTTTTTAAAGAAGAATTAGACAAACAATGAAAAATATTGTAATGATCCATAGCAGCTGTTGTCAGTGTCCTATATTATGATAACAGCTGTGTTGGGCTGGACTGCAACACACCAGAGTAAACCAGCAACGTTAGCATGGTAACATGCGGTTTAAAAGCGTAATGTTAACCGTTTTCATGTTTCAGTTTCATCTTTACAATGTACACAATGGCCAGGTGGAAAGTTTGTCAAGTGCATCTGAGGATGAATTTTTTTAAGCTTTGCTAAAAAGTTGTTCAAAAATGAAAGCTGTTGAAATAAAAGCTTTTATATGGGTCACCTCTGACTTTAGGGAGAGATAAGTTTTTAAGTGACACCTTGTTTTCTTACCTTTTGTTCTGTACATAATTTGAAATCCTAGTGGAAGCCCGCACACCTTCATAACAGTGCCTTATTAACTCAGCCTTTGCATTACTCTGAGCCTTGAAAAGGACAGTGGCTACCATGGTAATAACTAATGGGGATCTTAAATTAAAAAAAAAACATACTCTGATTGCACCAACAGTGCATATCTAGTTGTTTATGCATTTATTCAGTGACTCAACAGGTTAAGTTTAAAGCCAGGGAGCCTGTTTTCAAGTACCACATCCTCTGTAAGTGTGTGTAACTGCTGAGCTAAACCCACAGCAGTACATTTGCTGCCCTTCTGCAGATTAACACTGAGCTCTTTCTTCTCACCCATCAGCAAAAACAGCAGAAACTAGGGGACAAGATGGATCTGTGGTCCTACCTGCTGAAACCTGTGCAGCGGATCAGTAAGTACAGTCTGCTGCTGCAGGACATAATGAGGGAGTGTGGCCCTGGACAAACCAGAGAGATCACGGAGGTCAAGGCCGCCCTGGAGGTCATCAATTTCCAGCTTCGCCATGGTAACAACCTGCTAGCCATGGACGCCATCCGTCAGTGTGATGTAAGGAGTTTGTTTGCTCAAATATTTTCATAGAAAGGGGGATTGCATGTCTTCTGTACTGTTAATTTACAGCCTGCAGTGCAAATACACTCTAAATGTACTGTAGAAAGATAAGACTTGAATACTTGCCTCTTGATGAGCTGAGCGACTCATGTGGAATCTGTCCAATGATGACGAAAGCAGAGGAGGGAAACAGGTCCAGACATGACATCCTTTATTCAGGGATGATGAGTGGAGTGAGGAGTTCAACTCTAAGCATGCATATCTGGACCTGAATGTTTATATTCATAGTTATTAATCTAGGGTAGGATTACTGGAAAAGAGTAAAGCCAAGTAATTGATTCATCTCTTCTATGGAACAAAGAGAGGGAGTGAGTGAAACGTTGGTGGACTAAAGCTCCATAATCTCCGAAGCTAAGATAAAGGGAAGGATGTTTGAATCTTAAGAATTTCTAATGAACTTTATGGCCTCAAAGAGTAACAATAAAGTTTATAATATATGAAAAAGGTGTGTATTTACTTCCATTTTCCCACTCACGACTTGTTCTACTTTTGGTCTTTAAAAAAAATATCAAGTGGGCTAGCGCACCCCATGCATGGGGATCACGGTCCCCACAGCGGTCGTGGGTTCAAGTCCAGCCCTGACCATGAGCTGCATCTCCTCCTCCCCCCTCTCTCTCTATCTCCTTATATTTCTACACTGTCCTATCCATAAAGGCAAAAATTGTCAAAAAAAAAACTTTAAAAAAATCTTTGCTGATTTCACTAACTGGCTCAATCAAACCTTCTGTTCTGACCTGCAGGTGAATCTGAAGGAGCAGGGTCAAATCATACGTCAGGATGAGTTCTTGGTCACATTCAGGAAGAAAAAATGTTTCCGCCATATTTTCCTCTTTCATGAACTTATCCTCTTCAGCAAGACCAGGAAGACTGATGTAGGAAACGACACCTACGTCTACAAACAGTCATTCAAGGTACACCTTTTATACCACATACACAGTATAATATTCAGCTCCATTTATACATTTGTATCAGAAGCGCAAGTGAATGCAGCAGAAGGAAGCGCCAGTGTTGCTATCACTTCCTCTTTACAACATGTTAGTACATGATTGCTTTCTCCATACGTAAGCAGAGTGCAACCGTCAGTTATTATAGTCTGATTAATCAGAGACTCATCTGTTGTTTAGAAAATGTAGTTTTCCATAGTTTTTAATCACTTCAAGGAAAGTTTTGAATCGTGGAGAATAAACACAGAAGAGCAAACGAGAACAAAAACTGTGAACGCCTTAGATAACCTTTGAACAGCAGTTTTTAACTATTGCAATGATGACGATTTTTATGTAGGACTAAATTGTTTTTTGCTCAATGCTTACTGTACATCTTCTGACCTTCGCTCTGTTTTGTTGGCTCTTTGATGCTCAGTAATACTTCACACTCCACTGTGAAAAATACTGTTTTTTATCACCAGTGTGTTTTAACTGTTTGTGTTTGTCTTTTCTTACACTCAGACGTCAGATATAGGCATGACCCAAAATAGTGGTGACAGCGGCCTGTGCTTTGAGATCTGGTTCAGGAAGAGGAAAACACAGGACACGTATACACTTCAAGCAGTTAGCCGAGAAGTGAAGGAAGCCTGGACCAAGGACCTGGAGAGGATCCTGTGGGAGCAGGCAGTACACAACAGAGGTGAAAAAAAAAAGGCTCAAACAATCCAGACAGGTTACAAATGACTTCTCAACTAATACAGTGACACATATAAATGGTTTTAAGGTATACAGACTCATATCCACTAACATTTACTTTTCTGTGAAGATACTAATTTAAAGGTTTGTTTAAAAGAAGCTCACTAATCTAGCCTACTGTGATTAAAACTGTCAACATTTACAGTGTCCTTATCTGCAGATATGAATATTTGTAATAATTCTTGCAAACACAGAATAACAGTAGATAGAAGAAGCTTCTGTTTGATATAACAAATGCAAAATCAACATAAGCAGATCTGTCAGGAGAATAGAGATATTTATCTGTGATACAAACATCCCTTTTCCTCCCCAGAGCCAGCTGCTGTTACTTAACCCGTGTACTGTTTACATTTTTAAAATGTAAAGCATTTCAAGCTAAAGATTCAGTATGTGCTTTCAGAGGTGCGTATGCAGGAGAGAGTGTTCATGGGTATCGGAAACAAGCCTTTCATGGATATCCAGCCAAGTGATGCAGCTATCCACGACAGAGCGGTCAACTGTGTGCTGATTGGAAGAGGTAAAACAGGTTTAGTTCATTATTCATCACTTTTATTGTTGATTGCACTTTTTTTTTAACCCACTCACACCTTGTTTCTCCAGAAAACAAGATGCAGCCTTCTGTAGGACCATGTGGTCCACAAGACGGGCCACTCGGAGGGAGGCCGAAATCTGTTGGTTCAGGGAGCTGCTCATCCTCCTCCTCTTCCTCAGGGAGAGGTTCCCTGTCCCCTGTGGGCTACCTGTGTGGGCCAAAACGTAGAGTCGTCTCAGGAGGTCTTGGAGGATACGTTTCATCTCCAGGAGTTTTGGAGGAAGATGACCTAGACCATGAGAGTGGGAGTCAAAACTTGTTGTGTGAGTTTCGTTCGCTCAGCAGTACATGTGTGCTTTATGATTACAGGATTATTCAGAATTGATCACAAATAAACCTGACATATTGGATGCAAACCCTCACCCAGTGACCCAACATACCCACCACACAGTGTCATTAAAGGCCCTTTTACAACTTCACTGGGGATGCTGAGTTTTATTGTCCTCTCTGCTGGGGTCAAAGGTCAGAGGTCCAGGCCACAGTTTTTTTTTTAAAAGGCCAAGGCTATTTAAACTGAGACTTTATTTTTGAACCTTGACAGTCCATAATCAAATGTTTTCTGTGTCTCAGTGGACAGCTCTGAGTCATCAGGAGAGAGTGTGAGTGGCTTCAGCAGCTCCAGCCACAGCTTTCACTCTGCTGTAGGAGGCGAGGTGGAGGACGCTTCCTCACTCTGTGCCTCTGCAATCCCTGCCAAGGAGGCAGCGGCTCCTGCAGCTGAAGTTGTCCAGAAAACAACTGCTCTGGCAGGATCCCCAGAAAAAACCCAACCACCAGTTGCATCCAAACCTAAACCACAACACCAGACCAAGGAAGTGCCCTGTGGCAAGGTATAATAAGAAGTGCACAACCATTAAATATGAGGTTGTTTTATGGTTAAAAACATCAGAAAGGCACTCAGACTCATACTTGATATACCACAGATTAAAAAAATGTGTTTTTTTAACTGATTGATCAGCTGCTGTGTCTTAATATTGTATTGATAATGTTCTTTGAATATTTCAGGGTCCGAATGTCAGTGTTGGAAAATCCACCGAAGTTTAAACTGTGAGATACGGTACAACGTGAGTTGAAAATGTTCAGAGTCCAGTATTTAACTAGCAGCCATGTTGTTATGTGCAGGAATATGGCTACAATACATCATATTTAGAAAAGCCCCCTGTACCTAAGGTGTTAAACTTGTCTTTACATTTTATAGCACTCCTAAAATTTAATATTAAGAAAAAAAAAGCACAATCACCAAGGATTAATACAAATGAATGATTGTACAGAAGTTATTATATTGCTATCACACTTTTACAAATGTGTAAATAAGTAATCTTTTGCTGAATGTAAATTTAAATCTGTCAATTTCTTACAGCATTCAAGGCCTGCAAAAAATGTCGAGAGCAGTCTGTTGGTGCCAGCACTGAGGATCTAAACATGCCTGCTATCATACCAGCTGTTACTGTAATCCATTACCACTCTGTAAATAGATCATCTTTTTAATCCCACCACATAAACAATAGGTCAGACACATTTCTATAAATGTACTGTACTTTGAAGTTAAACTTGTGTTTAAAATGTATACCTGACATTGCTTGATGTAAAGGACTTTGTAGCTCATGCAAAAGATCATTGACACAACAGACTGCGCTTGCCTCTTAGCTCATATTAAAATGCTAGATTTTGAATGTGGTTATAGACTGGTGCTTCATAATCCTGGCTAAGTAAAACCATCATACATTAACACTAATACCTGGTTGCAGAGGAGTTTTGAATTTTTTTATACAGCCAATAATCACAATAACACTATGTATTATGTCTTATTGCCTTTTGTACAGATTTGTAAAACCTAATTGCAGCATATGTCTAACTTAAGTCCTCTAAAATGAAAGACCTTTTCAATTGACCATTTTTGTATAAATTAATAAATTGCTGTAATCCAGATACTGATCTTTGTAACAGCTGTACGAGTTTCTCTTTAAGATACAGAAAATTTGCAGTGATGATGAATATGTCGACTTTGCTTTCTACCACAATGTGTTTTATCTGCAATAAACTCAACCAACAGTCTTGGAGTCAGATCAGACATTTACAAACTAAAATACTGGTGGCTTATCTTTGCCTTTAATATGTATTTGCAGACAAAGAAAAAAATAAAGTAAATGAAATATCGCAAGATCTACTTTCTAATTTATTTCTGATACATGGGAGCAACTGTACCGTCAAAACATCCTATTATTTAACCATGAGTTTCTCATAAGTGTGTGATAAAAGGCACATAATTACTACTCAAATGATGCTTAAATGTTCCTCCCTTCAGGTCAAAGACTGCGATTTCTGCAAAATAGGAAAAGTTCCATTTCTCTCGAACCAATCAGGAACTTTCTCAGGAAGTATTTTGTCCTTCTTTGTTTATGCTTTACACATATCTGATTCAATAGAAGTGGAAGTGAGTAAAGATGTAAGATGATACCACAGTCTTTGCCTTTCCTGGCAAAGGCTCTCTGTCATTTCCAGTGTGCGTTGGGACACAGCTCTGTTAACCACTGAATTCAGTTTCCTGATGTAATGCCCAGCGCTGGAGCCAAGCCTTGTGTTTGTGGTTAACACTGGCCTGCCTGTGCTTAAAAACATATGACTGGCTTTATTACTGACTTTTATTGAAATAGTTAGAATTACAGCCTTTTTTTCAGTGATTTTAAAAACTTTTAATGCTTCACTCGTCATTGTTGAAAGCTGATATTGACCATAGGACAAGTGTTGCAGCCGACCTTTTGACAAAGTAAAGACAGAGACAAGGAAGAGAAAGCAACTTGAGCAGAACTGACCTTGTTTTGTCCTTTTTGTCCTTTGGTGCACTTGGAACTATGCATATTTCACTTCTCACCCCATGATGTATCATTTTTTAATTTTTATAGGATATAGCAAGTTTGTTATTCTCTAAATCTGTGCTCATAGAGATCTGTTTTTCACATACTCTACAAGACACATACTTTATGAGTATAAGTAACAGCTGACTTGATAGTCCAGTTTTTAGGTCCAGTTTAAAAAAAACCCATAATTGTCAATAAATACAAAAAAAACCTAATCCAACAATTTAATCACCCATGTCTCAAAAGTTTTGTACTTATCTGCTCCGTCCGATGCACTCAGTCCCAAACTGATTCATTTACTATATAGATGTTAAATCCTCAATGAAAAGTTAAGGTTAATTAGTTTCACTAAAAACTGGGGCTGTAGTTTGTGGTAAAAGTTTGTCTGTTTCAAACTACGGTCCCAACTAAAAATGCCAAACAGTAGTGTATGGGGGGAGTGTTCAAATATCTGAAAAATGGTGCATAACTGCCCTCTTGAACACGTTTTAAGAAAATGAAGCATTAGACCTTTCAGTGTGTAAAACATAAACAAAGAGCACTCTAAATGCTGTTCCAGAGTGTACTCAAAAGGCCTGTACGGTGAGAAAATGTAAACAAAGTGCCCCATCAGTTTTTGGACTGATTTTTATGTTTACTTGTTATGGAAAGTTTGGGACTTAAGTTTTATACCCTGCAAAATCGTTTTTTTTTCAATATCTAGTTAGCCAGCAGAATAATACAAATTCAATATGTGTCTACCACATTGCATTTTTTAATTTCAAAATTATAGATTTATCTTACTAGAATGTAGTATTCAATCTTTTTTCTAGCTAGGTATAATTATAATTATTTTTGATCAAAATCAAATTTGCAGTGGGAATTGTTGCACAAATGTTAATCAGAATGCAGGAAATCAAGGGTCCTTTGCTCCAAATTTCCTTGAACTAACTTCTGCCCAAATTACACACTAATTTTTTCTTCAGACTATCCATTCATCAGGCTGGAACAAAGTCTGCATGATCACAAAGTACTAAAGAGAAACAGAAAACTGAAGAGCTTCGAAAATGGTCCTCAAAATACTGCAAGAGGTAGGTTTTGTCAATCACAGGTTTTTTATTCGATATTTTTTCTCTCTGCCTCTCAAACATCTTGGAAAGGCCATGCCAAGCAAAGTCCTATTCAGTTCTTTGAATGCAGAGAAAATTCACAAGTAGGAACCTAATTTTAGAGGGAAAATACTGAATACAAGAAAACCTTCAAACTTGTTTTTAAACTCCAGTAATATTATAACATAAAAGTACAACAAAAACATTGATCAAGAGAAAAGCACTCATCTGCTTTAAGTCACTGACAAAAATCTGTGACCTGTCTATGATTTCCATTATCTTCGGCTGCATGTGATATTTTATCTATTTTCTTTTCCATTTCAAACTAAGTTCTTTCACAAACTTCTTGAAAGCTTCTTCCCTCACGCTTATTTCATCATATGGAGCGATGCTCAACTGTGCAGCACAAGGTCAACTTGTCAGAGACCGTTTTTATTCCTAAGAAACTACGCAATAACACAAACATCACTCCTCTGACTTACACTCTGTCATTTATGAATCACAGCCACCAAAACGAGTGCGCGAGGAGGACTACAAATAAGAGTGATAGTGGCAGAAGGATACAAGACTCATTTCTGAGCGCGAGATTCAGAAGAAACAAACCTCAAAACACAAAACTGCAGTCATGGCTCAAGGTAAGATAAACTCTCTGTGTCTATGTTCTTTTTAATTTACCCTTTTTAAAAAATCACTTAAAATATTTTAATAACGAGAAGAAACATATTTTTTGTTGTTGGATAAGCAACTTGTGATTTACAACTATCTTAAAACAAACAGGTTTATTTATGGTGACATGATTGCTTTACATATTTAATTTTAGTATTTTGCTTGGACATCCTTATATGGTCTTTAGTGATGGTGTTTAAAGGAGAAATCTTTATACCTTGATTTATTTGTATCTTATTTGCAGTCGTGCTCGTTTTCTATACTAACAGATGGTATGATGAGCAGAACAGGAGAACTTTCCCTGTGTGGCTCCACATGCTGAGCATATAAAGTCTTGTAATCACAGCCTACATACTACTTCACACTGTGTCCTGGTTAGCTGGCTTCATTGCTGCAGGAGTGACTCTGTGAGGCACACTTTCACCAGACATCTGAAGACCTGTGCATGTAAAAAATGTTTCACACTCGTGTCTGAGGAGATGATTGTTGCTCTGGGCCCTTTGACACATATAATAACAGCTGAGAGCAGCTGGAGCCTCCACTTGTAAACTGTTGCGGACTTTATAGGCACATGGAGCACCTCTCAAACTCTTCTCAGAGACATTTAATCTGACCAGTGATCAAATACTTTGTTTGCATTTCATCATCACACTTGTTATATATTTGTTGGAGTGTGCAGAAAATGTGGAACTGAGAAGGAGTAAAGGGCCGTAGTTTTCACTTATAGAGATCAAATGAAAAAAAAGTGGATCTGAACAGTATTATATTTCACAATTATCCTATGGTTATTTTAAAAAAAGGCTTATGCCACTCGATGTATTTTGTTTTTTCAAAAGTGTGCAAGAACATGACATTATCCATTCAACATGCACAAATCATTAAGTTCAAAAGTGCCCTGCGTGCACTTGTGCAGTCAGCTTGGGTGTTACCTTCCCAACTGAGAACTCCTTTCACTTCTGAAGAGAGTTTGTGTATTTATTTTTCCAAAGGATTAAAATGGTGTTTACTGTACCAGCTTCAGTCTGCATGAAAAAGCAAGATTTTATTTAGATTTCCATAAAGCTAATGCTCGCTGCAGTGCCGTTTACTGAGACAATCCTCTGCATTGTGGGTCATGGTCTGCAGCGTAGGCGTGTGCAGTATGTATGTAGAGGTCAGTGTGAAAGGCCGGGTCAAAGCTTAGGAATCTCTGCCCATTTATCTTCTATCGGAGAGTTTTGTAGTCTCAAAATCCTATTGATTTGACTGTATTTAAACATATTTAGTTTGTCTTATTTAGCACAACTGCTCACCTTCTGCTCTATAACAACTGCTTCACTTAAAATGACAGTCTGTTGCACTGCAATTTCACTTGGCGCCCTCTTTAGCTGTCAAAAAGAGGCCCCAAAATGCTGCAGAAATAATGACGTCACTTCTGCCACTAGTATGTTTTTTTTTTCTGTCTGATTTGGGTCCTATATGTATATATAACCTCAATATGGTTTTGTTCTCTATAATTGCTTTCATTTTCTTCAACCTCAGCAGCTATTTTATTAGACTCAATTTCACAGAGGGTTTTATTCAACATTTTTCTTTTCAAAGGGAAAAAGTGAGAGAAAAAAATAAGTTTCTGATTAAATGCGAGCTCAATTGTTTAACTATCCACAACCTAATCAGCAGGGCCTGCAGACTTCAGACTACAACCTGCAGCGGTCCAAGAATAAGTCGCGATATCATCTTATAGGCATTTGCTCCAATTAGACACACTAACGTGCTGAATAAAGAACAGATCCACGGTCAAGGTCGGTGAAAAGATTTGAGAAATTTAGACGAATAGTCTCTGAGGACTTCTCGTAAAACAGCAGGAAGGCTTTGAAGCTAAGTCTTTGTTGTTTCAAGTCTAGTATAGCCATAACATCGGCACCCCAAGCTTGTTTCCTACAGGCTTTTCCCAACACCAAAGAATACCAAAGAATAATAATGTTGGTGAGTTTCACCTCCTGAAATGTCACAGAGCTGCCCTGACACTTGTTCTTGCAGCTGGAGGACCATGGATGCATTGGTAAGGAGGGGACCTCCTAGAAAATCTGAGGGCTTGATCCTCTTAGTCACAGCTTGCCTTGGAGAGAAGGTGTGGTTGTGTGTTTGCACACTTCCTCAGGGAGGGACTGTCTGTGTATACCTCCTGTTGAATCTGTACAGAAAGCTCTCTGAAACAAAATTATCTCACAATAAATTAGTGTACGTACCCACAGAATTTGTAATAATTTCCTAGAGCAGATGCTTTAAAAAGAAGGTAAACAAACCTTCACAAACATTTGATGTCTCACTCTTTCTTAAAATCCCTCTGGAAAAAGAAGTGAGTAAAAGTGGGTTTGTTTGTTCTGACTAGCGAGGAACAAGGTTTACTTTTACAGTACATAGTATACTACAATCATGGCCACAACACGGAGAAAACTAGACGGTAGTAGACCACAAGTCTGCTATAAAAGAAGTTAATTGTAATTGTGTGGTCCTAATATCCTGTATCATACACAGCTTTAAGTTTTACTATGTGTGCAATAACAAAACTTGCAACATTTTAATTATAAGCACAAAAACCTTTTAATTGTTAAATTAATCCTCAGACCTAGATTGCATCTGGTGCGCTTGTAATAGATGTATGTTTCACAGGTATTTAATGACTGTGGGTCTAGTGTAGTACTCCTAAATCACTTTGTAGCATTTAATGCACTCAGTATTTAGTTGAAAATTACAGCAGCTCTTGACAAATCCAATGTACTGTAGTCAGTTAATGGTGCAGTTTGTAATTAGTCAACAAAAGAGATCCAGTAGAAACAGAGAACAATATTTGAGAGTATGCGCAAATTAGTGGATCAGCACCTGAATATGAGGAAAGAATCTCTTCCAAAAGGGGCTGTTATCTAGCACCACTACGTTTCTACAGTAGTACAAGACAGACATGATAATAGACGTACATGTTTTTGTATTTAGTGTCCGTGTGTAATGCAGCAGCTGAACGATGAAGAGGAAGAGAGGGATTATTCAAAAGCATTAGTATTGTTTGATAGATTGACAGATTGTCAAAATGCGGCAAATGGAGTCATTCTTGTGCATCACCAGAGCTTTTTGTCCTTCAAGACCATTGCTTCACTGTTGGTGGGGGTGAACAAGTGAACATTTTATTCTGGAATCTGATCACAAGATAAAGCTAAATATTCTGATAGCTACACAGTGTGCCTTTAACTTGTAATCCTTTGCTTGGCTCTTGCCTTGTTTGAGTCAGGGATAATGTTGTTAAAGCTGATTGCAACCTAAGCAAGGTGAGCAGGACACCGTTTACTTTACATTATCCTGCTACTTACTGAATAAAAACCTCTAACTCTCCACCGGACATTAATTTTGAAATAGTTTTATTGACTTTATAACCGTTGTGTTGAAAATGGTTTGCAACGCTTGCGGTTTGAGTTGTTTCCATAGTAACAGTAAACTCTGCAGCCTTCTTACTACGAGCAAACCTCACTGTGGTTACTCACATCAAACAGACCAGTTCCACAAGTAGTGAAGGAAAACAAACACCGAATGAATGGTCTAGTTTTTTGTTTTCCGCCCTTATTACTGTCAGTTTGTGTCATTTGCTTTCCCATTTGTCCGTCTTCATGATGCTCATGTCTTCATTACACAAAGCGTTTTTGCGTCTGTGACCTCACCTGCCATTTTCAAAGCTACCATTTCCTCCCCCAATCTTTAAAAAAAAAAACAATATTTAACGAACCAGACTTCTTTCAACGGATTGATAAGATTCCAGGTAGTCTGCCAAAGTCTTTGGTCAGGCTGCATCCCCAGCGATAATGTGTTCTTATAGTAATTTTGTGATATAACAATCAAATGCTATGGAGTAATCACCAATCAGAATTAAGTGTTTAACACAGCCATGTAAAAAAAACTGTTGATATCACACAATAACTGTTCTTCATTAAAGTAAATATCTCACCAAAACACCTCTGTGATGTTTGAATTTTCAAACCTTCTCTCCTCTTCAAAGCTCTGGACATTGATCGTTGGACCCTGGAGAGTGAGTTCAATAACATGGACCACCGCACTGATCTGAATGGGGTGGATCGTCTGATTGTGAGGAGAGGCCAGCCGTTCACAATCAGTCTGTACCTTCGCTCTGGAGTCTACCAACCAGGGCTCAGCTCTCTTGAGTTCATTGCAGAAACAGGTACTTCTTATTTCACACCTGTTAAACTCTTTACAAGTATCTTAACTTCAGTCAGGTAGAGCTGTCAAAATAAAAATAAAAGTTATCATGTAAATTATATTGATAAAAACCGCTTCTGGAATAAAATATATTTTTACTGCAATCAAACTGCTGGAAAGTTAATATAACCAGCTTCCATATGAATTATGCATTTTTACAGCCCTGCAAAACCATAATGGTATTAAACATACTGTGGTTGTTTCCTCTTAGTCAGGAAGTTAGGGTCGTTTTGCTGGAAACTACTTTGTTTTTGTGCTGACATTACTTTCTTTGTTACCTATTGTTATTTCAAAGATGAGGGGGGAAAGAGCTGTAATGGTGTTGGGAAGGAAATAGGAGTAATTCCCCTTTGCTCTGTGATACTGCTACTGGGCTTTATAATGAGAATACTTTCTGACTGTAGCTGAATCCTAAATTTTTTGGCTTTCCCATGTCAATTCCAGCTCCTCCCTTATTTTTTGATTGTGTAAAATGGACTTCACTGTTATTAGTTTCACTCCACAGATACATTAGACTTCAGAAAACGCTTGAAAAACATCTGTATCATCTTCTCAGCTCATATTTGTATAAGCTCCTCATGCAGAATAGACAGCTGCTAATATCTGACTGTTTAAACAGGAAATGTTGCTTGCCAACAGGAAAGCATGTGTATAGAGATAAAGTTATCAACCTTTCTAAGTTAAGTGTATTTTGATGGATTAGAGGAGGACACTTCATCCTCCCAATGAGAAGGAAGTGATCGAACCTGTTGCCCTTATTTAAGTTGGCTGCGCTGTGTGGAAAACGTGAAGGAGTTTACAGACTGAAGGCAACAGTTTATGTAACTCACATCTCACTGAACCAGTTTGGTCATCTTTAGGCACTATTACACAGTTGCTGCATGAGACAACATTCTTAGGATGTTTGAACTAAATTTGGGCACAATCAGGAAAAGGATTAAAATGCTCCCTGAGACTTTCTATTCCCCTGACACAAATATTCACAGAGATCTTTTCCCACATGAATTTTACAGACTCTAACTAAGTCATTGTTTCATGCAGGTCCTCAACCCTCTGAGCAATATGGCACCAGGGCCTCCTTTGGTCTCTCTGCTCACATCGACACTTCCCGCTGGAGTGCTGCGGTCACCAGCCCCCCTGGAGACATGGTGGCCCTGTCTGTCTGCTCTGCCCCTGATGCACCCATAGGCCGCTACACCCTAACACTGGGGCAATCAGGGCGGATTGAGTTCATCCTGCTCTTTAACCCCTGGTGCCCAGGTGGGTAAACAGACCATACGTCAAGCTGTCATGACGTGGATCTTGTATGGCAATCTTGCTCTTTTCATGGCTGTGAGGATCATGTTTCATTCAGGAGCTATTCAGGAGCTGTACACCGTAACACCGAGTTAGACACCCCCTCAAGAGATGAATGTTGCTGACCGTGTGCGACCAACTTAAGTAACAACCGCCGATAGCAATACACAGCGATCTGAGGAGCCATACACAAACCTCAACCAAAACGCCACTCTATAGCCACAAATAATACTCAGAACAGCACCTAACTTTATCAACAGGACATATAGGGTCCCAGCCATAGCACTAGCCACCAAACATCTTTTTAACTTTGCCTAATTTCTATAGCAAAGAGACTAAACACAACTCACCTACTCTCTTCCAGCAGCCACTTGTTTGTAGCGAGACCTTGGGCCAGTCCATTATGGACTACAGTGAGGTGATGCAGCTCAAGGAAGAACATTTATGATCATTACTTTATCATTTCCTCAAAGTAATATTCATCATATTAATCATTTTGCAGACGCGGTAGTTCTTATGCTTTAGCATCTCGGTCTGATTGTATTTCCATGAAGAAATGAGGAAGCGTCACCCCGCTGTAGTCCGTAATGGACTGGCCCAAGGTCTCGCTACAAACAAGAGGCTGTTGGAGGAGAGTAGGTGAATTTAGTCTCTTTGCTAAAGAAATAAGGCAAAGTTAAAAAGATGTTTGATGGCTAGTGCTATGGCTAGGACCCTTTATGTACTGTTGATGAAGTTAGGTGCTGTTCTGAACATTATTTGTGGCTATAGTGGCGTTTTGGTTGAGGTTTGTGTATGGATCCATAGACTGCTGTGTATTGCTATCATGCACTCATTACTAAAGTTGGTATAACTAGAGAAGCAAGAGGTTGGCAACATCCATCTCTCGAGGGGGTGTCTAACTCGGTGTTACGGTGTGATTGACCCTAAATGATTTTTACGCCGGAATATCCCTTTAAGGCTGGAGCCATAGGGGTTAATATTGGAGCTAACTGGCTACAGTGTATGTAGGTTGACTAATTTAAAAAATGACATACTGGGTTTTTGTTTAAGATTATTCAACTTTTTCTGTTAAAGGAGTGGAGCTGCCACAGTAATTTATGAACTTAAAAGTGGCTTGCTGTCTTTCTGCTTCGTCTCTTTACACCAAGCTTTGCTAACTCACTCCTGACATAAATGATAGCAGATATTAATCAGAAAACACCTACAAGTGTACATTTGTTAAATATGCAATGAGCTAACTCCATCACCAGCATGATGAGAGTATAAATGTGATTTTTGGCTCAAGTAATTTTGGTCATTCTTTATGAGGACATTTACTGTAATCTTTATGATGTCTCTTGGCAACAGGGGATGCAGTATACATGGACAATGAGCAGAATTTGGCAGAATATGTGTTATCTCAGGATGGGATCATCTTTCGGGGCAGCTACAAACATCCCATACCAACTGCATGGAACTTTGGCCAGGTACCAACACCAACACTACTGCTGTCAGCTTCCAGCACACATACTGTAATCTGCCATGGGAGTTTGATTCTGATAACATGGAACTAGTCACTTATCAAGTGATAAATTAAGTGTTATATAACCCAACAACGCAGAAATTTCTAAATATCCAACACTGAAATTAACTGAGATATTTATATCTCCATGATAGTGGAAAGAAAAAGAGAGGAGTGTTGGAGAAGTGTCTATGAGATTTGATATGGTTTGATTAGCTTGGCATCAGCTGTGAATAGCTTGTGCAGCTGTTAAGTTTTACAGTGCTGCAGAACCACACATTTAATTTGCAATGTCTTTTCGTGTGTTTTTGCTGAAACATTTTCCACCTCTGTCTCTCTCACTGATGACTAATCAGCAGACGTGATTGTTTTCATGTCTTTGTTTTTCTATAGTTTGAAAGTGGAATCCTGGATGTGTGTCTCAGGATACTGGATATGAATCCGAAATGTCTGAGGAATCCCGGCAAAGACTGCTCAGGGAGGAGAAATCCCATCTATGTCTCCAGAGTGCTTAGTGCCATGGTAAGCCGCGATCATTTCTGGTCTCTCTATTCACAAAAAAGTTAAGAGGAAACTAATGTTTGTTGAATTCAGATGACGAGACATGACACCCAAGAGTTTTCATGTTTAGCCCAAGGAAACAAATGTTCATCATTTACTTACCTCCCCGTTAGGTGAATTGTAACGACGACAAAGGCGTGTTGCTGGGAAAATGGACAGATGGCTATGAAGGAGGTGTCAGCCCTATGTTCTGGAGGGGAAGTGTGGAGATTCTGCGCAACTGGGACACACAAGCCTGTCAGCCTGTTCGCTATGGACAGTGCTGGGTGTTTGCTGCAGTGGCCTGTACAAGTGAGATAGCAGGCAGTGGAGCTTTGTAGCCTATCACTGGCAAACACACTCGATATGCCTCAAACAGACAAAACAGAACATTACACTTAGAAACACACTGTTATGATTTATATTCTGCTCTTCCTCTAAGCACCACAATACTCATGTAGGTTATTCTTTATCCTGTTAGTTTCCAGAGCCCTCGGCATTCCTTGCAGAGTTGTCACCAACTATCTGTCAGCCCACGATACAAACAACAACCTGGTGATTGAACGTTACATAAATGAAAACGGAGACCTTGTGCAGTCCAGAGAGATGATATGGTATGTATGTTTTCGTATGGGCGGTGTGTAGGATAAACATACTTGTAATGTCTGGACATAATTCATCCAAAAGGAAAAAAAGGTGAACTGACACACCTCACAATCTTTAGGTCTTTGGTATGTGTGCAAAAATATATGATTACCTCCTGTGAATTCTTTAAAAATTAATCAAAAAAATCTCTGAAAATCATTAAACTTCACTTTTTTTCCCCAAAAAATATACAAGTTCCAGGAGCTTCCTCTGGCATATACTTCAAATTTGGCTTCATGATTTCAAACAACACACAAGATTTCTCAAAGGGGGTAAAGTAAGGGAATAAAAATACTAAGTGTATTGTTTTTGTAGGAATTATCACTGCTGGGTGGAGAATTGGATGACCAGGCCTGACCTCAAATCTGATTTTAACGGCTGGCAGGCCAGTGATCCAACACCTCAGGAGAAAAGTGAAGGTTAAAAGCATACTACCCTAAAGAGCAGCTGAGTCACTTCCTCACCAAAACAAATCAATCATATCTGATTAGTTTCCATTTTTGTCATTAGGAGTGTACTGCTGCGGCCCCATCCCTGTCAAAGCCATAAAAGAGGGCGAGCTCTTGTCCAAGTATGATGCCCCATTTGTCTTTGCTGAGGTCAACGCCGATGTCATCACCACGATGAGGAAAAAAGATGGCAGTACGTCAAAAGTCACAACCACGACAGTGGTGGGACAGAAGATCAGCACCAAGAGAGTGGGCAGCGATGCTAGAGAGGACATCACTCATCTGTACAAATACCCTGAAGGTGAAGAAAGAACTATTAATAGTAATGCATCAGATTTCATATAGCGCTTTATCAGAGACCCTCAAAGCGCTTTACATTGGATACATCATTCATTCGCTCACACAGTCACACCTTGGTGGTGGTAAACTACCTTAGTAGTCACAGTTGCCCTGGGACAGACTGATGGAGACGTGGCTGCCAGTTTGCACCTACAGCCTCTCAAGGCACCACACAACACTCACAATCATAAACCAGTGGAGGACACACACTGGGAGCAAGGCGGGTTAAGTGTCTTGCCCAAGGACACAACAGACAGATTCAGGATAGGGGGGGAATTGAACCACCAACCTTCAATTTATTGGACGACTGCTCTACCTCCTGAGCTACTGCCGCCCTAACTAGACTAAACGTCACTAAAGCAGGTCTAACTATCAACAGTGCATGGAAGCAAAACATTCAGTAAAATAAGACCATCACTGTAAATAAACCCTTGACTGGCTAGTCTCACCACTACATAAATTCTCACATTTAACAGGACTTATTTCTCTCCACTGAAGAAAGTACCAGGCCTTTACTCTGAAGTAAGCTTGTATTAAAGTCAGGCCTTTATTCTAAAGTTGTTTGATCAGATCAGAGTTTTTTTTTAGTATGAAGACATTTTCTGAGTGGCTTCAGTTTTACCTCCTATAAAATAGTGTATCATACTGTTAGTTTAAAACTAAATAGTTTATAGTTTTGTTTTAAACTAACAAGCATTACATTAGGAAGACTCTGTGTTTCTGAGGAGGCCTTTATTATTTTTTACTGTAAGATTTTAAAAACAATTCTGCACTCAGGATACCGCCTCTGCCCTCTTGTGGTAATCATGGGTTACAACAATCTACACTAAAGCATACAACTGACAAATAACACGATAATTTTAAGGATTTTTTCCAGAGAAAAACAAAAGATTGGGGCGCACAGATGGCAGAGCGGGTTAGCACACCCCACCTTTGGGACCGCAGTCCCTGCAGCGGTTTTGGGTTCGGGTCCTGCTCCGACCATGTGCTGCATGTCCTTCCCTCTCTTTCTATCTCCCCATACTTCCAAACTGTCCTATCAATACAGGCAAAAAGTCACCAAAAAAGATTAAAGAATCATCATGTTGGACGCATATCGACCGTGGCTTTAATTTTAGATTGACTCTTTTTTACAGCAATGAAGAACAAAAGGTTATTCCTTATGCCTTTGTTTAGCAATGTAAGGTGTACATTCCCCAATTAATAAAGTCAATTTTTCACATTAAAAATTAAAAGTTGTCTGTTGGGATAACAGTGCATGCTTTTATTGGGCTCATACTTCCAGGCTCAGATGAAGAGAGAGAGGCATTTAAGAAGGCCAACCACCAAAACAAGCTCCTCCAGCAGCAGCAGCAGAATCAAGGCCTACACCTCACCATCAAAGTCACATCAGACATGAGGCAGGGCTGCGACTTTGACGTGTTTGCTGTGGTGACCAACAACACAGAAAGTGACAAGAAGTGCCGTCTGTATTTTGGATCCTGCGCCATGTCTTACAGTGGCTTCTTGGGCGAGAACTGCGGTTTCAAAGATCTGCTGAATGTTGAACTCTCACCTGGAGCAGGTGAGCCAAGTTCCTGTATAGTATTTACATAAAGATGATTTATCTGTCTTTTTACAGTGAGTGTTGAATTTACTCTGTGTCTTCTACTAGAGCGACGAGTCCCACTGCGGCTGAACTACTCAAAGTACGGTGGTGTGCTTACTGAAGACAACTTAATCCGTCTGGCAGCTCTCCTGTTGGATTACAGCACCGGAGAGCACATACTGGCAGTGAGAAACATTGTGCTGGAGAACCCTGAAATCAAAGTCAGAGTGAGTACAATGACCCTCAACTAGTGGTGTAGACTTAACAAAAAGATAGCGCTGTATAATCATGTCCTGACAACTTTTTGGCTTCAAATGTAAATCTAAAAATAAAACAGCCCCTGAACTTTTTTCAAGACTTAAAAAAAAAAATTCTGCCATTTAGTCTTTCTGACTCTGTCCAAAGTAAAACAAAGTTTGAATCAAGCCTAATTGTGTTGTACTTGCTGTAAGACTTATATGGAGTAACACCTGGTCATGTCTTTGATTTGCAGATTATTGGTGAACCAAAGGAGAACAGGAAGCTGGCTGCTGAGATCACCCTCCAAAATCCCCTGCCAGAGCCGCTGGAGGGCTGCTGCTTCAGCATCGAGGGGGCCAACCTCACTGGAGGGCGTGTTATCTCTGAAAGGTTGTATGATCTCCTCCCCATTCAGTCCCAAAAAAGATAACCACTGACTGACACAAACCTGCGACAGAGCTTTTGTGAAATAGAAATTATGGCACCTATAATCAACACATCATTTGTCTTATAAACAGACATTTAGAAAAACCAGCAGCTGAAACACTTTTCACTAAAACAAAAGCAGTTTTTGTTGCCTTTTATAGAACTAATGATTTTGTGTAATGGAAATGTTTTTTTTAGATTGACTTTAGAGCTTATGAAAAATGGGTTTCTGGTTTGTTGCCTCAGACTTTGTTCATCCTCCAGATGTCTTCCTATTTAGTCAGGACAGGAACCTGCTGTTCAGTGCTGTCCACCAAAAAGAAAAGTTAAAAGTGGCACTTTCATCAAGAAATATTTCGACTTTCTGACCTCTAATCCTTAAAAAAGCAGTTCTGTCTACATCCACTCCTTAAAAAGTCAAGACTGTCATACTTTTCATGTCAGTGTCAATAGATGATGTAAACATTTATACAATGAGAGGAGTAATAATTCCTCCAAGTGTGCGTAACAAATGCAATATCAAATATTTGTCTTACAGGGTGGGCTCCTCAGTGGGACCTGGGGACGATGCCAAGGTGAAAATCTACTTCACTCCCACTCATTCTGGGCTGAGAAAGCTGGTGGTTGACTTCGACAGCAACAAGCTGTGTCACGTTAAAGGTTACAGAAATGTCATCATTGGAAAGTAGTGCATTCAGTACCTTTGCAGTGTATTATATAGCAGTATTTGTACTCTTTATATTGAAACTATTTACTCTTGAGCCATCTGGAAAGAGCCTACTTGTGCACAGTTTTAACTGTGACTACATGTATATCTATTCATTTATTGAGGTCACTTACAATAGAAAACACAGAGCATGCAAAACCTTAACACAGGAAATGTACTGTTTCTTCTCACAATCTTTAGTAATGATGAGTATTTAGTACCATGTACTACTTTTATTTTTTAGTTCTACTATTAAACTTTTTGGACAAGTGTTACTGTTGTGTTATTCAGTTTAACCAGCCTGACTGACTTCACACAACCTTTTAGGACACTCAACCTCCTTAACATCATCCTGTTTTTATTTTTTTTTATTTTGATGATAAATATGTCATCTGGAGACCTGATGAAATATTCCTCAGTATATTACAATCTGGTGAGATGCAGTTGGGCACCTGTTTTGAAGATATATATATTTATATATCTATATATATATATATATATATATCTATATATATATATATATATATATATATATATATAAACAAAAAAAATTCATTACAGCATCTCCACACTATAAATATGTAAGTCATTGCTTCATTTCTAAAAACATATGGATATAAGGTATTTATTTCAAACAGCTTTTCATTTCAATGATTTTTTTCCCTCACCTGGGCCACTCATCATACTAAAACAGCTTGAAAATCTGGTTAGATCGTATCATTAAATCCTCCTACAGTGCTAATCTGTACAATTTATTCTGCTTGTCCCGAAAACAAATCACCAACTTCTTAAAATACATGTTTGTGCACTATCATTGCTGACTTATCAGCGAGAGCACAAGTGTGGTTTGTTCTCCTGCTGTATGAGGTGCCTCTCTCTACTGGCCACACTTAGTAACTGCAGCTGCAGGAGAGTTTCTGCTGAAGGTGTTGTTTGTGACGCTCAGTGGCAGGCGCAACACATTACATCTAAACAAAAGAAGAAGAATCTGACAGAAAAGAGACATCTGTTTCAATAAATGTATTCAACAGAGCAGATATTTAAAAGAAACAGTTTTCATGGGTTTGAAATGACAAACTCAACAAAGTTAAGGTCATCATAAATTTATATTGTGGTTGAGAAAAATTGGCAAACATTTGAAAAGATTCCAATACTATCGCAGTCTCTTAAATAACTTGGTTAAATATCTCAGAATAAAATCTACTTTAATGATAACAGTACAATTTCATGTAAGAAAGTAGAATTTACACAAGAATATATATTTCAACTTGATGTGATGAAGGCATACATATTTGTTTGACAGACATTCCAGTTATTTTCTTATAAAGTTAAATACATTGTTAAACATGGACTGGATGGAGATCAATGCACTTTGAAAAGTAAATACTGTATATATATATATACATACATATATGTGAGAAAAAAAAACTTGATTCATTCTTTTTACCCTTAAAAAAGCATTTACATTTAAATGCTGAAGCTTTTGGCATATTTGTAAGGACTGACACATTGCAAAGGAAACAGTCGACTTTCTCTGTACAAATACCTCTAACTTTGCCCAGTATATATATATACGCTATCCAAAATAAGACCGACCTTCCTCTTCTTTTAAAGACAGAAATAAAAAGAGTGTGCTGAAGCTGTGTTTCCGTGTGAGTCCTGCTTGTACAAAATAACAAAAGTTTGTATTACTGTTAACCAAAGGCAATCACACAGAGACATTCAACAAAGCAACAAAAAGAAAGAACACAATCAGATGAACTGTCTATAAATTTCTCCCTTTTTGGCATCCAGACAGCAATGTTACAGGTAGACAAACTAAGAGATCTTTCAAATCTAACTCTTAGACTCTGTGTTAGGGTGTGTGTGTGTGTGTGTGTGTGCGTCCCTCATGGAGACGGGTCATGAACATGCAGACCAACAGGCAGACTGTCCTCTTTAAAGCACACAGCTGTCCTTACAGTCAGTGGTGCTGCCAGCTGATCTCCTCTTCAGGTTCCTGCTCTCTGCTTGGTGCTGGGGGTTTTGCTGAAGGTCCCCCTGTCTCCTTTCAGGCTCCACCTGGAGGTAAGCGCGGACATGGTGGTGCTGTGCTCTGGTTCCACTGAAATCAATGACACGGCACTCGTAGGTGCCCTCATCTGATGGTTTGACATTGGAGAGACGAAGCTTGTGGGAGATGTTGCTGCCAGCAACTTTTACCACCTGATGGGTGTAAAGGAGTAATTTAGTATGACTGTTCAAATCTGTACAGTAGACTATATCCTTATTAGCTGCAATTCTTTTTATGTTGTTAAAAGTTAAGATAGCATCTTTCCACGATTGGTTATTTCTAGCAAAACTTGTATTTCTTTCCCACAACAGAAAATATCTCAATTTTCTTTGTTCATGTCTTCAAATGACAGCTGGTGCATGATCAAACTCACACTAATTTTGGTGGCATCTTTGGATGTTTCCTCGAGGGGTACAACCTGCACAGAAATACAGCATCTTAGCAACAGGAGGTTGATCAAGGCTGCAGTTTTCTAAAAACATCTTTTTCTAAAAATAACTCATTTTAATGACTTATAACAGCAGAAGGATTCAATAAAGACATTTGATATCTTGACAAAATTATAAAGCTTCAAATGATCACTGTGGTTTATGATTTCCACTGTCTTTCATGATTGAACTTCATGATTTCCTGTGTGTATATATGCTTTAATATGCATGATTAAGTGTGAGAGTATGAGCACACAATTCAAAACCCTTAGCCGCCGAGAAGCCTCGCCTGTGAGTGAATGTGCATGCATAGGCACAGAGGTATTCTGTTGGGCATAGGTATGAATTATGCATGCGGCAGACAGAGATTTTGAAAATCTATTTCTTTTCCAGTGCCAATTATGGTGTCTAGAGGCACAACAGGGGAGCTGAGTTTCCCCATGATAGGAGAAAGTCAACCTGTTCCTCCACTGCTAGCAAATGCTAATCAGCAATTATCCCTTCGTTGCTGTGCCAGAGGGTCTCTGCTGTGGCTAATATTGCATTTCCCTCCACCTGATATGTAGGAGAGCTCAGTTGCAGCATTTCAGTCAAGAAATGAAAGCGACTCTGGAAATAGACTTTTCAATTCTATATAACAGATAAAGGTTTAACCTTGAGGGGGTGAATAAAAGGTTTGCAGGGTGAAATAAAAGCAGATTTCATGTATGAGAAAGTAGCTGCAACATAAACACCAAGCATCACAATAACATAGATTATTACTAGTTTTTGCTGACCCAAACATATACAGAGATTAACTTTATTTACACATACAGCATGTTAGTCTATCTTTACAGTTTATCCAATAATTAAAGCTATTTAACACTTAATTAAGCGCTAAAACCTTTCAACCTTTGTGATAACTTTAGCTAACTCTTATCAAATTATTATGTCATTTATTTTAGCTGACTTTATTTCACTAACATTTTCATTCATGTCTGTTTTTTTAACTTTTGACCAGTTAGTATACATTTATCAGTAACTTTAAGTTGATAATGCAATCACTTGACTTCTTGTGGATAATAAGAGCGAGGTCAGTGAGTGAGTGAGTGAGTGAGTGAGTGAGTGGGCTTTCCAACAGTGGGGTAATGTGCTAAAGATGATCAAATGGAGCATAAACTTTAACTGAGAATAGTGTTTAAAAAGTATTAAAACCAGGGGTGTCCCAATCTATTATTGATATTTGTCCAATATCAGCAGAAAAACGGATATCAGATTATATCGGCCTGCATCTAAAATCTCTGATACAAGCAGTCCATTCCAGACTCCGCTCCAGCACCTCTATCCAGCATGCAGAGCCCACGTGATTACAACAATAGTCAGTACGTTTACATGAAACTGACACAAACCGACGTATTGTCTTACTCTGATTAAGACCGGACAACTGAAGTGCATATTAACACTTTTGTCCGACTCCAATCAAAATCAGAGAACTCTGATTAAGACACCCAGATTATGTGATTGGAATTCGATTTTCTCTACCATGTAACCAGTGTAGTCGTAGTATAATTGGACAATGCATGTGCGCGTGCGCCACGCTCATGAAACCCCGGAACAAAAACACCAGAGAGGAGGAGTAGCGTGCACCTCATCTGCAGAAAAAGTAGTGTGTACATCATGTACGACAAAAATAACGCTGTACGATGCTCTATCTTCTTGCTCGGAAATGCCCAGCAGAAGTTGTAGCCACTTTTGACGTCTGGCACGGACCTGCTGTTGTTGTTAACAGTTGTATGGAGTCAACCGGAAACAGCGCCACTGAAAAGACCCATATCGCCTCCAAGTTTTGGGGAGGAGGACACGTTCATGTCAATAATTCGATTTTCTCAGCTGCATGCATACGCAGACAAGGGGAGAAGTCTGTTTCGGCGAAAAAAAAACTAATCATGAGCTTGGTCTGATTAAGCTGCGCAGGGCGTGTAAGGTACTAACAAAGTAGTGAGGAGTAGGAGTGATGTCAGCCGTGTGACAGTATTTTTCGTTTAAGTCTGAAAAAGACGTAGCAGCTGAGTGCAAAACTTGTCATGCACGTTTGTGCTAAACGTGCTCAATATAGGTATCGGCCATTACTGAAGGCTAAAATATCAGTATTGCATCGGAAGTGAAAAGTTGTATCGGGACACCTCGAATGAAAACTGTCTGGCTTTCATAAATTTTCTTAAGACCTCTTATAAGCTATCTAATTTGCTATCCTGCTAGACATAGCTGACATCCTCCTAAACCTGCAGATAATCACTGTATTCACAAGAAAAATCTTGTTTTCCTTCACAGCTTACAGTATTAGTCATCTGGGACATCTTCTTTTGCTGGTCACTGTGGTTCTTGATGTACCACCACTGGATCTCCAGGGAGTAAGAGGATGAGCCCTCCCCACGAAAGGAACAAGCCATCTCTACATCCTCACCACTCTGAGTCTTCATGTCATACGGCACCTCTGTAAAGAGGGCTGCAAAAGAGAGAAAAGAAGGAGGAACAACATGAAAGTTCAGAAGAAACTATGCGCTTAAAACATTTCTCAACATTTCAAGCTATCAGTGGTATTTCACTGGTGTAGGCCATGATTTCTTATCACTCCGGCAACAAGAGAGTGTGAAGCCTGTAACAAAGCTCAGGTAGCCAAGAAGAATACAGTGAGAGAAATTCAGAGGGAAGTATTGACTCAACAGACCACTGCTCCAACCTTGAAACAATCACAAAGGTTTCTTGGTGTTCATTTTTGAATATGATACATCATCTGTAATTAAAAAAATGCAATTCTCTGCTCTTTTAAACATCGCCAGACATTTGGATACAGACCTCTTTTAAAGAGATACAGAAATAACAGAGTTTCTAAGGTATATAATATGCCGCTGAAGTGTCTTTTTGCACTTTATCTCCATCAGAGAACAACATTTTCTCTGGTTGGGCTTTTAGTAACAGTCAATAACTTCATATGCTGCAACAGGATATTTTACTCAGCATGCTGTAACAAAGTGACGACATGAACTGATCAGGAAGCGTCTTTATCTACAAAATGCACACACTTAGCTTTCTTCAACACACTGTTAAAGTTAATTGATCACTTTAGTATTAAAATGATAGAAAAGATAGAAAAGATATCCCTCTCTTTAAAAATGCAACCTTCAGTAATGAAATTAAGTAAAGACAGTCAATAAAAAACAGCATGACTAAAGTTAATGTATTTTCGTGTAATATTAAAACAGTGAGGACTTTTATTTTGGAAACCTCACATTTCTCCCATATTCAGTGTTAAATATGTTACTTTTTAGAGCCCCTCTGAAGACTTTTTAACTGGTTATGATACTGAAATAGTTGTTGATACCTCTTTGTTATCCAGAAAAGTAAACTAGACTCTGTACAAATTTCGGCTGTTTGTCCAAAGTTGTTATAAATGTCTGAAACCTCTGGAGGGGAGTAGGCGTCAGCGATAGTCATAAATGCAGACTTTTTTTTTTTTTTACATTTTCCACAGTCAAGATGATCCATGAGTAATACATTTGACTGATGGGTTTAAGTAAAGTGAGATTTCGATGTAAAAGTGCATGGCAAAATCAGCAAAACGATAGGAGGTACTGCTTTGTCCACAGGGACTGCCAAAAAAAGAAAAAGCTTGTCAGAGGAATTTTATTTATCAGATTGTTTATATTGACAGGGAGTGATTCAAAAGTTAACATCTATTTTTATCTAAACACTTAAAACAGATGGCCTAAATTTTTATCTAAAAACATACATACTTTATATACTTTATATACTATACATACTACTCTTTAAATACTGTTGGAAATGAAAACAACACTGTGTACTGTGATGGAAAACGGCAACCTAAACTTCATTAAATACAGAAATTACTTTAAATGAGACCTTGATGCTCTGCATTTTGGTACTGTTAAACCTTATACATCTAATCAATTCAAACTTCTTCATAAGGTCATGAAACAAGAAGCTCATCATTGTGTACAAACTCATTATATGTTATGCAGGGAATAATCATACAGTATTGGCATTTCAATTATAGTACGGTTAATAAACAGTGCAGTAAAAATAAAATGATGAGATGTGCATTGATTAAATTCATAATATCTAAGAGCATTAAAGAAAGGTACTCCTTACTCCTTTTCTGCCTCTTTACATCACATACCCATCTCTCACATCCTCCCTTACAATCTCACTGACTATCAAATATTAAAGGAGTGCTTTTTTTTTTTTTTTTTAGCTGTTGTGGGCCTTCTTTTAGTAAGTAGAGGGAATATCTATAAAGCTAGGATGTTGGCAATAAAATTTTCCGGCAAAAAATAAAAGGTTAATTACAATTACAAAATGTACAAGGCAAAAAAGAAAATGCCAACAGGGAAAGAGTTCCACTATGACTCAAGATTCTCATAAAAAAAAAAAAGAAACAGCAGCACGACACAAGTCAGTTTAGCAGTTACTGCTCATGCAACAAACTCCAGGCTCACAGACAGAAAGGCCCAGGAAGCCTTGTTTGTTTCCCACGTTGGACGTCCCACAAATTAAGATATAACAAATACCATTCAACTAAATTAAACATTTCTCTTAGTGTCATCAACTTTTAAATATGAAGAGTGAAATCATGTTAGAAACTCTACATGAAATCTCACAGGGTCACATGGTTTTAGCAGTAAAGCCAATTAAGTTATGGAATAAATAGAAAAAAAAACCCTGAAAAACAAAAGTACAACTGAGAGCTTTGGTGTCATTTGACTGAATAGACCCACAAGAAGTATGTCCTTGTTGCTCCACTACTTACAACCAGACAGCGGCCCCATTTGTCAGGAGCAGACACACTGTAGCAATGAAGCCATACGGGAGGCCAAGAGGGTTGAGGAAGAGAAAAAAAACAAGAAAACAGAGGCAAGAAGAGAAGGGTAGAGGTGACCTGAGGTAAGTGTGTTGAGAAGAAACTGATGAGAAGGTAAATAGAAAAATGATAGAAAATGTGGAAAGCTGAGCTGTAAAGCAGAGTGACTAAAGCCACACATTCCCACACAGTGATAAGAGATGAAATAGAGCTGTGAGCTCTGTGGAGACCTGCAGCTTTTAACATAGACCAAAGTCACTTGAGGAGAAGAAGAGTTACCAAAAACATTTATTGTGCATCCCTGACAGCTGACTGAGTCATCCATTCTCATATACTCGATACTTGAACATTGTTACACTCTACTTCTGATAGAAAAACAAGCCCTCTTGCACACGAACCCCTGACAAACCATCTCTATATTTAAATCTAAAACTTGGAAAAGGTTTACCACTTTTTATAAGGTGTGAAGCTGTTAAACATGCACTTTGTCGTGGCAACATGGGGGTCCTGTGTGATCAAACAGCACTAGATAGAAAAAAAACCAAAAACATTCAAGCCACTTGAAAAGAACTCTTTCACTTCAACTCATCTTTATCTACTATACTTATTCTCCTCAGACTGAGAGGAACAAGGATACACTTAACCAAACCTTCCACCTTAAAACACAAAGGCAACAATGAGCTCATGGCAGCTTTGTTCAGCTTTTAGAGACCAGTTCTTCCTTGAATGGTATGGTTTATTTTATATACAGAGTAAATAAATCTATATGCAGTGATTAAAGAGGACGCTTTCTTTTTGGACAAAATAGATTTTCTACGTAGTTGTTAGTGTCGCTGTACTTTCTAAAGAGTGTTTAAAGGAGGAAAAAAAAACTATTTCTTTTGTTATTTAAGCTTTTTGAGACTGAGCACAGGTGGTAGCATCTGTCGCTGCAAACAGACTGGAAGGTGTTTTTCTAATGCACAGGAAAAAGCACAAAAAGGAGGGATGGGTTAGCATGACAAAATGCTTACAATTTTTTTTAATTATAAAAAAATGTTGAAATATAAAGTTAGTTAATTGAATAAATAATGTGTTGATTTTTTGCTCTGTATGACCTCAATCAGCCAGTCTGCTAAGCTTTGAATTTTCCTGGATGTTGAAATAAGGATGAAGAAATCTTTATAATTCAAGAGTTTTGATAAATAAAGAAATTAACACAAAAGACCAAAAGTAAAAAAAAAAAAAAAAAACAATAAATAAAATATAAAATTTTAATGCTAAAATTATCAAAATCTTGATATCATATGGAGAAATTGCATTCTTGAAAACACAAGTTAAGTAACATTAACTATATAAATACGGCTTTCTTGGATGTGTTGCCATGACATATCTTGAACCTGACACATGCCCTTGATTTTTAGAGTCAACAGATGAACCTGTCAGTGCCCTCTGCTGGACAAACTTTCAAATTGCTACGGTACAAGTTTTTTCTTATGTCTTCCACAAATCCATCAACTTTTACGAGGATACTTTACGAGCTAATAACTTTAATCAGTATTATTTCAGGGAAATTTTAAACTATTACTTCTTCACCTTGTGGAGGCTTCAGACTAGTTCTAGTCACTCCCACGAGAAATTGGGATTAAGAAGCATTTTTAACACAAAGTTCTTTACACTTAATCATGCTTGTGACAGGAAAGTCCCCATGCAGCCTATTTTAAGATATCAGTCCTCTGGTATTTGCAGTATTTACCTACAGTTCCAGCTATGACTCTATTACATAGCTACCAGCTCAAAGCTAATAAATTTGGCCAATAAAAGTGGTCAATTCATCCAAGTAAAAAACAAACAAACACACAAACAAAAATGCACAGCTATAATGAGCACAGGAATCAAGATCAGAACATTTTTGAATGCTGGTATGTTACCATTTTTCCCAATTTTAAATTTTAGTACGACCAAACAAAGACCAAATTTGGTGACATTATTTTTTTAAGTATGGATGTAAACGTTTCTCTGTTGTATTGTCTAAAAATGAGCCTTTGAAAAATAAAATCAGCCCTTTTTTACAGCCAACAAAAATAACAACAACAAAGTATTAGAGTAAAACGGTAAAGGATGAAGGAAGCCAGGAGTCTTCTCAGCTGTTTCACATCATTATGTGTGAACTCAAACTCTGTACAGACAGGATATTTCTGTTTTCCTCTTCTCTCTCCTCCTTTGGTTAAATCCTTTCTTAGCTCTTTTCTCAAACTGCAGCTCAGTAACACCCCTCACTAAGCTCCTTCTCCTGTTGTTGAAAACAACATTTTTACTCTTTTCTTTCCCTCTCCATTCTTACTCTCTACTTATTAGAGGTTTCATCTAATGTTTTCCCCTCTTTTCTCACCTGCTCCCCTGCCTTTTCATTCACTCCCTCTCATTTCTCCTGCTGTCTGCATCTGATGCCTCTCTGCATACAGAGATCATTCCAGCTCTCAGGGAGGCTCCCCATACATCTCCAGAAGATGTGCCCGCTGGCACTGGCAGGTGTGCAGCATCCTTTGATACTGTGTGTATGGCAGTGTGTGTGGTGCCCTGTGCTTTGCTGTCTTTAAGGATTGTGCGTGCGCTATCGTCACCATGGAGAGTTTGTGAGAGCAGAGTGGTCGTAGCCGAAAAATGAAGTTTGAAGCAATGGAGTTGCACTTATCGTTTTGTGAAACTGTATAAAAGGCAAGCGAGGCAAGTTTATTTGTATAGCACCATTCATACACAAGGCAATTCAAAGTGTTCTTCGGGTTACTTATCAACTAAAAATGTACACCATCTGACCACTCTTTCAACTGGTCGACTGCTGTGTTGCTTTATTATGCATTTTTTTTCCCCTTAAAATCACAATAATTATTGTTATCACAGTATGTTAAGGTCACATAATCATGAAGGGGAAATTTGGAACAGTGACAGCCCTATCAAGATGAAACAAATCTTGTCATGCTGTATTATTTTTGTCCTATTTGGCACACCTTACTTTCCTTCACATAACTGCATGCAGCCCATAATGATCAGAAGCTCAGAGGGATGTGCAACAAAGTTCAGGAGCTGATGGAAGTTGCCAAAAAAAAAGTATTAATTGGTGGGATGGAGAACAGAAGGAGCGAGTGTATGATAGTAAAGCAGAGGAACAAAGTGAGCATAAGAAGAGAGCGAGTTAATACAGTCAGTTTGGAAAGGGAGCGAGTTGTTGAAGGTGACAGACAGATAGAAAGACAGACTTAAGTCTTCTTCACACACTTCAGGAGCCCTACAGCCCAAATCATTACAACCAAATCATGCTTTGCCCAAACAAACATCACACCCTTCTGCCTCTCTTGTCTTTACTCCTTTTCCCTCTCTTCCTCCTCCTCTTCCTATGGGCTCTATTGATCTCACAGTTGTCCAATTGTCTCTCACTTTGCTATGCAGGTGCTCTCCTTAACCTGCTTGTGAAACACGACTTGTTAACAAACAGACTGCCTCCCTGTGAGTGCTGTGCTAATGCTGGAGCCTGACACGCCTGCAAAACAGACATCTGACTGTTTCTTCAAACCCAGCAGCTTCTCCAAAAATCAATCCCATAACCTTGGTAGAATGCTAAATCAACAAAAGCTGACTGCACTCGAAAAATTGGAGAAAAGTGAGGAGGAAATGTACTTCCAGATAAACACAGAGCACAGCGGCTCTTATTTATAACTATAAAGCTGACATGGTAAGGGTTTGTTTACTTAGGTATAGATTTTCATGAAGGCTGTACTGTCAGAGCCTTTCTTCTAGCAGAGGCAGGGGACAGTTGTTCGAGGATATAACTTTGATACAGGCCGTTTTAAAATGATATATCATCGCTTATGTAGCAAAGAAGAAAAAAAGGGGACCAGAAGGATTTATAAGCAGCAGCATTCTCATTAAAAATGAAAAAGGATAAAAAAAACAATGAAAAAAAAAACAAAACAGTGAAAGAATAAGTATATAAACAAATGCACCTGGACAACTCCATTCAAACACAGACCTCTTTTAGGTATTTTGTTCAGTTTAATCCTGTCAGGGTCAATCAATCCCTCCTCTCTCTCTGCTCCCCGCTGTCAAAGGAGCTCAAAGTCCCACTCTGATTGTTTTTTTTTTACTACTTCAAGTATTATCAGTGGTCTCTAAATTGTGATTATGAAGTTTTTAGCCAAAATCACATTCCTTGTGTTATTTTCATGGACTTTCCTTCTGCAGAGCTCCAGCTGAGCTCATCAGCAATTCGCCTCTGAGTCGTGTGCGGAGACAGCCCTGCTCCGAACACTCCTCTTCATGCTAGCTTGCAGCCTAACATTGCCAGTGTAGAAGAAGTAGCAGGTAACATAGGAGGTATTCAGCACTCGGACACTAATGTCTTTGGGGGAATGATGAAAGCTAGAATCATAATAAGCTTTCTTACGAGTATTGCAATCCGCTAACGCACACACTTGTTCCATAATCGTCCTCTCTACTTCTCCGAGTTTGGCCTGCATAGTGGGGCTCTGGGGGCGGAGCTTGGATTTGCTACGCAGGAAATCTCACTGTGTCTGAACCCGCCGTTTGGGTCTGCCAGAGATTCACAGCGATTTTAATGCAGAAATACTCAGAAATGCAATTTCGCCCTTACTTTTCTCATATGTTCTGCAGCATCAGAAAAATGCTGTATGAACATGTAAAAAAACAAGAAGAACATGATTTTATAAATTTCAGAAACCTTATTAGCATGAACATGAAGTAACAGTGACACCCGTGTTTTTTCTTGTGTGTGAGGAGAAAGAGAGAAGCATGCAGGGTGAGCTTGTTACCACCTCTGCATGCTTCTGTTTGTTCTGTCCAGCTGCAACAGAAATAAGACTTTGTTTTTTTGTTTTTTTTCAAACACCCTATTTTCCGGACATGCAACAAAAAGGCTGAAATGACAGTATTTTTCAGTAGCTACAACAGTTCCGCTCTAAATACATCTCCCTCTGGACCTCTTCAGAGTCTTACAGCATTTTTACCAAAAACACTGTTCTTCATAAGCAGTACTCTGTGAATTTTCCACTCAAACCAGGCACAGTCTGTCAAGAATACATTTATTGGCAATGTAAACATTTCCCCAAAAATGTATTCTCGACAGAGTGTGTGCTAAAGTTCTCTTGCATTTCTTGTGTATATTGTTCTTTATTTTGTGACTTAAGACAAACAATTTCATTTTGAGTCCTGAAAGAAATGAGCTTGATTATAACATAGTGTATGTGTGATGCTTTCATGAAGTACACAGGGGAGATAAGATTATTGGAGGCAGAAAGAGTCTATAAAGAGTCTATGGTTCATGTGTGCATCTATACTGTATGCCACCCCTGCATAAATCAGTGCCCCAGTTGAGCCAACCCAAATTTTTCACAAGGAGAAATTAACTGCAGACTCAGAAATGATGTAAATTTGAAAACAGAAGAAAAAGCTGCATATGAAAAATGTTGTATCAAACAGCCAGATCGGAGGCTTTAACAGAAAGACGTTGCAAATTTGTGAATGCAGCAAAGTCAAACCGGTCAAACTGACAAAACTAAAATCCAGTCTTCATAATAGAAGAAGTCCAGGTCAGTGGGGGCACAATTTCAACCTAGATCTTGTGGAAAAATGTTTTGAGGAAAATTTTGTTTGTCGCATGTTTTCATGCACAACTTTCGTATAACCATTTGAGCAGAAAATATATCTTGTAACACACAATGGGTGTTGGTCTTTTTGTGCTTTGATACTTGGAGAAAACAAAAAAAAACCAGCATTAGTCTGGATAAAATTTATTCATGTTGTCGAATTACTTTGTCATGTAAGATTAAGTATGAGAACAGAAAAATAGAGGCATTTCAAACAAAGCCAAAGTGGTTTGAATAATTGCAGAAAATCCTCTCCATGGTTAAGTGGAAACATTTTTCACTTGAATGTTTCACCTTCTGGTGCTGCCCTGAAAGTCAGTCATTAACCCACTGCTTCCGTTTAAGTAATATCCTGAAGGCACCAAAGACAAGTAATGATTCATTGGATCTGACACAGCAAATACAAAGACAGAAAATCAGGCTTAAAGCTATTACTTCCATCTTGGTGAATGTAAATAGTCTGTAAACAGAATCCCTGAAGGAAAAAAGGTATTCTTCCAACTTGATAAATGGCTTTAATAATAAGGGAAACCCTGAGGGGAAGAGTGGATAAAACAACAAGAAGCTCCTGTAATAAACAGATCTGCTGCAGGTATTTATCTTGATCTTAAAAGCTTTAATCTGCATGCTGATACCCAACAAAAGTAAGAATTAAATATTTCAAATAAAAACTTTGAGTTTGCACTGGTTAAAAGACCATTTGTTGCAGTTAGCAGAAGAAAAATATGCTACAAATTCAAAAACACATGCAAAAGGTGTAAACACAAACTATAGGGCAATAATATGGATAAAAAAACTAGAGCAAAAAGCCAAAATACCAGCAAGAACAGACCAAATGCAGCAAATACAAAACCAAAGAAAAGGGAAAACCACCCAAGATTAAAAATCATGCAGAAGTGAATGTCAGTGAAAAATTTGCAATTTCTAGTAATTCACAAATGAACAACTTTAATGGGGCGTTCACACCAAACACATGTAAAATCATCCTCTCACTTAATTTGCGCAAATCTAGATGCATGAATGAGTACTATTTACTTTAATTTCAACGGTAATTACTGCCAATTCAACCGGCAGTATCAAGTGATAGACAAAGCTTTTTTACAACGTAGCAGGTAATCCGACCTCCTCACTCACTTGCCTCCAGGAGAGCTCCTTCTTATTCCAGTTTCGGTAATTGAAAAAAAAGGTATCCTATAATTCAGGGCATCCACACACCGACTCAATCAGTTTTTCCATTTTAGATACCAGTGAACAACCTTCTGATTTCATGTGTCACCCAGCAACCTTTGTGCTGAGTGGTATATCCGGTCAAGTTGAGACTGGCCCAACTCGCGCCGCCAGAGTCTTAGGAGTGTCTACTTCCATCTACGCAATGACTCAACATGTAATTCATTCGTGCAAATGATTTTACTCGCGCTTGGTGTGTGGAGACAGTTACAGTGCTCCCTGCTTTATTCAACTAACTTGAAGACTTGCAATAACCTAAGCATTTCTCCCTGTTGTTAAACTAGGTCACTTTGTGATGCAGGACATTGTATCCAGAATGTAAATATGAGGTTGTCAGCTAAGTAAACACCATCATAACGTCATACTTAAAGCATATCACTGTATAGCGGTTAGCTGTATGGCTAACTGAGATCAAGGGCTGACCTAGGCTTAACTTGACAGCAGTTTCTTGAGCAAATCCTTCTGTCTATAAGAAGAATACTTTTGCTTTGCATTGACTGTACATTTGCAGCACTTGCTGTTACTCAAGCTTTTTGTAGTTATGTTTTTTATTTGTAAAGCATTCCAGCTGTTGTGTTTGTTTTGGCCTTTTTTCATTCATGTGTTTTTGAACTTGCATCATTTGAGCAAAACTAATGGAAGTGGGTTCATAGCAAAATACCTTAAGTCTGTGTTATTAATTTCAAATCTGTTTAGCTAAAATAGCTGCTGTGATAGACGAGTGAAATGTCAAAAAAAAGTGAAAAACACTCCATCCTCCTAATTGTGCTATGACGAATCAATGGCAAAACTACCGCTAAAGCAACAACCTATAGCCAGATGGCGCACACAAACACACTTTACTGATAGCTGAAATAATTAGTCTGGAAGTGTGTCAAAAAGGTAAATGATGCTGTATGTGGTACAGAATCAGTGTTGGGGCAAACAGACAGGATTTTCCTCGGGGAAATATCTGCTTGCTGGGAGACCTTCAGCCTTCATTCAAGGTGGAAGGTAGAATAATGAAATAAGAACAGAGCTGGTAATCAAGCCAGCAGCTGTCCGCCTGTTACCAGCGATACTCAGGGCCTGCAGAGTGAATTTTTCATCACCCCCCGGGACCAAAGACTCCAAGGCTATTTCTGTGATTCCTCTCAGTGTGAGGCAACACAAAGTAGCACGTGTTGTTGACAACACAACCAGAGTCTCCAAGCAATTTTCAAGAAAGCAAGGTGTACTCCATCTGGACTCCTCCAGGATGAAAGACGACATTATGTACTGTTACTGTACGCTGCCCTTGAGAACCTTTAAGTGACAGTGTGTTTGGTTTTGTGAGCTGGGACAGATGAATACATTAGTGACTGAGCTGATACACATATCCAATCTGCAGCATGGCCAAGAAATAAACCTGAAGCTAGATTAAGTTAAAATTTTTTTACAATTAAATAAAACAATTTGATTTAAAATTTTACCTTTTTTGTACTCTTAAGAAGTGCTTTTTAAAACATTACAGTTTAAGCAATACTCCCACACTTCCAACGTTTTCTTTCCCGTTTGACCATTAAACCGTATTAGTTTTTTCAACCGATAAGGACTTCTGCCTGATGATAAAACTATTCTCTGAATCAGCCAGTGGGTGTGGTGCAGGTGTAGCTTGTCCTTATTGACCATGATGTACCTGTCAATGAAGGCTACCAGGACAAAAAATACAAATGATAAATAATGTACTTTTATTTTTGCCTTATGCTAAAGGGACATTGCAACGTAATTTTAATTTAGAGGTCAAACACACCATAACACCGAGTTTAACACCCCCTCGAGAAATGAATGTTGCCGATCGCTTGCTTTTGTAGTTATACCAACTTAAATAACGACCGCATGATAGCAATACACAGCGGTCTGAGGAGTCATAAACAAACTTCAACCAGAACGCCACTCTATAGCCACAAATAATATTCAGAACAGCACCTAACTTCATCAACAGTACATATAGGGTCCTAGCCATAGTACTAGCCACCAAACATCTTTTTAATTTTGCCTAATTTCTTTTGCAAAGAGACTAAACACAACTCACCTACTCTCTTCCAGCAGCCGCTTGTTTGTAGGGAGAGCTTGGACAAGTCCATCAGCGACTGCAGCGGGGTGACGCAGCTCAAGGAAGAACATTCATGATAATTTCTTTGCCATTTCTATGAAGAAATATTCATCATATTAATCATTTTGCACTGCAGACGCGGTAGCGTCTTGTTCTGATTGCATTTCCATGAAGAAATTATCATAAATGTTCATCCATGAGCTGCGTCACCCCGCAGAAATCCATAATGGACTGGTCCGAGGTCTCGCTACAAACAAGCAGCTGCTGGAAGAAATTAGGTGAGTTGTGTTTGGTCTATTTGCTAAAAACATTAGGCAGAGTTAAGAAGATGTTTGGTGGCTAGTTCTAAAAGCTGTGTATTGCTATTGTGTGGTCGTTACTAAAGTTGGTATGACTAGAGAAGCAAGCGGTTGGCAACATTCATCTCTCGAGGGGGTGTCTAACTTCAGATTACGGTAAAGTGGGTTAAATTCTGATGTCAGCACTTTGCTGAATGTCAATCCCAGCTCCCTTCTCCCTACATTTCCTGTCTCTCTTCAGCAGTCCTATCAAATACATGCAAAATGGCCCACAAAGGTCATGACAAGTGTCATGTCTTTCCATTTGAGATTTGTGACTCATTGGAACAGTAAGCTGTCCCTTCAGGTTGAAACAGGTTAAAATGAAATCCCCAATTTCGTCATCAGTCTCCAGATGAGCACTGTTGAGCCAACCTTTCTCTCCCCTCCTCTTTCCTACTGAGGCTTCACCAAGACCCTGCACCGTGGTGACAGCATGACTGTATAATCTGTTTTCTCCCTCTCTCTCACACACACACACGTCCACTAACACAGTCAGAGCTCCATTAAATTGAAAGCCAATGCAAACTGTTAGGGCTGGCCATCCTCATTAAGAGGACACCAAGCAGAGGCCTGGCAGACGATCTCAGACACAATGGAGAAATAATGAATGGGTACATGCCCCCTTGCTGTGAGGGCACTACACTCGCCATGGATAACAGGTGAATGCTGCCAAAGAGAGCTCTAACATCTTGACGTCCTCCATATAAAATGTGGAGGCTAGAACTGATCCTGGAACCATGTGTGGCATCCTCACTTTGTTGTCTGGAATAACAAAAACTGACAAGGACACACATGTAGAAACAACACCAGTCCTAAAATAAAGGGAAACTACAAGCAAGAGTAACCTGGTTGTTTTTCATTTCACAGAACTACATGTGTCCAATACAACTCAATCTGTACTCCAGCTGAAGTGGAATCAGGGGTGCAGGGGCTGGCTGAGACACCGATCAGATGCACTTATCTGCGACAAATGATTCAGGGCTAAGTCTAACAAACACTCTCCACAACAGTGCATCTGGCCTCTCTGCTCTACATGACGGCTTAGCTCCCCTCTGCACGGGCCATTTATCAGAGAGCTTGATGGAACGGGTGGGGATCCGCAGAATTACTTAACCACAAGAGCACAAAAAGTGAGAATAGATGTCTTTAGTTTTTTTTCTGGTCCACATTTGAAAACAACACACTGTTCTTCTTCCAGGGCAGTTTTCATTCTTGTTAGGACTGAACACCCCGAGGCTTTTCTTCTTCTTTACAGCCAGCCTGAGACACAATGATTATAGCCAATTCTAATGAAGTCCCTTTGGGAGGAATGGTACTAATTGATTTTCCAACCTGCCCAAGACAGTCAATCTGTTTGAAACCGCTGCATACACACACGCTGCATTCATTTACACTGATTGAGCCAAAACTAACTCGCTAAGCAGAAAGAACTCTTGGGACGACTGGTGAGACACAGTGATGAAGTGGTTATCACACACTTTAATTAGATAACAGAAAATCTATGTGCGGAGCTGCTGCAGAAAGGTACGATTGTAAGCAGTTAAAGATGTCATTTATGTCCAAAAGGGCTGACACTGGTAAAAGAAAAGATTTTATTGCAAAATAAAGCACTTCTCATTTAAATGAATGTTCTGAGGAAGCAGTAATAAAGATGTTTTAAGTACTGAATTCATGCAGCATGAAGAAGGCTATCATTGTTAGACTGAAAACATGCTCAAAAGACATGAGGCGAGAGAACAACACTAACTTCTAGTGAAGGGATATTCTCGTGTAAGTTTAAGTCATCAGACAGAGACGCTAAGGCACAAGAACTACCATGTCTGAAGTGCACATACAAGATATACAAGAAATCTTGTTGCATTTCCAGTAAGTAATAATCATACATTTTCTTCCTTGAGCTGCAGAACTCCACTGCACTCTGCGATCGACTCGTCAGGGCTCCCCATCAAACAACCGGCTGCTGGAGGAGAGTGGGTGAGTTGTGTTTGGTCTGTTTGCCAAAGAAATCAGGCAAAGCTAAAAAGATGTTTGATGGCTGGTACTACGTGCTGGGACCCTATATGTACTGTTGATGAAGTTAGGTGCTGTTGTTTGTGAATATGAGTGGCTTTTTGTTTGCAGTTTGCGTGAGGATCCATAGACCGCTGTGTATTGCTGTTGCGAGGTCGTTGCTGAAGTTGGTGTAACTAGAGAAGCAAGCGGTCAGCAAAATTTATCTCTCGTGGCAGAGTCTAACTCAGTGTTACATTGTGTTTGACCATGACTTAAACCTAAGCTCGAATATTCCTTTAACATCCAACATGACATTAACATTAACTGTGTGGGTGGTTCAAGGGAAGACTTGAAAACCTGCAAGTTTCTTTGGTGCTTTGAGACTTAATTTGGTGCAATTCTACCAGTTCATATCTGTCTAAACCCGCAAGCTAATTCGACCAGATAGATCAGCATTTAAAGCTATGGTCTACCATTTGGAAGCTTGGTACTTATTAATAACACCGTTCATAAGGCCATTATGGTCCTATGGTCCGATCTACGCAATATAAAGATAAAAAAGAACAAAAAAAATCCATTCAGTATATCTGCTGCAAAAAGGCATAAGTATCGACTAAGTCGTCCGTGAGTCCATCCAATCCCCTGTCTCCCCTGCTCCGCACCGTCCCGCCCATGGTCCCGCCTCCTCCCCACTACCCCCCTCACGTACATGTGATCAGCGAGCTGCACAGCTGCTGAAGCGTAATGGAGCCGGAGAAGACAAACACCGAAACTAGGAGGCCGTTCCTGTTACCCTCCACATAAAAGGGAAAGAAACGTAAAAGTTTTGAGGAAAAGGCTGAAGTAAGGAAGAAATATGAGCGGTACAGGTGCCAACGGAGAGTCTACATTGGAGAAACGTACGACTGGTGGAAAAAGCTGCAGAGGGATTGGGGACTGAAAACTGACGCTGAGACAGACGAATTTCTGTTGAAGATGTAATTACTTTGTTTACTACAGTGGGCGATGTCTGCTGAATAACTCTGGCTAGTCTGTACCTATACTGGCTAATGACTGAACGTTGTTGGTCGGGTAGGGTCTGTCAATAGATTTTAGCATAAGTTAGCCATGCATCTTTAGCATTCTAAACTGAGCTGGTGAAGACACGCCGAGAAAGGTAAATCCTCGCCCACAATCGGCTCTGCTCTGACCGGCTAGCAGTGGCGACGCCAGACCCGCTTTGCCCCGCTAATATATGGTTTCGATTGTGCTGGTCCAATTGAAATGGCTACCACTGTGTACCACTGCTGATATTTTCTGCCGGCTGGCTTCTTGCTCTATCGGAGGGGGCGTGTTGTTAGGAGGCGACATGAGCTGGGGAGGGCGGGATCTTGGAACACGGAGGGGAGGGGTGAGTGAAGGGGGGGAGGCTGCATTTTTCAAATCTGTCTCAACAGCCAAACTGGTTTTCAGATCACAGACCATAGCTTGAATAAACCTGTGAAATAATGTGAAACAGTTTGTTTACAGTCGAGGCATCCTGCTGTCACTTTAAAATACTGTTTAAAAGATGCTTCAATGTGCTAACAGGACATCCCGGACCTTCATCCACTGATAAAAGGCACACTGTGGAACACATCTTTTCCCTCTCATTTGTACCACTGGTGGCACAGACTCTTGGCCACACTTTTGCTTTTACAGTTCACATTGGGAGTTTCTAATGAATTTCCATTTCATGATCAAAGCTGGGCTGCAGGTTTGTTCTGATAAATTCAACCGACCTAAATCATATGGTCTGCAAAGCTGAAAAAATTTCTTTCATTTAGCATTATACAAGAAAAAGAAGGAGACCTGTAAATTTGTTGGCATTGGCTACTTGTCTTTATGATATTGGATATAGCATCCTTAAATTATACAGGTAAAACAAAAGCATTTATTATCTTTATCATGTAGCCACTATAACGTCATAATCCTTTAAAGCAGGAAAAACTCTACAATTTATTATGATCACAATTATTATTTTATAGTTAGTGGGCCAGTCTAACACTCACCCACTATGTCCATGAGAGCCTGTTATTACTGTATTAAATCACAGACAGTGTTTACTCCAGAATCAACTTACATAAAGCTAAGGACTTGTTTTTCTACATAAAACAATCTTACTGCAGGGACAATAGGCAGGGAATAATTCTCTCACATGTGAAGTAGCATGCGGTTTATCTAAAGTTTTTCATGCTGTTCAACCACTTCTCTTAAGTGTAATGTTTAAGAGTCAACTTAAACTAATCCTCCCAAACATTGTGTGTTTTGGCTATACACGAGTGACTTCAGGAGTGGAGACAGTGAGCACATTTTTAGAAGAGGAATGAAGAAAAAATAACTTCAACAGACTCTTCAAATAGAAATTATTACCTGGTCACAAAGAATAAATGTTTACCGAACCACACCCAGTCACTCCTTAAATAGAAGTGGTAATAATATATACATTGAGATATTTAGAGCCATGGATCAAACACAGGGATCAAATCACTCACCATTTCCAGAGATGTGGTTATCCACCTCTCCCTGTCCGACAATAAGCGCTGCGTTAAGTTGAACGTAAAGTCCCGCGTACTGTAAAATCCGTAGTATCACTCCGAAGGCTCCCATATTTTGGTTATTATCTCAAGCACTTGTTGGAAATAGTCACATAAGGTGCACAGCATCGATAAAATATTCCCTCCTACGGTTCCGAGTAGCTCTGGAGTCAGAAGGGGGAGAGGCTGCTGCTGCTTCGCGCTGCTCTGTAGGAGAAGATGGTGATGATGATGGTGGTGATGATGATGATGATGCGACCGGCGGAGGCGGAGGCAGCGTGGAGGCAGGTGCTACGGCTGACGCTGAGAGTCAATTAGGCGGAGGGATCTCACTGAGATGATGATCGTCGACTGGAGTTTGAAATTTTCCCTGTTGCCTGTTTGAATTATGTCAACCAAATCCAGCATCTCCACAAATTTATAAAAGATGTAGGGCTTCTTATCCCACATTAAACAACAACAACAACAACAACAACAACAACAACAACAACAACAACAACAACAGGCAGGGAATAATGGTGTATTACACAAGAATATCCTGATCCTCAGAAAAGGAAAAAATTCGTGTCAATAACCAGTGATTGTAACTGGTCTTTGTATTTGGCTTTACAAGGGATGAATGGCTTTCTATATATAAAAAAACAACAACTTTATCAACCTTGTTTTGTGTTATGGGTCATCTAGACTACTAGCCTACTACTTTACAAACATCTGTCCAGCAATATTATAACATTGCAGAAACTCTATGGCTAAATGGTAGGCTGCCATTTAGACAAATACAGTTTAACAAAACTGAAATTTTGTGTCCCCTGATAGGCTAGAATTAGAATACATTTTTCAACACTGAAACCTTTAACTGGGGTTAAATGACAGACTATGATGTATAGGCTAGCTGATTTCACTTAGAAACATGTACTGAGAAATAAAGGAATAACCTTGTTCTTGTTTACACTAAACTATTTATAACTTTCCAAGTTTTTAATCTCAGTGAAATCAGACTTATTACAGCTTTCTTTGTGCTAAATATCATGGACTGTAAATAGAATGGACGCCGTCTGCCTCCTCGCGGGGTGAAGCCACTCCGAGAACAGCACCCTCTGTTGATGGGCTGCAGTATAGGTCATAAATCCCGCCTCCGCCAGCAAAGCTTATGGGACTGTGGACAAACTTTAGAAATTTATTACACAGAACATAAATTTTTCTCCCCCCCGCTTGTGATGTTGACATGTAGTTATTGTAAGACTGGTTTGTGCTCAAGTCCTCTTTTTTCTGTGAAGCTCCATTTTTAAAAATTACTAGGGGGTTCATGTTTGCTATGATTGACACCTGATACAGCCTATAGGCGGTCAGGGATTGAGTAGCTCTCCCGGGGCATACGCTGTTTGAGCCGAGCGTCATCACAGTGACTCTCTGCAACTGCGTGGCCGAATGCGCACAACGCTACAGCACAGCGCTGGTTTCAGGAAAGAAAGAAAAATCCCGGAAATACCGAGAGCTATTTAGCTTCAAATCCATATACAGGCGGTAGGCGGAACCAGGTTGTCCATAGTATATACAGTCTATGGATGGGACTAGCAGAAAGATGAAGCCATCAACTGCTGCTAGAGGGGCCACTTGTAATTCTTTCAAGTTTAAGGAAAGTTTACCCTGTCATTAACACTGATACCTTTAGAGCTTTACTTTACTGACAGAAAGCCCATTTGTCGTAGAACTTCATATTTGGACTCAACACATATAGTATATATATTTCTTCACATGTGATGCATTGATAAACTGTTTGGGACTGTGGACTGAAAAGAGACAAATTGCAAACTAAAAGTGAACAATTTTGACAGCAACAATAATATGCTGCGACAAGGGGAAGTTGACTGCATGGTGGTGTAGGGGTTAGCACTGTTGCGTCACAAGAAAACGTTTGGTGTGAGTTTGTCTTGTTGTCTGTCCATGTAGCCTTATAACAGACTTGTGACTTTTGTAGAATATACACTGTCTCTTGCACAGAGACTACGGTGGCCCAATGGCAACTCAGAAAAAGAGAAAACACAACAGCAAGTAAAGAGAAAACACAATGGTTCATGTCATAGTGTTTACAAAGTAGGTATAGTTCCACTGTTGTTTTCTTTTCTTGTCTTTTGTATGTATTCTTGATACACCTGTAAATGTTTTTAGCCCTCTGTAACCTGCTGGCCTATGTTATTCATGGTAGTCATCACACTTGGGTCCAAATTGAAAAGAAGGTCATACAGTCTAACCTAGTAACAGCTGCTGTATGAGAGGAAAGTCCACAGCGTAAGTGCCAATAAACTGCTGCCCCCCGCCATAAAAGAGCCACGTGTGACCTTGATGAGATCGTTATGGGGCATAACACACCTTCATGAGAATGCAGAGGGGTTGCATCTTTTACAATGGTCATACAGATGGAATTGAATCATTCACCTGAAAATCATTTGGTGAGATCTTTTTACAGCAGGGGGAGAAAACACAACCTAAATCAAAGCTGCAGGCATCAGTGGATACAATACCAATCGTGTCAATATGTGTGAAGTCTTTTGAAGTTAGACAATTATACCAAGATGATGGTTGGTTTTCTCTTGCATATTTATACCTTGATCGGACCTGAATTGGCTAAAGTGTTTGCCATGTGCTCCACAGTTAGCGCACAAGAATTTGACCTGGAAGTTGAACGGGACAAATTTGCTGAAAAAGCCAGGTAGTGCACAAACTTTCACAAAATAGAAAGAAGGGAAGTCAAGAAGACAAAACTGTCATATTGCATGTACTAAAGGAACAGAGCAGCAAAGTCATCCGTGTTTCTATCATTTGTGCAATGATGCTAACTTATTCGTGAACTGTTTTTGGATGTGACATAGTAATTCAACCAGGTAACAGGGAGTGTATTGCCACGAACTTTAGCGGAGTTGGACATCGATGAATAAGTCCTTGCTCAGGTGCTGTATACTAGGACGAGGAAAGTAGCGCAGTTAAATCATCTGATCGAGCTATAACAGAAGCTTCATTTAAAGGGATATTCCAGCGTAAAATTAATTTAGGGTCAAACACACCTGTGCCATTTGGAGCATTATTTGTGGCTATAGAGTGGCATTTTGGTTGAGGTTTGTTTATGGCTCCTCAGACCGCTGTGTATTGCTATCCTGCGGTCATTACTAAAGTTGGTATAACTAGAGAAGCAAGCGGTCGGCAACATTCATCTCTCGAGGGGGTGTCTAACTCAGTGTTACGGTGTGTTTGACCCTAAATTAATTTTACACCGGAATATCCCTTTATAACTAGTTAGTATCTTAGAACTAATTTCTCACAATTAAAAGTACAATTTCCAGCCCATGTGAAAAGCTAATCCTGGTGATTTCACTTTGAAAGGAAACATGCTTAGATAATAATGGTCATTCTTTTTATATGTGTTTGTTGCGTTTGTTATTTGTTTGTGTGTTTAATTAATTATTTTCCAAGGACAGAGAGAGAGAGAGAGAGAGAAGGCGTTAACCTGTCTGTGATTCATCTGCAAAGGTCTGATATGTGGATTTCACAGCATGCATGTTCAATTTGGCTCTGAAGTTGCGTTCTTTTGAAATTAAACATAATGTCTGAAACGCTATATGAATCACCCTGCTTTACGTGAGCAATATGTAAGTCACATGATGCAATGAAATGAACATGTGTGCTCATTTTAATGAGGTATGCAATTACAAGACACCTGCTGTCATGATCAACACTGCAATATGATGTGTGTGAATATTTGGGACATCATCAGCTCCATAGCGCCATTTGAAGTGCACAGAAATCAATTCACTGCCTCTGAGGAAGGCAAGTTGACCCCAGAGGTCTTTGAGAAATCCTACAATTTTCACTGTGTGCCAGGCCCAAAAGAGGTAGTTTACCATTCCCTCTGGCTGGTGCTGCTGTCTGCTCCCTTCCTGTGGGTTTTAACCAGGCTGCAAAACCCTGAGAACTGGGGGTGAAATTGAAGCTGATACATGCAGACGGAAGCCCCTAAGACGGACACAACACCTGCCTGTTAGCTCAGGGCTCAGCTCCTCTACAGCACTAACTGGCTCAGACAGCCTCAGCCGGAGATGAGGTATATACATGCGTATCTGTGTGTGAGTTAGTGATGACGGCTCTACAGCACAGGGCCTGTTAAAATGTAAAATGAAGGATGTGAACTGGGAGTATGACTCAACCAGGGAGTGCACTTGAAAGCAGACAGCCTCCAAAGTGGCTTCATGACATCAATTATTTATTAACCTCTCTTTGACACATCCAGAAGCTTCTTTACCTGCTGTTTTTGGATAAATGATCAAAAGGAGTACGCACCTCTTTTTGAGTCAATTGGTGTAATTGGATGAAATGTAGGGCCATTATTTCCTCAAAACCTGAAAATAGCTTTAGCACAATTTTTTACTGTCATGGATCAAAATTCATGTTTTCTGTGCTTCTAGATTAATATAGAGTACAGTTTACTCCACCTGGCACGCCTACGATACGTGAGGGTTTTCTTAGTAATGCCTTGTGTTACATTTGATTCAACAGTGCCCATTAAGTCTTCTCTTCCTTAATTCTGGCACATCTGAGAAAAATCCTCTTTTCTTTACCTCCCTGAGAAACAATACATTTTTCTTCCATGGGCTGTCAAGCTGATCAACACACCATAAATATGGAACTGAGCTCCCTGCTACGAAAGCTATTCTCCTCAAGCTTTGATGCACAAGGCAAAGGCTTTGACTGTTGTCATGGATTCAGTCCTAATTAATCAGAAATGCTTTATTCAGCCAGTTTTGGATCCTTTAGATGATCCTCAGGGTTTTAAATCTACAGGCATGTTAGTAAAAAGGCTTTTCCTCCCCCCCTCACTCTCTTCAAAATCGTAAATCTTGTAGTTGGTGCAGGTGTAATATCAACAATTAAGACTATTCTGTGTATGGCATACTCTCGTGGGGATATTATGCTGTGTTCGAGTTACCTTGGAAGTCAGATGTCGGAGCTGGGAATGACATCACACCCGAGTTACCAGCTCTTCAATGACCAAGTTGGAAAAAAGCAAAAACAGAGGCGGAAACAAGATGGCTACATCTACGAAAGTTATTTTAGCGTGTGCCTTGTCCGAATATAAGCAAGGACAAGGCAAGCGCTAGAATAATAGTGTCCCACTTTGGGATGAAGTGGAGGAAAGGCTAGCTTTAGCTAAGAGGACTTCTATATGAGACAGAGTGGCTGCAGTAATGATTGTGTATCCAGAAAGCATCTCGTACAGAAAATGATGAGTTAACA